TAATACTAGCCGCGGATACTTTTAAAAAGGTTATAAACTTAATAATAGAAAGCCCTAAATTTTTAAAGGAGGAGGATTAGTAATTTTTCTTCTATATATTTTAGTGCCCGAGGGTATTTTAAGCCCGGGGTAATATTATAGGGCTAGCTTATAATTATTATTTAATTATAATATTATTACAGTTATAATTATCGGTTAATATATATTCTCTAATTAGTTAACTTATTTAACCTTACTACTGCTATAGTAGCTATTGGGCCTATGCGAGCCCCCCTAATTGGTTATACGCTCCCGGAAGCTCCGGTTACGTATACTAAGGATACGGCTCATCCTCGCCTATATGGGATGAACCGCTACGTACAGATTCTATAATTTCCCTTCTTCCTTGTACAATTATATAAGTTATATTCTACCCCATACGTTCAGTATCGCCTTGCCCCGTGACAAGAACTATTATAGCTATAAGCAATGTAGGAACGGTGTAGAAATCTACGGCCGAGATGTAGTTGGGGGTTTTTATTCGGCGGCGCTTAACGCTGTACGGTTTTCCCCTCCAACGAACTAGAGAAGGACCCTATACTAATAAGGTACTATAATTATATAATATAGGGAATAAGATTGTTATTATTATTATTAATAAAGATCGGATAAATTGGAATTAATAGTAATAATAATTAGGGGAGTTAGAAGGGGGAAAATTAGTAAAAACGGTTATAAATAGTTTTTATAAAAAATTCAAATTAGGAGTCTCTGTCACGGGGCGCGAGCAAGCACTAAGGTAAGACTTTAATTATTATGCAAGGAACAGGAAGAGAATCCTGTGCGCGCACGAGAACTATATAGGGCACGCTGTAGATCCGGGTACACACGGACCGCAGCACGTGTACACGTAACTACTGTACTGCACTCAGGCAGCTGCACAGCTGACTGCACCAATGCAGTACAGTATTCTCTATCTATATATAGGAACACGGCAGTAATGCCTATAACAGTCTCTATACTATTTATATTAATAGCAACTATAACCGTCCTACGTAAACCGCTATACTACGGGCGTCTCTATAGTACCCCTAGGGAGGTTAGTAATAATAAGAGTTATTAAGGTTCTTTATATATGTTAATTAAATTAGTTCTATAATACATAAATAAATTATAGAGAATAATAATAACTTTTACGGCGGAAAGGTTAGATTTAGTAATATTTTAGCTAGTATTCTACCTTTGAGTAGGAATCGAATCCGGGAGGGCGCCAAGCAACTCCCTGTTTTAGTAAAAGTTTTTGCTAGCACTTAATTGGACGTAATTGCGGGAAGGATAGGAGAGGCCTACTTTAGTAATAATAATAGATTTTCAAGTAGGAGCCTCTATTATAGGGTAAGGGCACCGTTAAGGGTAAGTTACAATATTTATTATTATATAAAGGAAGTAAGAAGAGAGTGTACGCTAGCCCGGGTTTATAGGTAGGGTTATATAGCTTAATAGAGTGGGTTATATAGAGCCTTAATACCTAGTCTCAGTTCTCAGACTTACTACTTCCGAAACCACCCCACCCTACTCCACCCCACCCGTTTCATGTGGGGCGGGGGGTACGGAGGCAGAGGGGGTCTATTCAAAAACTATTAATACCCGGGCCGGCACTAGTGCTATAGCAAGGCACAGAGCACGTGCACGTGATCTGGCCTCATACTATAGCTTGGTATAGGGCATGTAATCTAGCCTTGTAACAGCCTCGTTTTAAAGGAGGGTAGTGTTATAGGCATTATAACTATATTCCTATATATAAATAGGTACTATACTGTATTAGTATAGCTAGCTGGATATCGTTGTTTAAGTGTAGTATAGTATTTACGTACTTACGTACACGGCGGCTCAGCTGTAGTCCGTGTATCGGACCTACAGTACTATACCCTATATAGTTCTCGTGCGCGTACAGGATTCTCTTCCTATTCCTTATATAATAATTAACGTCTTAGTTTAGTGCTTGCTCGCGCCCCGTAACAGGTGCAGCTGTAGAATTTGTATAGTAATATAATATTAAAGCTAAATTTTTACTACGGTTACAACACGCCCTAGGACGGCGGAGAGGGTAGGTCGACGGTGTCTAAAGACATTCTCGACGGTCCGAAAAGACAACCTCTTAAATAATACAAGGTAAAAAATAAAACCAAATCAGCTGACCCCAACCCGATTTGAACGGATAACCTTTCGATCTGGAGTCGAACGCGCTACCGTTGCGCCATGAGGCCGAAGATGAAAATTGTCGATTTTCTATGCGTATATAAGGCTGAAAAATATTCGACCCACGACTTCCTACCAGTCGTTCTTATCTTGTCGTCCGTTGATAATGTCGATCACTATCCACATAATATGATGTATACGATTACAGACGAAGGACTATGGAATCCCGGAAATTGAAAGATAATGGTGTGCTTGTACCGACAGCGGCCCCGACTACGCGAATAGGACACACCCCTTCTTGCAATATATTATGAGAAGTATGGCATGTGCCTACTGTGCTGCGACTATGATTCTGCAGTCAGCGTCGTACAGTCTCTTCAGTCCGACGCAACTGATATGAGCATCCCAAGGCACATTAGATCTGCCGCCCAGACTCGCATGTCTGTGAAGCATGGCCGGCCACCCAGATTGGGTCAACGTGGTCACCTGGTCAATCGATATCGAACATTCTGTCAAGTATAAAGCGGTCCAACCCATTTCGTGCGGTATATGCTGGCAGATCTCAAATTTATAACTTTCGCCCGCTTGACAATCCTGCAACGACACCCTCACATCGCTTCCGTGCCATCATTATTGGCGGTGGTCCAGTTGGACTGATGGCAGCGCATACCTTCTATCGAGCTGGCATCAATTTTGTACTGCTCGAACGCAACAATGCCCTTGCTGTACCCGAAGCAGGAGGGGCCGGAATCGCCATCATGCCGAACACTGTGAGGCTCTTGGCTCAGCTTGGGCTCCTTGAGGCGGTGGAGGCAATTGGAACGCACATGCGCCCCGGGACGGTGGTGACGAGTGACGGGCGCCCGTTTTCGACTCTCGACACAGATGGGTGGTGCTCTGAATTGTAAGGCACCGAAAGCGTGCAGTCTGAGATACTCCTGGGCAGATACAGCTAACACCGAGTGATGATGATGTAGCCATGGAACAGGATGGGTTATGGTGCATCGACCCGAGTTGATGCAGCTGCTGTATGGTGCTCTTCCTGATGAAATCAGACAGCATCAATTCCCCGGCAAAGAGGTGAAAACTATCGAGATGACTGAAGAGGGGGTCGTGTTCTCGTGTACCGACGGAAGCGTGGAGAGGGGCAGCATTGTGGTCGGGGCGGACGGAGCCCACAGCAAAGTGCGCGACTACATGCGTCGTATCGCACTACAAGAGTCGTCAAAGGCAGCCCTGAACGAGGAGAAGCCGTTTGTCGCGACGTACCGGTGCGTGTTTGGCCACATAGTCAGCCCGCCACCAGGAATCAAACCCGGCGATGAGTGGCATATGCATGGGAGCGGAATTTCGTCGCTCCTGCTCGCCGGCTCCGAAAAGACATGGTTCATGTTCAGCCAGAAGCTGCCCGAGCCAACGCGGGAACGACGACGGTACACCGAGCAGGACATGAAGAGCTTCATGGAAGAACTTGGTCATGCCCATTGCACATCCACGCTTACACTCAACGACCTTTACCAAGCGCAAACATCTTGCTATCTGACTGACTTCCACGAAGGTCTGATTCACCACTTTTACCATGGCCGCATTGTCCTGGTCGGAGATGCTGTTAACAAGCAGACTTATAACACGGGCCAAGGGTGGAACACGGGAGTGCAAGACGTGGTTGTGCTCACCAATAAGCTCTGGACACTGATGGAAGACGAAACCAATCTGGATGCGCCAATCAGTCAAGGCAAGATCGAAGCCGCTTTTGGCTTATACCAAAGAGACAGATACCCGGTGGTCCAGCAAGCTGTAAAAGCATCAAAGATGTTCACTCGGACAGAGGCCTGGAACCATTGGTATGACTGGTTTACAGACCGCCATATTCTACCACGGACTGGAGGACTTAAATGGATATATCGAGCGTTTCTTGTACCGGCCAACGTGAACGCACAGGTTTTGGAGTTCCTCGAGGAGAACAACAGGCCATCCGGGACCATCCCATGGCTCCATAGCACTAGAAGGAATTGACCAAGGACGTCTCCTGGCATTTTGGTAAGGTATTTGGACAAAATTTTCATCTATTGCACTCATTGACACTCAGGGCCGCTTGTAATTAACAAGTGATTAGGCGTACATACCCAACTTTTCGTGGCGCATGGAGAGTCAAGCTGTCGCCACCTACGGCCGACCTCGAGGGCCTTGTCAACTTCAGCTTGTCGTCAACTTGCGCCCCTTACCTGCAGCTTATCATTCCGACCAAGCCCGAGAAAGACTGCGTACAAGGTACGCGCTGGTAACCCAATTTCCTCAATGCTTTTTCTTAACCACAACTGCCGACACAACAACACTGTGGGCAGTGCAGAGTATCGGCGACCTGCATCGAATGCAGGAGTGTTACATTGTTCAGTCATTGGCTTGTTCGCGAGTTATCGAAAACTGAGACCGGAACTGTCCTGCACACCAAGCCAATGGATAATTGGCCATGAGATTGTTGTCCCCACGGAAATGCAGACTTGAATATCCGAAAAGGGTGTTGATAGCCTGATACGATAAGGGTACGAGTATAACGATGAGTATGTTGTAGATGTACTCCTGGGTAGCCTTCGTGAGACGGGGCTTTCGATGTCATGTCGTATCTGCGACGCTAGGTACCTAGGTATTTTGAAAGCGAACAAACAATTCCTCAGCCTGACCAGGACGGACTTGCAGCCTTTAAAATCTTGGCTCATCGTCCACTCGGTTAGTCTCTGATCCTGTCGTTTCTCGCTCTCAGCTTCACTCCGGCCGCCCGAAGTCGCTTGTATTCCAACTGGATTTTGCACACCAAGGGCATCATGTCTTCGTCCGATGTGCAACGTCCTCTGCGGGGGCATGCCATCCAAGACTCTGACAATGCTCGACTGGAGAGTTTGAACGAGGCATTGAGCACGCAAAAGTATCTGGCCGGGTTTCACGGCGATACACTCATTGGGGTGAGTTCAAGGTACACCAACCTTTGTGGCCTGGAAACTAACTCGCTGCAGAATAAAGTTGTTTCCAAGGTCGGGCTTTTGGACGACCTAAAGACAATCCTCGAGCTCAAGAACGTACCCAGCATTGTGAAAGTCCTGGTTAACTATCTCAAGGAACGTCGCCTCGACATCAAAGCTGGTGCATCGTTGCTGGCAGCCGTGTCGAACAACAGTGTAGCCAGGGCCGATATCATCGAAAAGCAGGTCAAGATCAAGTACGACCGCATGCTGCACCCACCCTTGAGTTACTTGGGCGATGCTTTTAAGTATCGGACCGCCGATGGCAAGTTCAACAGCGCCATCAACCCACACCTCGGCCAAGCCGGAGCTCCTTACGCCAAAACCGTACCTGCGAAGACTCATCCACTCGGAGCCTTGCCAGATCCAGGAGACCTTTTTGACCAGTTAATGGCAAGAGAGGAAAATGGCCGTCCAAGTCAGTCAGGCTTGTCCAGCATGCTCATATACCATGCCACCATCATCATCCACGATCTCTTCCGCACCAATGACAACGACAAGAACATCTCTGATACGTCGTCATACCTCGATCTGTCGCCACTGTACGGCTTCACAGAGGAGATGCAGCGCAAGGTTCGCGATGAAACGTATAGCCTTGGCTTGCTTAAGCCAGACACCTTTGCAGAGGACCGACTGCTTCGTCAACCGCCGGGAGTCTGTATCATGCTGGTCATGTACAACCGCTACCACAACTACGCAGCAACACAACTTCGGCGCATCAACGAAAACGGCCGCTTTTCAGTCCCCAGAGAATACCAGGAGGCCAAGTTGATCGCGGCAGCGAAATACTTTGACAAAGACAGCCTGTTGGAGAACATCGACAACCAGGAAATCCTGAAGAGATTCATAGATGCTAACGAGGTATTCGAGAGCAACGGCCGGATTCGCACCAAGGAGTACCAAGATGCGGAGAATGCCCTCGATGTCTTCATCAATGAGGTCCAGCCAGACGAAAAGCAAGTCAAAGCCTTCAAGGACAGCTACGACGCAGCCTGGAAGAAGCTGGACGACGACCTTTTCCACACCGCTCGGCTAATCACATGCGGCCTTTACATCCAGATTTCCGTTCACGACTACCTTAGGGCATTGATGGGCTTCCACCAGTACGACACGAACTTCACCCTTGATCCGAGAGTGAATCAATCGAAAGCCAAGGAGGTATCGCGGGGCCTGGGCAACCAGGTAACGGTTGAGTTCAACCTGCTCTATCGGTTCCACTGCGCCATCTCGCGGGGCGACGAGGAATACCTTGAGAACTATCTGGAGGAGTACTTTGAGAAGCAATCCAGGTCGGACTGGAACCCAAAGGAAATGGGATTACAGGAGTTCCTCATGGAGATGGGCCAGGCGCGGGAGCGGAGAAAGAATGATCCTCCCGTCAAACCTTGTGATATTGAGTTTGGACTCAAAAACAAGGACGAAGACGAAGCCAAGAAGAAGATGGCCTTCAAGCGTGACCCCATCACCAAGCTCTTCAATGATGAGCAAATGGTAGACCACCTCACCAAGGTAATGGACGAGCCAATCTGTAAGTGTACAAACCGCCAATTCTGTTTGCTGGATTAATGCTAACATGGGCTGGAATAGCGAACTTCGGCCCCAGGAACGTACCTCGATCTCTGAAAGCCGTCGAGGTCATGGGTATCCTCCAGGCGCGCAAGTGGGGAGTTGGAACGCTGAACGACTTCCGTGAGTTTTTCGGGATGAAGCGTCACAAAACGTTTGAGAGTGTCTCAGGCTGTGTTGGGGTTCAGAATGCACTCCGGGACCTTTATGAGCACCCAGATAAGATCGAGTTTTATCCTGGTGTCTTTTGTGAGTCGGACGCGAGCCAAAGTGCAGATCCAGGGCCAAGTGACGTCGATTCGGCGTTGTGGGCCGCCATCTTCTCCGATGCTATCACTCTCGTGCGGTCGGATCGGTTTTACACCCTTGATTGGAACACGAACTCGCTCACCTCCTGGGGTATGAAGGAGGTAACCCCAGATAACGATGTGCTCAAGAGCTCTGTATTCCATCGACTTCTGCAACGATCGTTCCCGGAGTGGTTCCCCAGCACGTCGGTCCGCTTCTTCCATCCCTTCTACACAGCCCAGAAGAATGCCGAGTACGCAACGGCGCAGGGCTACGACAAAGACTTTGCCATTAAACCTACTGTGGAGAAGTCTGAACGAAACTGGTCCGGACCAGCAACGATCACGCAGACGTTCGACACTTCAGCCTCAAATCCTCGCAAGCCTGTCGAGCCCAAAATTCTCACTGATCCTTGTCAGATCATGGCAGTCCTTACAGACGATACGGACGACATTGTCCATCCAGTCCGTCTGGAGCCCGAGATTCTCCCCGCCAAGGTCGCCGAGGTTCTGGCTGTGCGCGAAGAAGAAGACACGGCCAACGGTAGAAAGTCACACAGCGAACACCGGAAAGAGATTGACACTGATACCGACGACTTGATGACATACTTCACCAACCTCATGAGAGATATCATTAGGCGTGGATCTGTCGTGATGAAACCGGGACAAAAAAATTCGGAAGTCGACCCGATCTATCAGCTCGATGTCACTAGAGACTTTGCCATCCCCGTTGTCACTCGGTATGTTGCTGACTTTCTTGGATTCGGACATCTCGTGAAGTCGGAGAAGAACCTGCATGCGAAGTACTCAGAGAACGAGATTTACCGGCATATCACCAACTGCCATCTCTACTTTTCGTACAATGCCGACGAAACCAAGCTTCCAAAACGGCGCAAGATGTTCAAAGACTCAATAAACTTCCTCTTCGACCTGACGCTCAACAAGGGGAACGTTGCCGAAGTGAAGAAGTTCCGTCTCACACGGGCGCTCCAGAGTGTTGGATCATGGCTCTGGAGATCTGCAGCCGGCGACAACAATCCAATGAGCGAGCTCGGTCTGGAAGTTTCTCAACAGGTCTTGCAACAACAGAAGGGCGACACTGGGAGAGTGGCGGCAATTTTGTTGCTCCTTGCTCTCGACAGCTCGTATACCTCGGTTCTTGCCTTCACTTCGGTTCTGGATTCGTTCATCAACGGGCTATACACCTTGACAGCCAAGGAACCCAATGCGTCATCAGGAGTTACAGAAAACAAGAGTTGCGACTGGCGTGATGTCCAACGTCTCGCGTGTGCCGAGTTTCTTCCGGATGTGCCGACCAATACCTTTGACGATATCAAGAAGATCGTCTTGAAAGCGCAACGGGAGAGCATGAAGCTACCCATCCTACGCAAGGCGCGCATAACTTGCGTAGTAAAGGGGAGTGAGCCTGTGTTGACCGTGGAGAAAGATCAGCTGATCATCTGTGACATTGTGAGTTCCCTCACCACGAAAACCCCAGGACAACCGTTATACTGATAGGTAAACCTCTTCTCGTTAGAACCCCGGTGATCAGGAGTATAAGGACGATGTGCCAACCTACCACACCAGCTTCACCGAGAGGTTCACTGAATACCACCCCAAAAACCTCGCTGAAAACAGTCTGACCGCCATGATCAAAGTCCTAGCCCAGCTCAAGGACCTCAGACGAGGCAACGACACCCAAGGCCATTTGAAGAAGATCGGACTCGACTCGTCATACGCGACTTATACCAACTTCATGGCACCACAACGTATCAAACATATCAAGACCCAAGTGAGGGCCAAGATTGCAGAGGCCGAAGAAGCCGATGACTTGACGACGGCCGACAAGCTGAAGAAGACGTACCACCTCGACAGACTGCAATGCCCTGCAACGGACACGTACATGACCCCTGAGTGGGACGAGATGATTCCCTTCCCAACTACCTGGAAGGTCAGGTTCAACGGCTACGGGGAGTCGACGTATGGTGGCGAGAAATTGCCTCTTCTCCAGTCACGGCTGGTGCCGGATGATTTCCCCCCCTTCTACGAGCTTCCTGGCGGACCAAGTCGTACGGGAGGTTCGTTGAGAGAGCCAATCCACCCATACCCCTCGAAGCCTCGGGAGAAGTCGACCAGCAGAGAGGAACATGGTGAACATGTTCTGTATATGGATCGCGGCAGTGATGCGGGTGACTCTGCCATTGATATAGATGAGAGCTGTCGTAAGGAGATGCCGAAGGGAGTTACAAATGGGTGTGGCATCGGCATATGAGCCAACCCATCAGTTCAGGAGAGTTAGGTTTGCGTTATACGGAATCCATTGGTGAGCGGTTTGGGCATGTTTCTCCAGAGAGATAAATAGGTAGGATGAAGTCATGTTACCTTGTGAAGTCTGATGCATCGTGATTGTCGCCACCATATCTCATCGCGAGAATGCATCCTTCTGTACTCCACAAGCCTCAGGCCAATTTCTGCCATGATTGGTTATCAACCCCTCTCAACAACACGATCTCATGCAGATAGATGTACCTATGCAGGGACTCTCTTGTACCGCGGCTACAACCCCGCTTCTTGCCCTTGCCTGTACTCATTCCAAGTCTCGAAGTTGCAAAGAACAAGATCTCATTGCGACGCTCGTGTCAAGCCCGAGGATGAAAATCCCGTCATCACCATTCCATCGCCATCACTCTTCGACTGTTGAGCAGACAGCAATTTCCATACCTGTCATGTTGAGTCAATCTGAAGCAACATGGACCTCAGCCTTTGGAGGGATCCCGGAAATCGTCATCAAACCATGGAAACCACCGCCACGAAGGACCTATCTCTTTAAAAGAGCGAACCTCGTTGATACCGCTCAAGGGACTATCATCTCCAACGTCAACATCAAGATCGCAGATGGCGTGATTAAGCTCATCGAGAAAAACGATCCCAGAATTACCAGCCTCGCTCATCATCTACGCGGCGAAGATGACTCGGGACTGGTAATCGAAGTTGACCTTGAAGGCAAATTTCTGTGCCCTGGGCTTGTCGACTGCCACGTCCACGTCAGTGCCGTACCAGGGGAACTCAGTCTTTCATCCACCGCCGCTATCTCTGATCCTGCCATTTCGCTTCTTCGTCAACCCTTCGTCTGCTCCCAGATGCTTAGCAGGGGATTTACCACCGTTCGTGATACAGGCGGTGCCACGCTTGCTTTGAAGGAGGCCATCGAAGAAGGTGTCTTTCCCGGGCCACGGCTCTTCATCTGCAATCGGGCTCTGTCTCAGACAGGTGGCCATGGTGACCTCCGCGGCGCGCACGACCATAAGAACCGAGGAGGAGGAGGAGAAGGCTGCTGTGGGGGCTCAGCGGGTCAACTGGCTGTGGTCTGTGATGGAGTACCGGAGTGCATTCGTGCGGCGCGAGAGCAGTTGAGAACAGGAGCGGACTTCATCAAGATTATGGTAGGAGGCGGCGTTGCCTCCCCCACGGATCGGTTGACCAACACGCAATTCACGGCTGCTGAGGTCCGGGCCATCTGCGATGTGGCAGAGAGCTATGGAACCTACGTGACAGCTCATGCGTACACGCCCAAAGCAATTCGCCATGCTGTTGACAATGGTGTCAAGGGTATCGAACATGGGAATCTTATTGACGAAGCGACGGCACGGTACATGGCCGAGAGGGGGATATGGCTAACACCAACGCTAGTGACATATGATGCGATGGCATCAGATGAGTATGCCGGCTTCCTGCCACCAGAGAATCAGCGAAAAAACGAAGAGGTATTGCGGCAGGGGCTGAAGTCGCTCACAATTGCGGAAAAGGCAGGAGTCAACATGTGTTATGGCTCTGATCTTTTAGGGCCTTTGACGAGAGAGCAGTCAAAGGAGTTTGGCATCCGGTCGGTCATCCTAAAGAGCAAGCAGGTTTTGCAGTCAGCTACTGTGAATGCGGCAAAGATGCTGGGACAGGAGTCGTTTCTGGGCCAGCTCAAACCAGGATATGCTGCCGATATGCTTATTCTCGACGTCAACCCATTCAATGACGTGGCGATGCTGGATGAACCAAAGAAACACGTGTTGGCAGTAATTAAGGACGGACGAGTATGTGTGAGCCGTTGGAGAAAGCTTCCCATGGATGCAACACACGGAGAGGAGTTAATTGAGTGAATACGATGGACAAGATGTAGAGAAATAAAGAGAAGTCATTGCATTTACCCTAGAACTAGCTAGAGATCCCACAACGATTTTTGTAAGCCATGACTGGAGAACATCGGCAGAAGACGTAGTTTCTGCGATGTGACATATAGTCCTTCATTATCTGCGAAAAATTCATGATGGAGAGCAGATCATACCCTTTTGTAATGACATGGCTACAGTCATTGACTTTCCAAACATCTCGTGATATCTTGCCGACTGGGAAAGATGTGAAGTCTCGACGATAACGTGCAAATGTTTCGAAAGAAGCTCTCAAATAAGCGACCGCTTTTTGGTGCGCTCCTGGAAGTATATCGTCCTCAGATCCTTCATGAGATCCTCCCAAGTGAGGCGGTTCTGGGTCCATTCCTCGAGTAACTTTGCATGCAAGTCCGGATAGTTCTCCTTCATGCCACAAGCGTCAAGAACCGTGGTGAGTCCAAAGTCGGGGTCAAACTTCCAGCTCTCTTCATGGAGCTGGTCCCTGAGAGACTGGAGACGCTGAAGGTACTCACCCATGGAGCCACACTGATCCCTCCTGAGAGCAACGAAGTCGCTAAAGAGTTTTCCGCAGTTGTCATTGCCAGCGCCGTGGGTGAAGACGCGCTTGGCAAGATTATACGTGACCTTGGGGTCCTCCTCCCTGATGTTCCAGTTGTACAGCTTCAAAGTGACGATGACATCCGGGTCGGTGAGGGTGCTAAGCAGGATGTAGTTGACTCTGGCTCTCTGCTTCTTCCAGTCGTCGCGGGCAGGTCCGAGCAGAGGCTCGCGGACGTCGTCCTTGAGATGAACTGAAAGACCGTAGAAGTTGAGATAGTTGAGAAGAAACGCGTCCCATAGCTCGATATCCTCGGAGCCCTTGAGAAAAGGGGGCAGAGGCAGGTTCGGGGTTTGGCAGACAAGACCCTTTTTGAAGTTGTCGACAAGACGAGCCAGGTAGGCGAGGACGTAAAGGACCACGCAGACGAGCGCGATGAATCCCTTTGTGAAATCGATCGTCATGCTGGACATGTTGGCCGTGGGGTTAGGTTCCCTGTCTGACTCTTGGTGTTTTGTAATGCTAGTCGCTTGACCAGAAAAGAAGGCGTGATTGTTGTGAGAAGTAGGTGAAGGGGAGATGGTGGGATTTTGAGATGATGAAAGTGTTCTGGCCGTCAATAGTCGCTAGACTACAGGTCGTCCCCAAGCCTCCTATGATCGATCTGGGCCTTGAAATGATGTGAAAGTGTAAGAAGTCTGCCGCGCGCGTGTTAGCAAAAGTGAGAACCACCAGAAGGACTCGAGATAGATGGAATATATTCACCTCGTTACGTCCCGTGATGCGCCTTGTACAGGCGAGCTCGTGATACTGAGGTGGCCTTCTGACGTTGCGCGTGCACTTGTGGTTGCTTGAGAAGAGGAAGGCGGGTGGGTGGACGTAAGAGGAGGAGGAAAGGATGGTGGGCGGCGGGGATGGAAGTGAAGGTCGAGTGCTTTGGCGAGGGGGAAACTAAGAACCCAAAAGCGACAAACAAAACAACAAGTGAAGTGAAGTGAAGTGAAGAGGCCGACACTGGTCCGTGCCACTCAGAGCCGATGACGCGGGTCAAAATGGAAGGAGCGAACAAAACCGTGTTGGCACTAGGTACAGTACTGTAGACCGGCCAGAAAGGTTGCTTCCGTGTTTGATCCTATTTCGTATAGTCTGACCCGGGACTTGTCCATCACGGTTCAGAGGACAAAATAAACAATGAAAGGCAAGAGCACCAACCCGCCCCCGAACTTTGACAGACGTCTGAAGCAACCACTTCCTCTTCCTATAGTGGCAGACGATAGGTAGTATAGGGTAGGGCTGCTCTGGCTTGATGACGGCGACGACGACGACAACGACGAGTTGGTGGCAGAGGCAACTCCAGTCGACCCATCTTCCTTGACGATGTCCTCTTTGCTCTGATTTCCATCAGCAGCGCCATCCTTCTTCAGAACAATACTATCCCAGTTTCCCGACATGTCGCCATACGAATAGCTCGCCGCCGGATACTGATTCGTCACCGACACCCTCTCAACATACATCGTGAACGGCCCCTTGGTATAGTCCGTCACACCCCCCGCCCATGCAATTGTCCCCGGCGCATTATCCGGGTCACCTCCAGCCCACGAGCCGATTCTCAGCTTCATGGGCGTCTGCGGATAGTTCAGCCCTCCGACCGCATCCTCTTCCTTGAGCGTGCGAACCGCCTTTCCATCCACGTACCACGTCAATTGACCAATTTGCCAGTCGATCGTATAGTTGTGTCTCGTTCCTTGCACATCGTGCACTGCTGAATTCCCGCCGCGGTTATACAAGGTCACGTTCCCCTTGCCAAAATAGTTGGTCTGCACTTCGTCGTTGTTGCCGCCGATCAATTCCCAGTCAATCTCGTCTCCGTCATCGCTCCCAAGCACCACGCTGCTGACGATACCCGTCCCCGGAGCTGCACGCATGAGCACCTCGACGCGGCCAAAGAAGATATACCAGTTTGTGGAGATGGTGGGTGCGTCTCCCTTCTTGGAAAGAGCGAGGACGGCACCTTGGGAGGTGTAGATAACGGAGCCGGCGCCTACGGACGTCCAAGAAGCCTGGTCCATTGTTCCTTTGGTGAAATCGATGCTATATGGATTGTTGGTAAGACCTATGTCCTGAGGGCAGCCAGAGGCTGTGATATGACATAGCACCCTCTCATACGTCAGCGGTCTAGTTCTGAAAGTATGTCATGTAAACGTCCACCTGAACCTACTCTTGATGGGATTACAATCCGTCCCTGATTGTGCAGCAGCCAACGCAACCAATGCCGAAAGAACCAAGAACAGCCTCAGCAACAGGAGGCTCAACGTATCGTTGCCCATTGTTTTCTCAAGTGAGGGAATATTGGGGAAAAGGCCAAGGGGAGGAACGAGACCCAGAGAAAAGGATGAGAGAAAGATGCGGATGGGGTTGATATTGTGATATCTTTCACGGCACTCAGCAACGACGACGACGCACAATAAACGCGGTCCAGTTCAAGATTTGGAGAATGCCAAACCAGACCGTCGACGCTGCGGAAAGACGGCCGCCTTCCTCACCTTTTCTACCCACCTGTCTGGTCCTAGTAGTCGTGATGGTGACTTTGGGACCAAGTACGCTTCGTCCTTTCCGCGTCGTCATACTTGGTACATCCGTTGGCCCTTGATCGATAACACATCGACGAGACGCAAGCGCTCAGACCGAGACGGAACAAAACAACAGCCTGTCTTTCGTCACACGGTGGAAGCTGGAACGACGGAAACTATCGAGTCAGAAACAATGATGGTGAACACTAACTGACACTGACAAGCTGGCAGGGCTGCCTCGTGTCCGTAAGACTGAATCACTATCTTCTAAAGTGTTGCCTAGAGAGGCAAAACCAAGCGAGTAGATTTAGTCCTAGGTACCTCTAGAGTTGCGAAGAATGAGCCACGGCTCGATGGACCAAAAAGCGCAGAAAAATCCGGAGTTCAAGTTCGTTGGTTCGCAAGGTCCTGGGTGCTAAGTAGGTGGCCGCCTCCAGTCCAAGGTTATCGGTACCAGGCCTCCCGATGGACCTGTCACTATGTAAGCACATTCCCGTTTCAGCCATGCTCGATTGTGAAACAGGACAACAGGAGATGAGTTCAAAACAGTTTTACCATGTCTCTTTCTATCATCGGACGAGCCATTCCCCCGGTGCTGTTCCAGACCATTCCCTTCACCAGCACCCATGGTCTGGTAGTTTCATACAAAGCTGATTGGCGACACATCTTATCGCTTCAAGTTGAGCTCTCCATATCGCACGGCCCCATGTCCTATAGCTCACTGCCACGCGTGCCACGTATTATCGTGCCTGTCCCATACACTGGCGAAGAGCTTTTCGTCGTTTTGTGCTCGTCGTAACGTTGTTGTGACCCTTGTTTCCCCTTTGGGACATCTCCTTGTATAAGTTGATTTTATTACTCTGGTATCAATCGCCTGATGCTTTCCTTCGTGTAACTAGTAACGCCCAGACGCCGTGCTATTATATGCCGTAGGTGGTAGGATGGCCCGTGCATTAACCGCATAGGGTTTGTAGTCGGTGGCGCACGCCATTATGTATTATTCAATTATTTAGAATCTGTGAAAGTGTTAGCGAAATGCATTGCGCTGGTAAAGGATACCAGCAAAGAAATCAGAGAAAAAAAGAACGGCAACATACCTAATCTCGTAGCTTCCTGCCCTTGTCATATACCTCACCCACTTCACACTCGAGTAGTTGCTCTTCTCGAACACCTTGAGATAGCGAACCAGCAAGCCAGAGCTGGTGAACATCAGCAGGCTAAAATTCATGCTGAGTGGCGGCCTGCTCCAAGCCTTCTGGTTCGTCATGCTAGTAAGCTCGGCCTCGGCGCTCAGCACAAACTCGCTCTGTCCAGCAAAGCGACCAATCTTCCACACAATCACGTTCTCGGACGGCTCGTACTTGGCCTTGCCCTGGGTACAGCGCTCCGTGATCCTGGCCGTGTTGAGCGGCGTGGGAATCTTGACGACCACGTTGGTCGCAAATAGCTTGGATCCAAAGTTGGCGCGCACACCGATGCTGTATTCCACCTTTGTCTTGCCCACCTCGTTGACAATGGCATGCACTTTGAACGGCAGGTTGACGTTCTCGGTTGCGCGGTACCTCATCAGCTCGAACTCGCCGTCGGGCGGGATGAAGCTGATGATGCGGTCACTGTCAAACTTGCCCAGCTTGACGCACTGGTGGAACTGGCAATCTTCGAGCGTGACGCTGCCGGCCGCGGCCTTGGTCGCCTTGCTTCCCATCCTGTTGCCGCTGGGCAGGCTCATGAGTCCGTCCTGGTCGAGTAGGAGGCGATCGTTGAGACCGAACTTGCACTCGGGCGTGCCGCTGAGGTAGGCGCGCATGATGATCTGGCCGTTGACGTCGGCGCGCAGGACGGAGCCGGTTGCGCTCATGAGCAGGTTGACATCTTCGATTACGTCGACAAAAGCTTCGTTCTTGCGGTACTTGACATCGGCCTTGCGCCAGGATAAAGCGCCAGTAGCTTGCATGGTGATCTTGGCGGAGTCCTCGACGGCGCGCTCAGACTTGACGCCTTCGGTTGTGATGTACATCTTGAGAGTGTCGGTCTCGGTGTTTTGGGGATATCCAAAGTCGATGATTTCTGCAAGGGCGCCGCAAACACGGAGTTGAGGTTAGTCGCAAGCCGCCATCTAGACACACCAAAAAGGGGGCTACCGTAGGTGGGACATACCATCCAGGAGCTCGTAGACCAGGACAAAGTTGTTCTTGACGGCCTCCTCGTCAAACTTGCCAAAGTAGCCGCGACCCAGCTGGATCAAGCGGTAGAGGAACTCGAAGACCAGGGCGGCATTGGCGTTACTACGGGTGATGGCGACCAGGTAGATGTTCTCGTGCTTGACATGGCTGAAGGTGGTGCTGCCGAGGGTCAAGATAGGGGATCGGACCTGGGCGTTGCTGATGACCTGGATGCGGAACACGTCCGCCAGTCGTGGGCGGCAGTCATTGCGGAAGGCTCGGAAGATGAGGTTCTCGCCCTTTTGGTTGAAGATGAGGATCCCGGACAGCATCGTGACGGGTCGTCGGGGGAAGAAGGTAATGATTGAAAGTTGCAAGTCGAGTTGGCGACGGGCGGCGACGGCAGACACGAGCGGGCAAGTTTCAATGTCAAAGGCGGCGGGCGGTCGGGAACAGGAACCCGCGTCTACACACACACACACTACCTTACCTGCGTGTACTGTACCTACCTACCTACTGCGGTTGCGAGCAAAAGTAAAACCCCCCTGTCAAGTACCGACAGGGAACACGGCTCTGGCCACCAGTTGGCCACTATCCGATGCAGCCGAAGTCGCCACAAGTACTTTGCCACCAAATTTCTATAGAAAAGGACCTCGAGGTTCATCCGATTTAGATTTTGAATATTAATAAAGTAAAATACTATAGTTCGACCTAAGGGTACTACCGGAAGGAAGTAATTGTCTATTAAGGATAGGGCAAAAATTAGAACCCTTTATTTTAATACCAAAATAAATTAAAGCCAAATTCACTAATTATTCCCCCTTTATTCTAAAGACTAAATCCGTTACGCTTGTCGGTCCGAGAGTACTACCGTTGTTCCCCGGCCGGGCTGGCCGCGGAAGTTAATTTAAATTTAGGAAGAAGAATTCGTCGAATTCGTCTACAATTCTAAAAAGACTAAAAGAATACCTTTTCTCCAACTATTAATAGTTCTCTTTAGAGCTATCTTTAGAGTTTAGGCTATTAAAAATACTTTCTACCGCTTCGGTTTCCGTAGACGATCTACCCGGAAAAAACTATTAATTTCCGAACGGATACGGGGCCTCCGGTTTTAATAGGTATTAGAGTATTTTTATTAGATTCTTTAATAATAGGTATTTATCCTTTGGATGGATAAAACCTGGGTAACCGGGGGCCTTTATTGGAAGTATTATATTATTCGGAGATTGGGGGAAGAATTTAATCCTACTTGTATTATTGAAAAGTATTAGAAGAAGTCCGGATGGATGTTTTGGGGTAGTTTTTTTGGGAGAGGAAAGGGGCCGGGCTTTTTTTAGGAAAAGGATTGGGGTAGTATTAATATTGCTTCCTATAGAGAATGTATTATCCCGGTTATCGATAAGTACTTCCGTTCTTTACGAGAAATCGGTATTAATTTTTTTCTAATGTAAGATAATGCCCTTGGCTACGCTGCCGCCGCTACTATTAACGAATTTCGAGATCGAGGTATTCCAATTATTAAATGGCTACCTTTCTTTCCGGATTTAAACCCTATAGAATTTGTTTGGAATTGGATGAAGGATTTTTTCGAGGATAAATATGGGATGGATGAGACTCCTTCTTATTTACGCCTCTGCTGTTATGTTAATGAGGTTTGGGAGGAGTTTCTAGAGTCGTATTTAGCTGAGCTTTTGGAATTAATGCCGGTTAGATGCTAGGCTGTTATTGATGCTAATGGGATGTATACTAAATACTAGTATTTACTATAGTAATCTAATGTCTTTTTTGGTGTTGAAGACGCCCGGCCACCCCCGGCCACCCCCCTGCAACCCCCCTGTCGGTACCAGCCCCACCCGTTTTTTTTACCCATACCACCATAGTAGGTGTTGAGCGCCCCGACTAGTGCCACCTGAACGGCGGCTCTTCAGGGGATGGTGGACGCTACAGGGGCGCGCGACATGGGTGCCCTGCCGGAGAGAGGAGCCTAGGTGCCGCTCTGACCTAGCTGTGCCAGTCTCCGTCCTGCCGCACCCGACGGCAGGCAAGAACCGAGCGAGGTACATCATGCCTTACTCCTGCCCTAAGCGTTTAGGAAACACAGCAGCGCGGCCTGATGGAAAATTGTTAGTGACACACGCACTGCGCTCTGCACCAAGCAACGAGGTACTTTGACAACGAAGCCCCTTTTCGTGGCACTAACAATAAACAAGGAGCACGTCTACAACTCTGCGCCAAGGGGAAAAAGATGGGCACTGTCATGACTCATCACATCGTAGACTTCAACTCCCAGTTATAGGTATTTCAAGCATCTGTCTTCAGGATGGCCCAAAGACATCCATCGTAGCTCTTCTCGCCCACAGTCTGCATGACCACCGACTCAACCCTCGGGTCCTTGGCCACTCCCTCTACCAGAATCCTGCCCGCCGTCTCCCTGGGCTCCGTCAAGCTCTGGTCAATCAACCTGCCTCCGCGCACCACATTGTCCACGCAAATCATGGCCTTGGGCAGCGCCATCTCCACCGCCAAGTTGAAGTAGTTGAGGTTATTTGGCTTATCGGCATCGATAAAGAAGAAGCCGAACTTGGGCCTCTTGCCCTCCTCAATTTCCTTCTTCAGCTGGTTCAACACCTCCAATCCTGATCCCTGAATAACCTCGATCCTGTCCGACAAACCCGCGTACTCAATGTTCTTGCGCGCCACCTCAACGTGGTGGGGGTCAAACTCCACAGTGGTAAGCTTCATTTGCGGGTTCTCGCTGGCGAGCCAGATGGCCGAGTAGCCGCCCAAAGTGCCGACCTCGAGGGCGTGCGTGACGCCCAGGACGCGGCACTGGAGAGCCATGAACTTGCTCTGAGCCGGAGAGGCCGAGATGTCGGGCAGGCCGGCGGCTTTAGAGGCATCAAGGGCGTTTTGGAGGGCTGAGGCGTTGGGCTTGCTGGAGGGGTGGAGCTGGCCCATGGTGTAGCCGTCGACGGCGGTCCAAACGTCGTTTTGGACCCAGTTGTGACCCTTAGCCTCGAACTTGAAGTTGCCGGTAGACATTTTGATGGTGAGATGTAGTGTTTGTGGCGCTAAAAGTGATTGTGGTGGTGAAGGGCGTTTTGGCAGGGGGCGCTGATGAGGAGGTGCTATTTGGCAACAAGGTAAGTGAAAACTTGGGAGTTGAGCAAGGAAAAGGTGGTCTAAATACCTACCTGTAGCGAAGCTCTTCTGAAGGTGGTCAAGTGATCTACCCTGAACGATGACTGCTCATGGTGGTTATGCGTGAATGTGTCAAAGGTTCAGCCGACATGCAAGTCAGCTCGGTTGTGCTCGGCGACGTCGGAGATGCTGCATTTATTTAGTTCTAAGTGGCGTGACGGTGCATTCATTTGGAGATCCCAAGGGGGTGAAAGTGGTATAACTTTTTACATCTATCATCCTAGGAGGCTGTATATAGCCGGGCTCGCTATGATCCGTTTGGTGTTGAATTTCATATCCAGGGGAGGCCCTGGCTCGTTCGAAGTTTGTATCTGGCTGTGAAGGTCAATGTTTGCTCTCTCTGGGATAGAGACCGGATAGAGTACAGGTCGGGGTTTTAGAGGCGCACTCAAGCCTGCCGTTGCGGAACCCTTCAGCGAGCGACGCACATATCCGCCCGAGACCAACCCAAGTCCTTTCCCATTACGAGCAAACAACTATGGTACTGGACCATAGCATTCTTACAAGCTGGCTCCTGAGTGTCTATCGCATCTCCATTAACGCCATCACATTCTGGAGCCTGTGCTACACCGTGGCTTGCGTAAGCTGACAATGACGACGCTGCCCTCAATGACGGGTGGGTTCCTGGAGAGGGGATCCAATGTTACAATGGAGTTGGAGCTCGCTCGGGCGTTACTTTCGGTGATAGGAACGGGGGCGCGGGGTTGTAAGTGTTAGTGCGGGAGAGAGTCATCGTTGAGGGGGGTGATGGTGTCTTGTTCCGTGTGTGCCATCAGATGTCATTATTAATCAATCAAGAAGCCTGAGGAGGGACTGTGTATTCTGTCTCAGATGAAGCCATCGTGAAGATATCTTATTGCTCGTATCACAACCGGAACCGACTTCATTAACAAGGCTTACCCCCGCCCGGCGAACAGACTCCACAAGATCCGGTACTAACATGTTGATGGGCGTCATTAGATGCCGATGGCCGTGATTGACAGACGCTGATGATCACCACAGGGCGGCAGGAAATAAACATAGGTACCTAGAGGTAGGTACCATTTCGAATGATGCAGTGCTTTGCAGACCTGGAGACGGGAAAGCGTTTAAAGGGCGGTGTTTTGTAAGGCATCAAGTGACAGCGCAAGTAGGACCCTTTATGCACACAATCGGAAAGATCGATTGGTTCTCGGCTTACAAGGTATATCAAAAGAAAGAAATCCTTCCAATCGCCCGAAAATGAAGGTTCATTTCAATCAAGCCCAGCCGACGATAATTTAGACGCAGAAGGGGATCACTGGAGTTTACTGGTAAATAGTGTTGTCGGTATGTAGTGTACATACACTATTGGAGTGCCGAAGAAGCCCCGGCGGGTCTGACGTCACTGGACCACTCACCGCTGTCTTTGCACTCAGGAACGGCATCTTTTCCTTGGCTCACATCGCTGTAAGTCGAAAAAAAAAACACCCGTTTTCTCACCAAACGTCTCGTGAGAAAGCCCCATGGAGTAACCCGAAGGCACCATTACGCAGCTGTGCATGCCAGGACACAGGAACTATTGGATAGAAACCCAATTAAGTTTTGTTAAAGCTTGATCCCATGCCGATATCCTCCCTCACCTTCACTATGATGCCTCGACCTGCAGATCTTGCGAGACTTTCATGTCACAACCCACGACGATATCTCTTAAATATCTCATAACCTCTTTGTGAGCTCTTTACCTACGAGCGCATTCTTTCCCAAACCGTAACCCAACCTCAACCAACCAACACCACCACCACCACCACCACCACCACCACAGCTTCAGCAAGATGGAGGCTGCAGGAGCAATCGACGATAGGAGGATCAAGCAAAGCTTCATCCTCGCAACCCTCATATCCACCATTGCCGGCACCTTCACCACCGGCGTAAACCTGTTCGATCGTGTTGGGGAAGCCAGAAGGCAACGGAGACAGCGCAAGATGGACAGGGGCCAAAACCGAAGGATCAAGGAGCTGGAACAGCGACTGGATGAGGCTGTGAAGAGCAAGTCCGAGGTCGAGGAGCGCCAGGGTTCTCGAAATAGAAACCAGAGGGAGGGAGACGAAGAAGATCTAAGAGACTCCCTTCGGCGTGGCGGTCCGCTGGTTCAGGGGCAGTATGATCAGCTTTACTCAAGGATGGGGCCTCAGTTTGCTCAGGGTGACTGTAAGCTTTCACATGTCCTTCATGACCTTTCAGCAAGAAGATACAGTCGTATTGACATCATCATCAAGTGCTCGCCCAAACCCAACTTCAAGGCCAAATCATCACCCTCCAAGGCACCGTCATCAAAATGCTTGAAGAAGCCCTCTACACCGGCGAGCCCCCAGACATCCGCAAGCTCTACAACGCCTCTGAGTTTGCCCGGGAAGGCAGCATGCGCGCTCTCCGCGACCAGTACCAGCGTCTTCTCCAATCCGCCCCCATAGACCGGGCTCTTCCCGCTCCAGGACCCGGTCCAGCCCCATCCTACCGTTCCAACCGAAGCCAAAGCCGCCCCATCGCTCCTGTCCGGCGCACCTCCTCGACCCCTTCCCTCCGAGACTACTACAACACCAGCGACTACGACACCTCCTACCACCCCACCACCACCCACACTCGCACCCGCGGCACACGCGGCACCGGAGGCTCCGTCGCCCACTCGCACCACTCCCACTCCCAGTCTCACTCCCACTCGCGCTCCCCTTCGCTGCACTCATCAAATGGAATCCCCAAGCAACTAACCTACCACAACTCCATCTACTGCCAATACGCCACGTACCTGCAACAATCCGGGCAACCGCTGGACTCCTCACTGGCTTCCTCGGGCGTCTGCCCCGACTGCCACGCGCACTTGTTCGACCCCGTCGAAGTCGTGCAGCGGGGACCGTGGAGGATCGATAAGGAAGTCGTGACGCACAACGAGCGGACGGGTCAAGAAGATGTGGAGTACAGGAGTTACCTGTTGACGACGAGGTTTTTCGTCAAGTGTCATCGGGAAGGGGGCGGGTTTGCGTGTTACCTGTGCTCAAAGTATCGGGAGAGGGATACGGTTTGTAAGAGGGAGGAAAGTCTCGTGGATCATGTGGGGGAGAAACACTCGATTGGGGAGTATGCGGAAGATGGGGATGTGAGGGATGTTACGAGGTAATACGTTTCTTTTCTCTGAGCTAACGTTTGGTCTTTCCTTGTCACGACTTTGTTATGGTTGCATCGAGCGTCACGAATTTATGAGGCATGATATCACATGGCAGAAATGATCAACACATACGATATAATGATAAATGATGAGAGAGTAGATGGTTTTTTGCATTCTGAGTTGAGTCTCTCTGTATCTGTACGAAATCATATCTCCTCCGCTTAATTATCCCTTGAATAGGTATCCAAAAGTTTCAAAGCCTGGGGTATCTCTCCAAGCTGTGGTATCCAATGAAATAGAACAAAAAAAATCAAAAAAAAATCTGTATCATAGACAGATAGATGTCTGCATGCCTTTGTTTCCTCCATCATTCTACGCATGCCATGTGTTGCCATCCGACTCTATCGGATCAAGTGAACCAAAAAGCAGATCATCCAACTTTTGAAGACACCGCAGCCATCCCAACCTTTTTTGATAACCGTGGGAAGACCGCACTGCATGCCCCCATTTTGAAGACCGATCCATTACCCATGAATGTAAAAAGAGATCCCAAACCAAGTCCGGCCAAGTCATGTACGCCGGAAACGAAGAAAAAAACAAGAAATGACAAGAGACAAAAAAAAAAAAAAAAAAAAAAAAAAAAGGAAACAAAAACAAAAGTCCAACAATGATAACAACAACCCGCTTGCTTCCCTTTTTGACAATATGAAAAATTCACTCTCGCTCGCTTCCCTTCTCAATAACACCACCAACTCAGACAACTCGCTGCCAAAATCAAGTCATACATTGCATCCCGTCGCCTTGCTCATCCTCCTCACCTTGTCCATCAGGCTCATCTCGCTCTGCAACTTGTCCAACTCCTTTCTCGTCTCAAAGTTGCTTTCCAGCTTCTGGGCGACCGCCTCGCGAATCATGTCCTCTCCGCGATTCATCCAGACCTGCCAGCCCGAGTTCGACAGCGGCCACAGCGGCTTGTTGTCGATATTCTCAATCCACTCGGCATTCGTCGTCCTCTTCTTCTGGCAGGCAATGATGTCCATATCCTCGGCAACCTGCGCGCAGTACGATTCCAGCGGCAAGTCGTTGACGTCCCGACCAAACGGGTTCTCAATCTCCCTGCCAATCATGAGCAGGCCCAGAATGATGTAGGCCGCTGCGATGGTGGCCGGAATCGTGATCCAGTTGAGCGTGGGCAGCAGCTGGAAGGGAAGCAGGAGGATGTAGACCCAGGTGATTTGCGCAATGGCGATGGCGTAGGCGATGGGGAGCGGGGTGGACAGCACACGGTCGGTACCCACCAGGACGTCGTTCAGGATCGCCATGTTGTTGTAAGCAAGCGTTTGCTGCATGGGCACGGGCAGCTGACCGTTGGCAATCAGCTCGTCCGTGTAGGTGGCGAGGTAGCAAAGGATTTCGAGGGGGAGGTTGCCAAGCGGGCGAGATGCCTTCTTAATCACCTTGCGCGGGTTGGAGGCGGCGAAGCTAACACCAATGTACTCGCCAACTGCCTTGAAGAAGCCAGGTGGCTGGAGGGACTTGAGGGTCTTATCCGGCTCCTCCTCGGTGGCGCGCTGGGCAAAGGTGTCAAGGTGAGCAACGAGGTGGGAGATGTCATCGTAGCAGGTGTAAGGCTCAAAGCGAAGGCGGTGCTTGAGAGCCACAGAGAAGGCGACCAGGAGGTTCAGCACGGTTCTGGGAACACGTTAGCAATGAAACTTGCGGATCGGAAATACTTTTGACTTACAGCTTGGCCAAAACGTCCTTCTTCCCTAGCTCGCCTTCCCGCTCTTTGGCATGCACCCAGTAGACACGACCAAGAGTCTGACACGCCAGGAGCAACGAAGCCCAGTAACGGCGACCCTCTGAATAGCGCTCGTATGCAGTTGAGCTGCGGAAAGACAGACCCATACCAACCACAAAACCGAGGACGGTCAGAAGAATGTTGTGGATACCCACTGGGGACGGAATGTTAGCTTCCGCCTGGGATCGAGATAGGATAGGCAAAGGGGACAGTTGCAACGCACAGTTTGTCACTTTAAAGTTGATCACAGTGAGCATAGTGGTCCAGGCACCGACTCCGAGGAGTGGAAGCATCATCTTGGGCAGGATACTGCCGTGCATCTGCATGAAGAGAGGCCATTTTGAGTGCTTTTGGGTGTCTCGAGGGCCAGTCTGGGATCGTGAAAGGGTTATGTTAGTAGTGCTCTGAGAACTGAATGATGTAGGGGTGAATATGGTGAAACATACAAAGTAGTCATCGATCTCTAGAGGGTTGTGTACCCGCCGAAAGGGGTTCATGGTGTTGTGACGAGGCGACATGAGCGTGGGGATCGCGTCCAGCTCAGGAAGGGTCTCGATGGATAACCGTGGCAGCCGGGGCTTCTCGGTGCTGCCATTAAAGTGTTGTTGGTCCGGTAGCCGGTGGGCAGGGTCTACCTGACCGTCGTCGCCGGCCATTGTGGATGTGATGGTGTTGGAGTCGGAAGAGTCTAGTCTGGCTGAAGGGGGTGCTGGAGGCTCAGCCCCGGCCGGGAGACTGCTTCGAGGCGGCTGAATTGTCGCCATGTGTGGAATACCTAGTAGTCCAAGAGAGGTGGTACCCACAGGAACCGGGAGGGAAGAGACGAGACGGATATATGTCGGAATCCGGGGGAAGTGGTGACCAATTTCACTCGAATCCTCCAGATAGGGAAATGCGAAATAGCTGTCGACACAATGGTCCTATCCCGTGTACGTCCAGATGTTGTTGCTGGAATCCGCAGATGGTACTTATCGTAGGTGTTGAACCGGGTGGTCGATGATATGGAAATTCTTTGGGAAAAGACCGAGTAGGAGAGCCCCTTGAGATCAAACGAATGGCATGGGGTCAGGACAATTAAGATGAAATAGGAGATAATCTAAGGAAGTGAAAAAGAAAAGTGTATGATGAAACTTGTATGATGAAAAATCTAGACCGAAAGGAGGAAAAGGGGATGTGGATGTTTGTGTGGGGGAGTTGGCGTTTAAAGGTTTATGGTCTGTGTCGATGACGACGACTGTGAAGTGTGAACTCTCTTGCCCCGTCCGTCTCTCCTTCTTTTCCCAGTGCTTTTATGGAAATTCCAATTTCTGCTTTCCGCATCCCGGCATCCGGGCCCTTGACCCTTCCAAGTCTCCACGTCGTCCGCCCATTGTCGTGCCCCTGTTTGAAGCTGTCATGCCCTGGTCCATAGTGTGTACCTGGATGGGAGATCGTCCTCCACACTGGTCCATCATCTCCGGTTCCCGATTTCCTGATTTCTCGGTGTTGTCCGTAGTGCTATCCCGTTATATGTAGCACCGGTGCTTTTGATGGTCGCATTCGGCCGTTCCATCTCAGCTTCCTATGAGGGTACGTACACTACAAGGAGGGTGGGTGGATGGGATAGGTGAGTACAGAATTTGCGAATTGGCAAAGAGCAAGATAAGTCAAAGAGGAACCCGTCGTGTTCTGTCGTCGGCTGTGAAACAAAAACCCCACTCTCTGCCAGGGCTGCCGGCAGATCTCCACCAAACATTGGCAGCGGTTCCTGACCAAGTCACGTGCATTGTACACATACGCGCATTGTTGGGTCTGACACACGGGCCACTCAGTGGATCCGGAGATTCGGAGCCTGAAGGGCCCCTCGACCCTTCTTGGCTGTTTCAGTGACGGAAAACATGGGTGCGCAAATTGAGAACTTCAGTCTTTCAGGCATCGACAACCCCAAGTGGGAATCCCCGTATTCCCAATTTGCAACCAAATTCACAAAGGCATTGACCCGACCACAACCGCCATACCATTTTCATGACCAAACCCATGGCAACACCCCCCCCACAGGGCAGCAAGCCCCAAACGGAACATCACGAGAAGCTTGGGCTGCACTTCGCCCTCAAGACAGTGGATCTTTCGGAGTCTGGATGCTCAGCAAAACTCCACCGCAAACAGTCATTGAAAGATCAAAGAGATGTGATTGGAAAACATTCGCAGCTCTCCATCCGTGTGGAAGCTACATGCTTGCTCGGATCAGTTGCTGGTTTCATGGATCTATGCCTGTCCCTACACTGCACTATTTTTGTTTGAATATGCTGCTGCTGATCTTCCGAGTTTCTCTAGTGAACAGTCTCGGCCCTTGGCGTTCGAGCCTGAATGCTGAATGTCGTCGTCTGAACACTGTTATAACTGACCATAACTATGTCACCATGGAAAACTCTTCAACATCTCATCTCCGCGAGGAACGCGTTGCAACCTGTCGGCTATGCTACCCGCCCTAATCTTCTCCCGCCCTTCTAGAAACCACGGACAGGCTTCCCACCCGCCCTCTTAGTGAGACAGTAACGCCGTGAATCTAACCGATTTGAACATCACCCCCCTGAACTGCGAGCTTGGCGGGCTTAAGCGGCAGACGCCACCACGAAACCTAGCCTACACGACCACACATCCCCTTGTTTCACCACATCTCGGCTACCTCTTCTTTGGCAATGCGGTGCGACCAGTCATCCAATGCGACTGCGTGTGCGTGCGTAAATGAAAGAAGAGTGGAGAGAAGAAGAAACACACAATACACTGCTCTGTTAAGATAGGATACAGAGACACATCTGTCAAACCGATATCACCTCATCGGCTGGAGCACGGTTTCAGCGAGGATTAACACCATTGGTGCTTCGTCAAATCTTCTTCTCGGCTGAACGCATAGCTGATGAGCGCTTTCTCTCCAAATGCCATCATATCATTGTCATTATCATCATCATTGTGGAATACAGCGCCCCCGATTGTGCTAGGTCGCCTCAAAGTCTCAAACAGGTCGTGTTTCTCTGATCCTCAACTCAGTGTCTCGAAGGGTTAGGTAAGACGTTTTGTGTTTCTGAACAAACTCCATCAGTCCACTTACCCAAAGTGATCTTCGGGGCCGAGGCCGTAAGACATGAAATGCTGAGGAGTGCCCTCCCGGTAGCCCCGATGTTCTCGATCAAAGTGCTTTCACCCGATCATCTCCGAACTTTCGACAGAATTTTCAAGCTCAAACATACCTTTTGTTCTTCGATGATACTTCGATCGCGATATAGGCTTCGTGACTCACTTGCTGACCTCCAGTGGGCGACCTTCCGTTGCAATCATCGCGCATTGGGCTGCTACTCTATATCGTGGAAATCTTATAACCCAAATCTCCGGTATGCGAACCCAACATTTTCACCCGACCATCTCCGGACCTTGACGAAAATCATGGATCCCTCAACAAACTTTTACTTCTCTTGTAAAGGGCGTCATTGCCAAACCGGTTTTTTTACGCCAAGAAAATTGTATAATGAATCTCCGGCTCCTCATGAGCCCAACTTTCGCACCCGACCATCTCCGGATAAAGAAAACCGCAAGGCGAAACAGAACCTATATTAGACTAGATATCAACTTCACGACCCACAAGTATAAATCAGCGATCTTTGGTTATTGCTAGGACGCTAATTGTCCCATGCATGCTTCTTATCAGATTGTTTGTTGCTTAGTACTTCAATATCTCAACCCGAATTTATCCGGAATACAAAGGGATTCACAAGGAAAGACAGATTCAATGTCAAGTGTTTCAATAACAATCTGTTCATCATGACTCATTTCACTTCATAGTCTACTACTATCAACCAGGTCTATGTACCACCCTATGCCGATCTTAACACTAAATTTCCGATTCTGCACGAGTCTAACTTTTCACCCGAATATCTCCGGATCGTGAAGTAATTCACAAACCTACATCGGCTTCTTCCTCTTCTCTCACCAGAATGTTGGCGTCGGTCATGAACTTTGGCACACGCCAACTCACTTAACTTTCAGTCAGGTCTCCCATAAGAACCTCATTTATACTCTATTATGTATGTCGCCGAGACAATTTCCCTAGGTATGCTTTCACTTCGATATTTCGATCAAGCATATCCAGACGTCAATGCGTCGATGCTTTTCCAGGCCCAAAGAGGTCTATTCTTCCTTCATCCCTGCGCTGATCTCGATCACGACCTTTAACTCTCAGTTACAGTCATTCCCACACTCAAACGCCTGTGCAGTCTTGGCGGATGTGTGCGTGTACACACACACACGACTTTTTGGCAAAACGGACTATCGATGAGATTTCATTTGTTTATATCTCTACTAAATGAAAAGATAAAAGAAAACCGATTTAAAATTCTGAATTAGCGTATTTGAGACTATTAGGAGAATAGTCTCTCATATAGGAGAATTGAATTTCTTCATCTTCATCTTTCGTTTCGATAGTCCGTTTTGCCAAAAAGTCGTGTGTGTGTATACACGCACACATCCGCCAAGACTGCACAGGCGTTTGAGTGTGGGAACAGTGCACTTTGAAGATCGACAACGAAACCAACTTCCTATCCATAACGCATAGACTATAACATCAAGGGTATCTCTCAACATAATCTTCCAAAAACCAAGCGGCGGCTAAAATCCGCACCACATTCCAACTTTTTTCCCCTCTCTGTCGACCATCCAATTTTGCGCTAACACTCATGTGTTATCATCAACACCTTCCAAGGGTCCCGCTCTATTCCGACAATACCACCAAAGAGACGACAACCCAACTCAACCCACTAGTACTGGAACCTCCACCTGGGATCCTCATCCCCATCCCAATCCTTCAGATGCCCAACCTCTTCCACTTCCGGCGCAACCCCATCCCGCCTCTTATTCTCCCTACTCAAAACAAAATACAACAAGCTCGAGACAATCACATTCCCCACCAGATAGCCCAGCGCAAAGCTGTGACCAACAATATACCTCGGCCCATCACCACTCCTGTACAACTGCGTCCCCAGCACCGCACCCAAGTTGCCGATACTGATCTGCATCGCATTAGCCACCGCTCTCTTGGTTTGTCCAGAGACATTAATCGCCGGCCACGAGAGCGCCAGGGCCGTGGCGGGGTAAATGCCGCCTGCAGCGAAGAAGGTACCGGCGTAGGACAAGCCCGGGTGGGCTATGGGATCCTTGTTGGCGAGGAGCATGATGTAGCCGATTATGGCGAAGATGGCGGAGCCGATGATGAAGATGGCACGCTGGTGCAGACGCTCCGAGACGGTGGCTACGGCGATGGTGGTGAGGAAGGCGAAGGCATAGGGCGGGATGGTGAGGAGTTGGGCGGTTGCGGCGCGGTAGCCTAAGGCGTTGATAATGGAGGGCTGTGACAGTGGTTAGTATATGAGACAGGTAAGTGATGTCCTCTCATTTTGTTGTGTTGGCTTACCAAGAACAGAGAGAAGGTGTAGAGAGGTAAGCTCATGGTGTGGAAACTCAGTCCATAGAGCCAGCACTTGGGGTCCTTTATGGCGCGGAGGACGTTGTCCCAGGTGAAGCGCTCGTCGTGGGTGGCGTCGCTGTCGGAGGCAAGACGGGCGTGGATGAACTTGCGCTCCTTGTCCGAGAGAAATTCGGCAGTGTCTGGGTAGTTGTGGATGAACCAGTAGGCTCCGAAGGCTATCAAGACCGTGGCGATGCCTTCGAGGATGAAGATCCAGCGCCAGCCATGCTCCCAGACAGTGCCGCGCAAAAAGCCAATGCCATAGGCCAAGATGCCACCGAAGGATCCGGCAAGAGCGGCGGCTCCGAAGAAGAGTGAAATGCGGAATTGCCTCTCGCGGCGCTTGTACCACATGGAGAAATAGTAGACTACGCCGGGGAAGAGACCACTTTCGGCAACACCGAGGAAGAAGCGGGCAATGAAGAAGCCAGTAAGGTTCTGGACAATGCCCATCAAGGTGGCTACGATACCCCATAGGATGGTGAGGGTAGGTAGCCAGAACCTAGGCGTTGTGCGCTTGAGAACGATGTTGCATGGGATCTATCAGCGTGTCAGTGAGAAGTCTTCACGATACTGTCGGGAGTAAACACGACTTACTTCAAAAATGACATAGCCGATAAAGTATAGCGTCAGACCAGTTAGGTACTGGTTGCCTGTCATACCAAGGTCTGATGCCAGACCCTCGATCCTCGCGTTGCCCACATTGCTGCGGTCCAAGAAGGAGAGCAGATAGAGAATACCGACGGCAGGCAGGAGACGAATGTCGAGTTTTCGGAGTAGTGACTTTTCATTGACCGAGTTGGTCTCAAAATCAACTGTCTCAGAGGCTTTTACTGAACCTGGGTCAACAGATCTCTTGCCTGGATCTGACTCGGAGTACTGCTGATACTTTTCCTCTGTCACGGGTTCAGCCATGGTTGCTTGGAGATCGAAAAACCCTAAACAAAGATGAAAGACAAAAAATACTGTGAATTACACAAGCGGTGGGATCTGGAACACGGCGCTCGCTGGTAGGTAGTATACGTTTTGGCGGCAATACAGACGGTTAGATAGCCCGATACATCAAGCGCAAGCAAACAGTCTCGTTCATCGTGTAGAACTCTGGCTTTTGAAGAGAGGGGGTTTATATCAAGGCAATTGCACGCCGACTTTGGCCAGACTATATGAAGGTTATCTGATATGGCCAGTATTGGGAAAACGTCGATCTCGACTTCTGGTAATAACGTGAAGCTGGAAATAATGACACTTCCGGCCAGTGAGAAAGATATGAGCCATCATTGTCAAATCCCTAGTGGTGATGGCGACATCGAGCATGAACCTTTGTCATTGGACAGATCGTCGCGATGTCAATACAACTTGGGGGTGCCCTGTCTTGGCGGGGTTGAATCAGTGCGGGAAACTCAACCTGATAAGGATACTGACCCGTCACAATGGATGAAGAGGTCTAAACCAGAGGTGCCGAAGTCCAGGCCGAAGCATTGATGAACAGTTTATGGATAAGTCTAAGCTCGGGACTTGGGATCACTGCCGGCGATATTCAAGGTATGTGCTTGGTGCTTGGTGGATGTGGTCGGTGATGGTCTTTTTGGTTTGGCGTGGGGCCAGCTCTAGCAGTACGTAAGATCTACACAGGCAATGTTTCTAGCAGGAACGTCTTTGAAATCGGGGACTCCCTTGGAGTTCAAAAAGACATCAGGTAACAAAGACTCAACGTCCACTTGTGTGTTGGGTGGTCTGGAGAGACACGCAATGTATGGCTTCAATCACCCGAGATGGTGCGGGGAAGATGACGGGCCCTCGACAAAGAAAAGAAGCAAGGACAGTGATAAGACTAAGTGAACTGTCGATTGACCGACATGAGAAGATTGGACGGCAATTTACAAGAATAAGTGAAAATTCGTTCTCAATTGAGGGGCGCCGTTTCCTAAGCCTGTGTCCTGGACTCCTGGTTTCAACTGTTGGAGAAAGGACGCGATGTAGGAGTGACGAGCTTGGTGACACGCGAGGAGCTTTTGCTCATTTCAGTTAATTTCTCTTTCACTTCGGTAGCACCTGGCCGTCTGGCCTTGACGGAACTCTTTCCGTTCATTCCATAGGTAATGTCCAGGTGAACTTTGGTGTCTGTGAACATGTTGGGGTTTCAGTTGTTTGTGGATGCGAAGTGGAAGCTGACTGTGGTTGGAATTTGGAGAAAGAAAAGCTTTGACCAACAGTTTTCCCCGCACGCTAAACCTTAACCAATGGAGCTCCAACTGGAACCCCCAATTTCATCCAATTTCGCCCAAATCTCCATCTGAAGCTTCCCAATTTCCAGGCACCGACCGCCAAGTTCATTCTCTCCCGATCAGCCAGTGCCAACGAATTGCGTCACAACTGAACTTTCCGCTTCCAACCCTAATCCTCCTTTCAGTTCCTTTGGCTTCTCACCCACCTCGTCGTCGTCTTCTGACCTTTATTTATGCCCCATGACTACATCCCGCTGCACAATCGCTCCCAACGAGACATGAGCTACTCGTCCAGTTTTGTCCACAAGTTCCTCAAGCAGCTACAGCACCATCAACAGCAAAATCCCGCCGCTACTCGATGGCATCTTCCCAGTTACGACGCCACTGATGAGGTAGATCAGCAAGTCATCATATCTCGGAGCTCGCCTCACAGCTTTCAGTTGGGCACAGGAGCATCCATCTTCACGAGCACTCTGATCCCCGCCATCGTGTCGGCCAGATGTGAAGTCATCTTTGTCACCTGCTTCTGGGCCCCTTCAAAGACCCTTTCCGCCATCACCGATGCTCTTGTGAAGCTGGCGGACCACCGCCGTCACTTGCCCAACCCACATGACACTGAACCTCTCACCGTCCGAATCTGCTTTTCGTCGCGATCCGTATTCCAAAAGCTACTGCACCCACAGTCTCGCGATGGCTACACCTACTCGCCTGCTGAATGGCAAAAGAAGCTCGGCCTCCCTGATCCTGCCTTGTTGGACGAGGCCGGCATCCGCCTTCAAGTGAAGAGTCTGTTCTTCCTCCCCTTCAGTGTCATGCATCCCAAGTTTGTCATCATCGACAGACAACGAGCCTTCATCCCAAGTTGCAACGTCAGTTGGGAGCCGTGGTTGGAAGGCTGCGTTGAGATCACTGGCGATGCTGTCGCCAGTTTGCTGTCCTTTTATGCTCTGACATGGGAGAAACATGTTGATTTTCGGAAACCTCTTCCTACCACTCATGATAGCCGTACCTCTGAGCTACAGGGTCAGCTCTTGGATCCCCAGCATCTCATCTTCGTTCCTAGCAGTGCTCACCACTTGGTCCTCCCACCAGCCTCCTCGGCACCGCTCCCGACACTTGTGTTGCCTTCCTCGCATCATCAGAACCCACAGTTCCGCTTCTTGCCATGGCAACCAGCTGCCAAACCTCCGGCTACCCCCTTGAACGTTGCAATGTTGGAGCTATTCGAGCAGGCTCGACAGTCCATCTATCTACAGACCCCGAATCTCACCTGCGAGCCTGTCATTGCTGCATTGCTAGACGCTCTAAAGCGAGGCGTCCATGTGACGATCGTGACAGGTCGAAACATGATGCTTCTGGAGCAGCTTGTCACGGCTGGGACCACCACATCTTGGTGCATCCGATCCCTCGTGCGCCGTTTTAGGAAGCTCCGCACACACGCTGCCCACGATCTAGAATCTGGAGACCCCGGTCTTGGCCACCTGCGAATCTCTTACTTTCACCCGCGTTCCGCAGCCAAACCGGGCAAGCGTGGAAGGCAAGCCCGTGCAGCCAACGATGCCCAGATACAGGATCCCGAAGAGGAAGAGCCAGTGCACACTCATCTCAAGCTGACCATTGTCGATGGCGAGTTCACGGTCCTTGGTTCCGGCAACATGGACCGCGCAAGCTGGTATACAAGCCAAGAACTGGGCGTCTTGTTCCATGATGCAGCTTTTGCAGAATCGGTACGGGAAGGTGTTGACCTTGTGTTGGATCAGCGGCTTTCTCTCGTCTTTGACTCTTTGTATAGCTGAGAAATACAAGGACCTTGAGCAATGTGACGACGACGGAAAGGTGGTGCATCTTTTCCGTCTAGAGACCCGGAAGTCGCCAATCAAAACAGACCCCCTGCCGCTCCACCCCCGCAACAAGAACCGGACACTTACCCATAATGGACATCAAGGAACGTGGGCTCCGAGAACGAAACCCGGTTCACACCTCGCAACCAAACCATCACCTTCACCAAGAACCCGGTTCCACGAGATTGCTCGAATGCGGTGTCCAGGTCGGCGGATTTGGCAAGCAGCTTGGCCTGTTTCTGGTAGACAGCGTTACACTTATTCCTGAACAGTCTTGCCGCCCCTCGGGCCCCGACTTCCTCTCCAGCCGCGCCAAACAGCCCACTTCCTCGCACTTGTCGGTCTTGGGTCGTCATGTTGAGCACGTTATGTGGATTTACATGATCCATCATCCCGTAGTTTCCGTCGAGGCTTCGGAACTTCGTCCTAAGGCTCATCCATGGCCTTTTCGGAACGATCGTCCCTGTGACTCCGGGGTAGAACCACACTCGGAATGGCGCCCGTTTCGACCACCACCGCGGGTGAGCTTGCTCATGGGGCAGCCGAGTTCTAGTTGAACGGAACCGGACAAGCTTCGTTCAGTCAGTGGCGTTATGTGATCGTTCCTCGATGTTTCGGGAGCGCGTTCCCGTCTTCCCGACCGGTGGGACTTGGACTGATAGAGGTCACTCCAAGGGAACTCGATCATAAAAAGAGGACGACTTCGCGTTTTGTTGATTCGAATTTCCTCAGCACTGGCATCCTTGGTGATTTAGTCAACGGAAACCCTTGTCATCAACAGTTCTCACAATGGCTGCCAAGAAGCTCCTTCTCGCTGCCGCCTTGACGGCCTCTGCCCTCGCCGCTCCCGTCCTTGAGGATCGCCAGAACTGCGGCTCTGCCTGGTATGAATACCGTCACCCTCGAAACTTGCTTGTTCACCAATATTAACAAACGATATAGGACTCAGTGCGGTGGTATCGGCTGGTCTGGCGCGACTTGCTGCTCCTCCGGCAACTCCTGCGTTGAGATCAACTCTTACTACTCCCAGTGCTTGCCCGGCGCTCAGGTTACCACCACTGCTGGGGCTTCTTCCACCAGCCCTACCAGCACCAGCAAGGTCTCTAGCACCACCACCAAGGTTACCAGCAGCAGCGCTGCCCAGCCCATCACCACTACTACCGCTCCTTCGGTGCCCACCACCACCATTGCTGGCGGTGCTTCCTCCACTGCTAGCTTCACTGGCAACCCCTTCCTTGGTGTTCAGGGCTGGGCCAACAGCTACTACTCCTCCGAGATCTACAACCATGCCATTCCTTCCATGACTGGCAGCTTGGCTGCTCAGGCGTCTGCCGTTGCCAAGGTTCCCACCTTCCAGTGGCTCGACCGCAACGTCACCGTTGACACTCTCATGAAGAGCACCCTCGAGGAGATCCGCGCGGCCAACAAGGCCGGTGCCAACCCTCCCTACGCCGCTCACTTTGTCGTCTACGATCTCCCCGACCGTGACTGCGCTGCTGCCGCCTCCAACGGCGAGTTCTCCATCGCCAACGGCGGCGTTGCCAACTACAAGACCTACATCAACGCCATCCGCAAGCTCCTGATCGAGTACTCGGACATCCGCACCATCCTCGTCATCGAGCCCGACTCGCTTGCCAACCTCGTCACCAACACCAACGTTGCCAAGTGTGCCAACGCCGCCTCTGCCTACAAGGAGTGCACCAATTACGCCATCACCCAGCTCGACCTTCCCCACGTCGCCCAGTACCTCGATGCTGGCCACGGTGGCTGGCTCGGCTGGCCCGCTAACATCCAGCCTGCTGCCACTCTCTTTGCCGACATCTACAAGGCCGCCGGCAAGCCCAAGTCCGTCCGCGGTCTCGTCACCAACGTCTCCAACTACAACGGCTGGTCGCTCTCCTCCGCTCCTTCGTACACCACACCCAACCCCAACTACGACGAGAAGAAGTACATTGAGGCTTTCTCCCCTCTTCTCAACGCTGCCGGCTTCCCCGCCCAGTTTATCGTTGACACCGGCCGTTCCGGCAAGCAGCCGACCGGCCAGATCGAGCAGGGTGACTGGTGCAACGCCATCGGCACCGGCTTTGGTGTCCGTCCTACCACCAACACTGGCTCCTCGTTGGCTGATGCCTTCGTCTGGGTCAAGCCCGGTGGTGAGTCCGATGGTACCAGCGACACCTCGGCTACCCGCTATGACTACCACTGCGGTCTCTCGGATGCCCTCAAGCCTGCCCCTGAGGCTGGCCAGTGGTTCCAGGCTTACTTTGAGCAGCTGCTCAAGAACGCCAACCCTGCTTTCTAAGCGCGTCGTCGTCTTTGATGATAAACTTTTGCAGGCTGGTGTTTGAGAAGATGAAGAGGGTGAAAGAGGAAGTAACGTGAAAAGGAGTCGCAAAGGATGACTGCTTCTTCCCAAATTCTTGTACATAGATTAAGAAGCATTTTTTTGGTTCGCCTGCTAGGGTGGACTGCACAAATATTTTCAAACTGTCAATACAACGATCTGGTTTACTTGCTTCTACTGTCTTTTTTGACCTTGATGTTGATTAGGCTAGTTGTGCCAGGCCCTTAAGAGGCAGCTTCTGCTCTGAGAATAGATACCTTGCCTTTCCCCCTCAGTTCCGTCCCCGAGAGCCTTGCCTCAACCCACCTACGCATCTCTAGACTACTAGGTAGGTATCCAAGCTTCACCAATTAGCTACCCTCTACCCTCTACCACCATAAAACCCCATCCCACTTACCCTCCTCCCAAAACTCCCCGTGTACGTCTTTCCCGACTCCCTCTCCCCAGCAGCAGCAGCCGCCGCCCTCCCCGCCTTAACTGCCTCTCTGCCCGCAACTTCCACCACGTTTGCCACATTCTTGATCGCCCCGCCCAGTCCCGCCGCCGTCCTTTTCAGTCCGTTGATAGATAACTTGGAGTTTAGCGAGGGTTGGGGAGGAGAGGGGAAATGGTACAGGGCTCCGCCTAGTTTTGTGGCTCCTGAAGTGGATGAAGACGAAGAGAAAGATGGGGTGGAAGTGGGGGAGGAATGTTGGGAGGAGTAAGTGGGTTGTGAGGGGGCGGTGGTGTAGGTTATTGTTGGTTGAGGTTGTTGTTGTTGTTGATGCGCTGGGGTGGAGGGATAGGTTGGTTGGGCTGGGAGGTTTACAGCTGGAGGCGACGAAGGGAACGGTGATGAAGGGGAAGTAATTGTTGGTGAGGGCAGGGTCGTGGCCGGTTGATGTTGGGTTGGTGGTGAAGGCCGGGGTGGGTAGGCGGCTGGAAAGTACGAGAATGAGTGTCTGTGGTTCCCGGCTGTAGATGATTGCGGAGAGGCGGGTGAGAAGGGTCCTTGTTGGGTTGGAGGAGTGAGTGGTAAGTTGCTGGTGTTGAGGGTTGGTGTCGGTGGACAGTGGTAGCCGGAGAAATACAGAGATGTTGGCCGTGTTGACTGGGGAGGGGGACGTGGTGGTGAATGGGGAGGGCTGCCGTAGGTTTGCTGCTGATATGGAGGCGGCGGAGGTGCTTGCCCAACCGGAGATGTTGGGGCTTGGCTGAATCCAGGCGAAGGCGCAGAACTGTGACTGCCAGATTGGCGGTATGGGGGAGTGAACGGAGTCGAAATTTCCCCTGACGGCAGCAGCGGTGGTGACTGTGGAGGTGAAAAGCTCTGGTACCCTGGCTGAGCCGGAGCAGACGTGTAGGTCGGCTGTGGCACTGGTGGAGGGATAGGCGCTTGTTGCTGGGAAGCTGATGGATATTGCACAGGCGGCGGACTCGGCGTGCTCTGTGTTGCCTCGTCATGAAGCGAGGGTGGTGAAATCGGTTTCTGATATTGAGGCTGGGCATAAGGAGGTTGATATCCACTGTCTGACTGTTCTTCAAGCGAGGCAGGCCAAGAGCCGGGGACAGAAGGTAAGGCTTCGGCTTCTACGACGATCAGTCCTTCACTGTCAGGAGTTTCCAATTTCTTGGCCGGTTTCGGGGGAGGGACATCTGAAGAGGGCTCCACAGCATTACTCTCCCGCACAGGAGGAGGTAATGACCCTTCAAGCTCAGCAACAAAGCTATTGGAGGTCCGTCGTCCGGCCGTGGATGTAACCGAGTTACGATGTTGCGAAGAAGGTGGAGAATAAGGTTTGTAGTTTTGTTCTGCCTGTGGTGACTGCGGTGTCTGGCACTGGGTCGGTATTTGGCTCGAGACGGGCCTATGTTGAACTCTCAAGGGTGCCGGAACCAGGGAGCTATCGCCAAGGTCAAACTTTGCGAGCGAGGAAGCCAGAGATGACTGGCTTGCAATAGACGAACGTCGGCTATTAGTCTCATGACTACCACTTGGCCCTAGCTGCTGTGTAGGTGGCCGGTACGGTTGATATGGACGGTAGGCTTTCGGCTCTGACAGTCGACGTTGTTGCTCCGGTTGTTGTTCTTGTGGTTGAGACTGCTGCCGATAAGCAGAGCCGTATGGGGTGATGCCGCTGTATGACATGATGACTAACTGATGAGACTCGGACTTCCAATCTTCACAATCCGGATTTTATGGGAACAGGTACAAAAGGACAAGAGTTTCCGACCTTTGGGGAGAAGAGAGAAGAGAGGACAGTCAGGCTGGGGCTGGAGAACACATGATGAAAAAGCCCAACACATTCACAACCTGTCTGATGTGGCTGAAGCACAGTGACTGAAAGCAGCCAGGCACAACACGAGCTACCATAGTCCACAAGACAGCAGCTCTTGACGAATGGGATAACCCTGCTTCTACATCGGATATCGAGGGTTTACCGTCTTGGCATTCCTTCAGCTGGACCACAGGCAAACTGGTGCCTTGCTCAGCCGCCGCAGGCGAAGCTTTTGGTGACAAACCCAATCGGGGAAACGAAAGGATCGAAGGCTGATAAGCCCCGGAACCTTGCTGACCCAGTCGTTGAAAAAGTGGGGATTCCAGCCAACAGTTTGTTCACATCTTGATTTGTCGTTGGTTTCCATTTGGATGGTTCTCATGTCGATGTTCAGAGGTAAAATGAAACAGTCTCGTGGCACATGTTGACGAGTTTGAAACATAACGGTCGGCCCACTTTGGCCACTATATTAAAGTGCGTACATGCCCCCACAGTTCGTCCTGTCTTGTTCCCCGCACTTGAACGCATGGAGATCATCATCCGAACAAGCAAGCCATGGCTGAACCGACATAGGCTCCCGTTATAGGATGAAGAATCAATAGTTTTATATCATGGTCTCCAATCCCGATGATTCTGTCTTTCCTTCGACCCAAGACAAACCGCCAGACGTCAACCATGTCTTCAGCCGAACCCATCAGGGTGTTGGTCTTCTCTCGCACCGTAGCCTATCGCCACGACTCTATCCCGGCTTCCATAAAGGCTCTTGAAGACCTTGCGGCAACTTCCCTGACCACTTCCCAGCCGTTTGGTACGACAGCAACCGAGGACCCTACGATATTCACACCCTCCGGGCTCTCGCAGTTTCGTGTCATTATTCTTCTGCAATGCTCTGGCGAGTTCCTCGATTCTTCCCAGCTCGAGGCACTCAAGGGTTTCGTCCACTCCGGCGGTGGCGTGATAGGTCTCCACTGCGCCAGCTTTGCTATGGAGTCGAGTGAGTGGTATGGCCGTTTGATCGGTGGTGTCTTCAAGGACCACCCAGAGCCCCAGATGGCCAAGATCCGGCCTGTTGTCAACAACATGGACCATCCTCTCCTGACTGTTGTTAAAAGACCCCAACACGAGAGCGAGGGGAAGAAGACAATGTTCGGTGTGACGACGGACAAGGAGTGGGACTGGTTCGATGAATACTACAACTTCAAGACGAACCCGTGGGATAACCCGCATCTCCAGATTCTCCTCGCGGTTAACGAAGAGACTTATACCGGAGGAACACACGGCGAGCGTCACCCTCTTGCATGGGCCCAGGAGTTCGAGGGCGGCCGGTCATTCTACAACTCTCTTGGCCACTTTAATGACGCATATCTGGAGGACCCCGGGTTCATGGCATTTATCTACAAGGCCATTTTATGGACCGCAAGATTGGACAACTGAAGTGAGCAAGGTATATGGTCCCCGTAGGTTAGGTTGTCAGAGCCAAGATCGGACGAAGCCGAAGGTTGTTGTTTGCTGCACTTCCCCTCTGTACCCCACTATACTTTTAGCGGCTTCCAGGCATCTCAAACCCAACCACATCATCGATCGATCTTCCACACTCTCGACCTCATACCACTTGTGAATCATCCTTGCCCCCGTTACTCCCCGTCAAGACTAGGCACATCCGTTACCCCTTTGATGACTATAAAGACTCAAGTATAAGCTCTTCATTTACCTACCTTATCTATATTCATTCGTTCGCCAGTGAACATCACTTCATCAAAGCTCTACACAGTTGCAATATCACTATGCGTGGAATACTCCAAGCTGCCAGAACCGCGAGTATCTCGCGGGCTCCCAAGTACAACCTCCTCGTCTGCTTTGATGCGTTCGAGACCCTCTATGCCCCCAAAGAACCGGTCCACAAGACGTACGGTCAGTTTGCGCGCGATAACGGTCTCCATCACGCTAGTGACGATGTTGTGGCTGTTTATCTTCACGACCGCATCACCACGGCCGCCAAAGAATACCCCAACTACGGCAAGCATGTTAAGGGCATGGACCCCGAAGCTTGGTGGATGAAGGTGATTCAAGTTGCTCTTACTATTCACTCGACTGTTTCCTGAACTGAAGCTGAAATATCACTGCAGGTTATTAAGAATATCTTTGTCGACGTTGAGCCCAGTCTAAGTAACGCAGCTCACAAAAAGCAGCTGGATGATTTGGGCCACAAACTCTTTCAGCATTTTTCTACCCGCGAGGCCTACAAGACTGCGCCCAATATGCCCAAACTTCTCCAGTCTTTGAAGCATCATAAATCTAACAGCAAGTTGGACAACCCCTCCATCGACCATGTTGTTCTGGGCGTCATCAGCAACTCAGATGACCGTGTTGGCGGGATTCTTTCCTCTCTGGGCCTCGACGTCAGCCCCCTACGTTTCCAGAGAGAATCCAAGCAGGACACCCATTTTGAAAGCGCTCGTCCTGTCGACGGCAAGTCGTACGACATCGACTTTACCGTCATGTCATACGACGTTGAAGAGTCAAAGCCACACAAGGTCATGTGGCAGGCAGGAGAGATGCTGGCTCGCAGAGCGGTTACCCATGAGCTCGGCAGGTTTGATGAGAGCATTCCTTGGTTGAAGCTTTATGTTGGTGATGATATCAAGAAGGACGTTGCATCCGCCTGGGGTTGTGGATGGAATGCGGTCCTTTTGAAGGAATTCATTACCGAGCATCCTCCTGATGAGCGTTTGGAGAGTCTGGAGGAACTACTGACGATGCCAGTTACCCAGCTCTTGACCAGGCAACCTCGAATGTTTACGGTCAACAAGCTCGAGACTTTGGTCGAGTGGATCGTGAAGAGAGGCTTGGAGGTTCCCGCTGGTTCTACGGGGGCCGACAGCTCTGAGGAGAGATTCAAACTTGTTGAGGAGATCGAGTGAAGTGACGCTGAAGAAGGCCTATACCCGTAGCATTGCATTTTGTAGTATTAGTTAGCCGGCATTGTTCAGGATGTATCACCAGGGATGTTTTTGAATTAATTATTCCTTTTGTACTATTGATGAAACATACCTGCCTGTCCAAAAGGCCTTTGATGCTATCTGAACTGCAGATACAGGACTTTGTTATGCCTGTGATAAACTCAGAACATCTAAAGAAGACTTGATATGGAACATCTTGGCTAAGAAAAGGCTTTAATCGAAGGCCGAAGGCATTTCAGATACGACTTAATATTTAGGAAATGATACTAGAGGGGTGATATCTTCGACATAACCCGATTTACCTCCTGGCCATTCGCTATCCTCACAACTCCAAAGTCTTCCAAACCCTCGATACAAACCCCTTCATTTTCTCCCTTGACTCCCTCCACATCCTCTCCTGCAGCACTTCCCCTCCTCGCCTCATCCACCATACGATTCAACAAATTACTCCCATGCGTCTCATCCTCTCCCTGATCAGCCGCATACACCAGCATTCTACCTCCCACCTCCGTAGACCTAGCCACTAACCTCATTATTAATTTCCCTATCGCTACCGCGAAGGTCCCTAACTTGAAAATCCCTAACTTGACGAGACCGGGTTAGACGCCCCCATTTTCTCAACGGGGTAGTGAGCTGCCACAGCGCGGGCAACGAAAAACTGAAGCAGTTTGAAAATGAAGGCTTGATCCGAGCGATCAAGGCATTCAGCGTTACGCGTGTAAGTCCGTTGTCTTGTGCTCCGGCAGGCTGATGAGATCTTTGAGTGTAGATGGTGTAAGCGATTGCAAGATGTCTTTATGTTGGAGACCATTCACAAATTGTAGAGCTGTGAGCTCTACTAGCTCCCACGATTCCAGCGTTGTTGGCAACAGTTTTTTTTTTCTCAACTGTGGTTTGACTAGCAAAGGCAATGTGGTATGCGTTGAAAGTATCCTTCAATTCAAATCTCGCGCTTCAAACTCCAGCGTTTTTTAAGAAACTCTCATCCTCATCCTCTTCCTCTTCATCTACACTGTCCTCGTACTCGTCGTCGAAAAAGTGATCTTCCTCTTCCTCTGGCCTGTCGGCAGGGTTGAGCACGTTACCTAGGTATAGAGCTGCCACTCGGGCGCGGAGCGAGAGAGGTGGAAGTCGATGTAGGTGTGTGTGAGCAAAGGAGGTGAGAAGACCGTCGTTGTTGGTCTGGACTGACAGGGTCGGGGAACAGACGGGCAGTTTCACGGAGTCTGGGAAAAACAGGAAGAAGGCAACAAGGGAGGCGGTGACCATATTGACGGTTGAGCTCCCCTCGTCCTGCTTGAATCTGCGTCATGGTCCGGTTAGGAGGGATACGCCCGCATTAAGAAGAAGAATGTCAAGGGAACTCTTTCGAGCTTGGCGCTCACGCGAGAGGTGAAGAACAGGACACTGGTCCTGATCGTAGCTGCATTGGTCGAGCTCGTGTCCCAGATGAAGATGACGCTGTTGGAGCACTTGGTGGAAGGACAGATAGCATTTGGGCCTGTGCGCTGTGCTGCCTACCTGCCTATCTGCCTGCCCGCCTGCCCGCAATCCAAGGTAGGTAGGTTCAGATGCCTACAAAATCAGATTGTCCCGACCGCAGTTTCCCACTCTTTCTTCTTCTCCTTCTTTCTTCTTCAAACACTTTTAACGTAACGCACCTTAATCACATCAGCCGACTGGATGAGTTTCTCTCCCACTCGCTGTCGGTCAATGAGAGTGCAAGAGTAACTTGAGAGTCTCCTTCCCGCTATCAACAACGGCATCAGCGCGTTCATTTTCCCCAATGGCTCTGAGACCGGTCGGCGGCGGGTTCCCTACATGTCCACCTTCAATTCCAGTAAGATGTAGCATGTGAACGACACTGAGGCTGAGGCCGATGTTGGAGACGGTTACGATGATGGTTTTGCCGGTGAAGGAGTTGATTTGAATAAGGGAGGGTGGTGAGTAAAGGGCTTTCTGAAAAACTAAAGGTTGCCCTGAGGGTGGAAGAGGCCGTCTCGGCCGTATGTGTACCTAGGTGGTGGGTTGAGGAGGGAGAGCGTGAGTGTTGATTCCAGGGCCTATCATGAACTATTGATGAGGAGGATAGTACTTGAAGAAATTCCAGAAGTAGGAATTGGAATGAATAGGAAGCCGTTGCGCCTGTTAACTGCAAGTGACCACCTTGAGGACGTAACGCAATCCGGACATTCTCCATTCTCCATTATAATCTCACTTTGGTCACTATTGCCGACGGCTTGCTATTATTGCAATCAGGGATTAGTTCCACCAAGTGGCGAGTGCGTGATCGCGACTTCACATCTTCAGGTTCGTTTGTTATTGTCGTTTCTCGTTGTTAATTACGTGCACCGCACATAATATATCACCAAAGGGCTCTAGGCTAAGAAGAAGGGGTAGCTGGCAAATAAGGGTATGCGGCTACATCTTTACCATACAGCATAATAAAGCGTAGAGCTCAGTACGTTCACTTTAGATATGCCTAGATCATGCTTGTGATTCAAACAATCTCAAAGACCCAACACACCAACGCCATGACACACTCCAACTGTGGGTTCAAGTGTGATGAATCTGCTACACAAATCTTAGCCAGCGCTCTTTGAAGAATGCGATGAACGGGACTGATGTATGGCATTGTAATAGAGCATCTGGCAAAAGCAAAAAGAAAAACAAACAAACACTGTGGTGTCCAGAAAAGCTGTCGAGGAGGTTTGAGTTGGAGAGATAGAAAAAAACCCCAAAAATAGAGTTTATCATGCGCCAGCCGCGAATCGAACGCGGGGCCCATCGATGGCAACGATGGATTTTACCACTAAACCACTGGCGCGATTTGACGGTTGTTGACGTTTCGTACAAGAATTAGACCTTGAGTACCCACATGGCAAGCAGGGATCATTTGCCCTCATGAGACTAGTTGACCAACGACGACCGCACTGTCCATTGCTCCTTAAAAACGTATCCTTTGGATGTCTGAAATTGGAGAAAATGACAGGAAGCTCGGAATATCTGAAAGAGAGGGCAGAATGTTTTCCCGAACTTAGGACAACCGGTGCGTTGGATGTTGTGATTCCATCGTGCGAAAACTCCGAATGTGAGCCAGTGTAAGTGGTAGGCGTACCTCTACGGTCATGTGCGCTTGTTATCGTGTAAACATTACGCAATGATTCACCAACAACTTGAGGAGATATTTCTCTCCTTGATCCACATGCATCGTGCCTGTAAACATCAAAAGCGTAGTCAGTCAATGTTTAGCCCCCAGGGGGCCTTACATTGTATCAGCTGTCACTCGGGCTCTATCTCCTTCATCTTCGGAGCTGACATCCAGGAAGCGGGCAGTATCATCACACCCGGCGGCCCGTGAGCACCTATATATCAGCCTGGTCTTTATTCTCAAGCTTCATAGCTACACTTTCACCTCACGACCAGCTACCTCTGAGTTGCAGTCCAAAAACCAAATCTACAACCTCGATACTCAAACAGTGATATAGCTATATCAACAAGACGACTCCAGTCCTGACACCAACCACCATCACCAACCGAAAATGTCCGCCCTCACTGGCGCCCAGCTGGGCCTAATGACAGGCTCCTTCCTCTCCGGCAAGTCCACCACCACTAATTTATACTCCTCCTCTCCCTCCCACCAATCATCATCCTCAACTAACACCCCCCAAACAAAAAGGCTGCCTCCTCTCCATACCCCTCCTCACCATCCCCACCATCATCTCCCCTTCCTCCTCCCCCACCGCCCCGATCCTCCTCTCCTCCTGGTCCACCCTCTACCATCACGGCGCCCTCACCATGCCTCCCCTGGCCTTTTTAACCGCCTCTCTCTACGGATTATCAGCTTATAAACTCCGCTCCTCCTCCTCCTCCTCCTCCTTTTCCTCCTCTTCCCCTCGAACTCAGAAGCAGACTCAGACTCAGACTCAACAGCGCAAGAATGAAAAACGCTCCAAGTTATTCGCCATTGCAGCCATTGCGACGCTCGCCATCGGCCCCTTGACGCTGCTCGTCATGTCCCCTACCAACAAGGAATTGATGAGGCTCAATGAGATACAGATTGAACCCGGTCCGTTGGTGAGTGATGTGGAAGAGGTGAGGGAGTTGGTGAGGAGGTGGAATTGGTTGCATATTGTGCGGAGCTTGGGGCCGGTGGTGGGGTGTGTGGTTGGGTGGTTTGGGGTTTTTGGATATGGAGACGAGGAGAAGGGTGAGGAGAAGGTTGAAGGTGAGAAGCAGTGAAGACGGCATGAAATTTGGTGGTAACGAGGGATGGATGCCATTAGCACTGATCTTAAATTTCCACTTGGGTTGTTCGAAAATATGAGAAAGGAATGAATGGGTGAGAGCCCTGAAAGTAAACGAAACCTCGTCAAGGAGGCAAGCAAGATAAGAAGCCAGTGAGCTGTGATAGTTTCAATTTCAGCTGCCTGCTTTGGAATTGATCAAGATCGAAAATGGAAACGTCGACAAACAGTCAGAAGTGGTAATTTGGACAAATGAACCATGTACATAGACCAGGATCGCCGTCCCAGTAAGGGAAATGTGGTGTGGAGAGTACTCCCAGACGCCAGAACTTGTCGGCACCCCGGATGTGATCAACTAATAAAACAAACGAAAAGAAAAGTGGTATATAACTGTCAATGTCCCGAGACTTGGCATAAGTCTCTTTGAAATCCCAACCAATTATCCAAGCCCAGCTCTTTACGCCAACCAAAAAGCTCTAGTCATAACATGAGTTTTCAATCGCCGAAACCCCTGACCACCGAAGCCATCCTTCTTTTTTCAATAACAAACAAATTTTTGTAACAAGAGATGCTCGCTGCGGTTTCCTCACATGTCACAAGAGTCCCTACCTCATGGGAATATCACCATTGATGGTAGCGACCTGGGGAAGGGGTTGGTCAATCAAAGGTCGAATCTCCTGCTCTGCGCCGTTTGTAGGGGTCATTTGGTTCATCTTCTTGTTCCTCCAATCCTCCGCGTGATCGGTCGCGGTACGAATGATCTCCATGATCTGAGAGAAAATGTGCAATCCCTCCTTGCTAAAAGAGAGAGCCACCTTGGCAGCCTTGCGCACAAGTGCATTCGGGTCTTGCGTGTTTGGTTGCTCGCTCGAGGTAGTGGTTTTGCTAGCCTGACTCCAGACCATGGGCAGGCTGAGCAGATGGTGCCGAACAAGGTTGCCGGCATTTTCGGGCAAGGCAGCGCCAGTGTAATTGGCAACAACCGAAGAGACGTCCTTAATGTTGGAGTAAATGCTCTTCCGAAGTTCAGTCATACGCTCCACCAGCCGCGTACGATCTTCTTCCGGCGCGGACCCGTTGGTCATGACATGGTCTTCACCATCCCTCCTGGTTGTCGACCTGTCATACTGATCAAGTACTGAGCTCAACTCGTTGGTGCCCTGCTGGAGCGTGTTGGTCACATCCCTCAACGTCTCAAGCACATACTTGAGCGAACGTAAACTTTCTTCCTTCATGGTCTCCTTGAGACTGGACGTGGTCACCTGGACCCGTCCGTTCCCCAGCTGCGCATGGAGAGCCGACTTTGGATCGACTGCTTGGCCATTTTGTTCAACCGTCTCAGAGTAAGCTGGCGATCGCTGGTCGTCATAGGCGGGCAACGTCTCAATGGTGCTGACCGAAGTCCGGCGGGATGCATCAGCAGTGGGAGCTTCTGAGAACCGTGCCTCGCCCCCTGTACCGTTTGTTGGTCTCGAAGTCATATGTCGCTTGTTCTGGCCACTCTCACGAGTATCACTGGAACTTTTGGTCCGCTTTCCAAGAATCCATCTGACGCCGGACTCGATCCCGGTTCTGCGACCGACATTGTTCACCGTGTCCGCGACAGGTATTAGCGAGCCCTCGACGTATTCGAGGCCTGATCTGATGCGGGGAGAGAAGTTCTTAGTCTTTGTATAGAGGTGAGAAGATCGCTGTACCGTGCTTTCGATAATGGGATGGGCTGTAGTTATTAGCGACAACAGAGGCTCGGGTTCTTGGTTCTGGTCCGTCATCCCACGACGCAGTGGCGCATTACGGTTGGGAGGGGAAGAAACTGAATCTGGGGACCCATTGTTAGGAGCTGATAGAATGCTACATGTGCTTGCGAGAAACATACCGGTTTTCAATTCGTTCAGGGCGGAGATGGCCATCATGACCTGCGGATCATCCAGGCTGACACTGGTCGATCTTCGGTCATGACGCTGCTGGGGAGATGCGCCACGTCCATCGTTGTCACTCTCAGCATAGTAGGCTGACAATGGGTTGGAGTTGGGCCAGACGAACTTTGGAGGAGGTTGTGGTGTTGGCGTTGGCTGCAACGAGCTTCCGACATTGAGCGAGGCTATCGAAGGGAGAGAATGATCCGAGCTGCTCCTTTTGCGGTCCAGCTGAATAGGGGGAAGTTCGGTCGTAGGGCTGCCATCAAAGAGCGATAATGGTGCCGGCTCACGGGTCTGGAAACGGTTTGACGATGGCGAGCGTGATCGTGGCTTGTTGGGCTGTAGTCCGTTTGAGGGAGGATGCAGAACAAGCGGCGGCAGCGAGGATAAGGAAGAAGCCGAAGCCTGCATTGTGGACGACGAAGATGCACTCAGTGCGGGCGAGTGCGTCGAGTCCCAAATAGGGGGCAGCGTCGGGTATGCAGGCAGGGCAGACAGGACAGGAGCCGAGGTGTTGTCGGCCTGCTCCTGTTTGGGGACCGGTACAGGATGCTGCTGTTGCTGTTGCTGGTGGTGTTGGTGCTGTTGTTGATGTTGATGTGCTTCATAATGCTGGTGGTGTTGCGGTGGTTGCTGATACTGCTGGTGCTGCTGGTGCTCGTGCTGCTGCGACGACGGCGAGTGCATGTGACGATGATGATGATGATGTTCCATGCTACCTGGCTCGGATGGTGCCGTCACCCGGACGATTTCCAACGTTGAGATTCGCTGTTGCCGGCTACCGAGTTTCCACTTTTTCGTATCCGCACCCTCGTCGCTAACTTGATTTCGTACTTGAGGACAATGCGCTGGCTGTGAAAGCCAATTCCAGCGGAGTCGCGACTCAGTCGTGCAGGGTCGAAGTGGAATCGGTCGAGGCAATCGCTGCTGTGCTTTCTGACATGTGCCGCCCAACAAGAGACGTGCTGCCAACGGGCCTTATGTACGGATGTTGTCTGATGTGTCCAAGCGTCGGAGCTTCTGAACGGAGCCGCCGTGCGGTAGATGCGGTTTAATTGAGACTGGATGGGCCCAAAAGGTTCGGTTTTTTTTTTTTCGAGGTGGCAAAAGTGGAAGCGCGGCGGCGGATGGAGTTGCCGATGCAGAGAAAGAGAGAAAAAAAAAGTATGGATGCTGTGTTGGGAAGCGCAGACTTCAAGACCGGAAAAAGAATTGGATCGCGGGTTGTCAATGCTTGAGACAAGGTCCCTATTTCAACCACTATCGCTGTTGAAGGGAATGTCGCCTAAACGTTAGGTATGCGGAGAAGCAAGGAAGAAACAGAGACTCCCAAGAAAACAACAAGATCCAAGTTCGGTGAGGGTTAAGTTGGTTGTTGGTAAAAATGGCGTGGTGGTGGTGTCGAACATCAAAAAGTGCTTGAAGAAAAGCCAATGGATGGAAACATGCCCCGGGAAACATGAAGGAAGGATTCGACGAGACGGGAGAGGACCTAAACACTCACCAAAAAAAAAGGGCGGACCACTCACCTCACATGCTCTGGCAGTCACGCTCGGTGACATTTTGTGCCCTGTACCTACGTGTAGTGGAAGACGGTGGGATGACAGGACGGTTTGTAGCGCCCGTCTTGGCCTGGAGTCAATGATGGATACTGTACTTCGTTACTTCAAGTTCGTTACACTAGACTGGACTGTGCGAATTGTCTCAACTTGTTTTCCATGTGAGCTTCAAAGATATCAGATGTCAGTGAGAGACAGGGCGGCATCTGATAGTGTATCAATGCTCGTGCATAGACTTTGCACCGTGGGGGGCCAAACTGGAAAAACGGAGATGGAAGAAGCTCATCAAAGCGGAAAAGCACGTGGGAATCACAAGCCCCATTTCCTTCCATAGTCGCTGCTACTTATGGACCTTTTCACCCTTTCTCGTACATGAATGAGCCCATCGATTGACTCCGTAATTATCGTTCGAGCTTGTTATTCCTTTCAAAGCATGTCGTGACTGACTATGCGAGACCAATCCGACTACCCATGTAAGAAGGGCCTCCCGAGTTTTCGGAAATGGTTTAATTGGCATCCGTTCCCAAGAATTGGATACATGACGTGAATCTGTACTTAGGTGGGTTCCTCCCAACAAACATTCCATGGTGTTGTTTCTTGGTCTTCTTAGTGCCAAAGGGCAACGCCACGTCGAGGTCAGGCGGCCACAAAATGCAGCTATCTCCGAGGCTGGAATTAATCATTGCTGCCACTCTTGTGCTCAATTGTCTAGATACAAACTGGACGTCCAACGTAGCTGTGGTTTGTTCCGTTCCCCTCCCCCAATGCTGTTGGGCAATCCGCATTGGGGTAGCTGTCGTGGCTTTCAGCTGTTTTCACATCCAATCCCCATCTTACTAGCCTTGCTGGCCAGTCCAACACTCTAGTAACGAGACCCTTAATTACACTGGCGATGCCATTTCACAATCGGTATTAGACATGATTGACCCCATCGCGGACCCGTTGCAACTGTGCACGTTGACGTGCCCTGATGCTCTGCATTAGCTGCTGCTACGTATACCGCCCATGTAGGTGCTATGTACGCTGTATGTACCCCATACGCCGAGCTGCAACTCTGCGCTGGATTCAATGGGTGCTGCTGGGCTGGGGTAAAAGCGCAAAGAACGCCATTCATTATGAGGTTTGTTGCTATCGCGAATCCCTCGTCCTCTTGGCCCCTTGACTTTCAAACGTTCCCTTTGGCACTGTTGTCCCTCCCTTGACCGTCACAACAACCGATCGCCGTGGGGTCCAAGTACCACTGACAGTGTGAGGCGCTCTGCTTTCGGACGTCAGGTTGGAACCACATATCACGAAAACGGGACTGGCGAAACGGGAGTGGGAGAAAGAGACAGCACACAAACATGGCCTTAGAAAGCATGTGAATTGATGATGACGAGCCTCGACGGTACGATCGGCATCATCTCACCAACTGCATCCCAACAATTCCAGCAACATGGATATAGTGACATACAATGATATCAGACATCTGCCAGCTGCAACGGTATCCATCCGTGCTTGCCGATCGCCAACAGCCATGTTGATGATCTATACAACTGAACAACCACTGTCATTTACTACTAGCTCATCACGAAGCTCATATAGCAGGTTTACACCTCCAAGTCTCGTACCGTCTTACCGCCCTAACTTTTGACCGAGTTTTATTTTCAAGACAGCAACTTTTGGCGACTTGGGGCAAAATCGCCTATCGTATCCAGCATGTGTTAGGTAAAATAAACGGACATAAGCCACCAAAACGGAAGACAGACTAGTCTACTCTGCAAACCCTTTGTCGCAGTCCCAGGGATAGCCTGTCGATCCACCATCACATGCAAGGCGAAAGACTGTCGGTTCTCCCACGGCCACTTTCTGTTTCCCTGCACCATATCGAAGCTCCTACTCCAATCCCTCCCCACGACTCACACTGATGAGACTAATGTCCACACCAGCAGGCAGCCTTTCAGGCTTTTCCGGACACGGCCAGCATCACTAGTGGCGGGTTGTTGGATAAATCCGCATTCCAGAACATCGTGATTGTAGGCGTTCCTGACATTCAAACCAGGCTTTTCATGTCTATACTCCTCCTATGTTGCGGATTTGTTGTCTTGCTCTCCCCGAAAATAAGGGTCCAGGGGTCCAGCCGCACTAATCAAGCGAGGAACAAGAGGGAGAAAAAAGAAAGAAGAAAAAAATAAGGGGGAAAGACGTTGACTCAGTGAAGCTGCCGAGATGGGATGTCTCGTCCAGAGACAGATGTCAGTCTAACTGCCTGGCATGGCTGGCACGGCTGGTCGACTGGCTCACCGGCGAGGAACGAAAAGACCACCACTACCAGCGCCACGGGATTGGGAGCACCGAGACCAATAGCTGGATCATCACGTGCGGATTTTGGCGTTTCTTAGGAGCTGAGCCGGTGAAACGCTCCTGACTGCGGCACTGACTACGGCATTGACTTTCGGCAGTGTGTGTGGTGATATCGATCACTAATCAACCGGAGAGGGAGAGCATGCCGAGCGCAACGGGCCGACTGAACAGGTCCGCTTCCAAGTTTTGGTCCGTCGCCCGTCCCCTTCGGCCAAGGAACGAAGGAATGGCTGCTCCGATCCCAAGCATGAGATTTACCGGCCGGCCGGCGTGTACATACCGCAAAACGGGTGGGTGGGTGTCCGGCGACGGAAAACGATGATGAAATATGGCACTTTGCGCGCAGCACAACGATCAACGTCAAGACACACAAAAAGGTTCAAAACACCAAGCAAAAAACTTCTACGATGATGGAATGTGTGGAACCTCTGACGCCGCCCTAGTAATTTTGGTCATCTTCCCAAAGGAAGACAACATACATGGGCAGCTCTTATGGAGCCATTTGAAGAAATCAATCCCCTTCTTCTCCGCGTCGCGAAATCGCAGAATCACCATAGGACACGGTTCGAACCCCGACAGAATGCCGGAGCCGATGTGCATTTGCGATGTTCGGCACTGTCTGAGGACGCGTTGAAGAGAAAAAGAGGAGAAAAAAGGTGCAAGATTGAAAACGACGGGAGGGTTTCTCTAAAATACTTGCGACGGGAGGAACGGAGAAATTTTGGGTGGATCTGCCAGAGAAGCACAGACCTTTTTTTTTTTTCCCTCGAAAGACGGACAAAAGTTCAGCTGGGGCCGATGGGAAAGAGACTCGAAAGTCTGCCCCACTTCCTTCCATCGGAACACTTGTTGGGTCTTGCGCCGACGACGATGACCTAGAGAGCTTGAACAGCTGGGCTGGAGACCAATTAACCCCGATTCTCTGATGATGCTCCCGTCACGGAAATGGAATGGCAGCATGGAATGGAAACTGTTTAACTTCGACCCTGCCAAAACATGCCAAGCCTTTCTCTCTTGGGTGTGGATGTGACCGAGAGCCTGGCAAGGCTATGGGGGCCAGCTGACCGACAGCTGAAGCTGAAGAAGCTTCCACCTCAGACTTGTCACAAAGGGGAAGCTCGCTGACCACGAGTGCTTGGCATCAGATTGCTGCTTGGTGCTGTGAGCTCTGGTCTGGGCTGGCATTGCTGGCTGCCAGGGTGTTCTTGGCCTGTGCTTTTCGAGATCTGGATGCACCATCGCTTGTCACCACTTGTCGCGACCTATTGATAGCGGCAACTGCACACTCGTCCTCAGTTGTAGGATATCGTGGCTCGCCCGCGCTACACCTTTGATAAACAACAACGACTGTGATACTTTGTTTTCAGTTTTTGACCTTCAGCTCCTCGACGGGACTTCAACCACCCACGGCGCATGTTATAGCCCATTGACGAACCGAGTTCGAATTCACTTTTGGCGCTCGCGCCTACTCGATACCCCCCCTAATCGTAGCTTGCGCCTTGTATCACCAGTGCCCCTCCTCCGTTTCCGTCAACACCTTCTTCTCGACCACGACGCCGACGCCGACGACAACAACAACAACTTTCTACACTCAATCTCCCCAGACAATAACAGACACGACCGCCCACCATGGCGTCCGCCATTTTCTTTCTAGATCTCAAGGGCAAGGTGGGAAAATGCTCATCTGATGGTGTCGCGAAATCCACAGCAAAGCATCCAAAGCTGACCGCCCAATGCGCCCTCACTTAGACCCTCCTTGCCCGTAACTACCGCGGTGATATTCCCATGTCCGCCGTCGAAAAGTTCCCTATTCTATTAAGCGAAGCCGAAGAAGAGTCGTCCGCCGTACCACCATGCTTTTCCCACGAGGGTATCAACGTATGTTATCTACAAGCCCGTTGTCGTCGTCGTCCACCCTGCTGCCGCTGCTGCTGCTGCGAGAACCTCTTGGGCCACAGAATTGCTGAACACTTCTTTGGATCGTTACATATATATAGTACCTCTACATCCGCCATAATAACCTGTACCTTCTCGCCCTCACAAAACGCAACACCAACGCCGCCGAGATCCTGCTCTTCCTGCACAAGATCGTCGAGGTCTTCACCGAGTACTTCAAAGCGTTGGAAGAGGAATCGATCCGGGACAACTTCGTCATCATCTACGAGCTCCTGGACGAGATGATGGATTTCGGCTACCCGCAAACGACCGAGTCCAAGATCCTGCAGGAGTACATCACCCAAGAGTCGCACAAGCTCGAAATCCAAGCGCGCCCGCCCATCGCCGTCACCAACGCCGTCTCATGGCGATCCGAAGGCATCCGCTACCGCAAGAACGAAGTGTTCCTCGACGTGATCGAATCCCTCAACCTGCTGGTCTCGGCCAACGGCAACGTCTTGCGCTCCGAAATCCTCGGTGCCATCAAAATGAAGTGCTACCTCTCCGGCATGCCCGAGCTGCGCCTGGGCCTAAACGACAAAGTCATGTTCGAGACCACGGGGCGCACCACGCGGGGAAAAGCCATTGAGATGGAAGACGTCAAGTTCCACCAGTGCGTGCGCCTGTCGCGCTTCGAAAACGACCGCACCATCTCCTTCATCCCGCCCGACGGCGAGTTCGAGCTCATGTCCTACCGCTTGAACACCCAGGTCAAACCCCTGATCTGGGTCGAGTGCGTGGTCGAGTCCCATTCCGGTTCGCGAATCGAGTACATGCTCAAAGCGCGCGCGCAGTTCAAGCGCCGCTCGACGGCCAACAACGTGGAGATCATTGTGCCGGTGCCCGACGACGCGGACACGCCGCGGTTCCGGACGAACGTGGGGAGCGTGCACTACGCGCCCGAGAAGAGCGCCATCGTGTGGAAGATCAAGCAGTTTGGCGGCGGCAAGGAGTTTTTGATGCGCGCGGAGCTGGGTCTTCCTAGTGTGAGGGGCGACGATGAGCACGGCGGTGGCATGACGGGTGGATTTGGTGGCAGTATGGGTGGTGTCGGTGCCCCCGGGAAGGGAGCCAAGAGGCCGATTCAGGTCAAGTTTGAGATTCCATATTTCACCACGAGCGGGATTCAGGTGCGGTATTTGAAGATTACGGAGCCAAAGGTATTTTTTTTTCTTTACCCTCTAATTTTTTCCTCGAGCACCTGTGCCCCCTAGTTACTGACGATTTGAAACAGCTACAATACCCCTCCTTGCCTTGGGTCAGGTACATTACGCAGTCAGGAGATATCGCCGTCAGATTGCCTGACGCGGTATGAACGACGAGGACTTGGATACGGGCAAGAAGAAGCCTTTTTTTTTTTTTTAACAAACAACAGATGGTGGAACAGAAGACCTACAATTACCTACCCAGCTGGGGCATGAAGGGAGCGGCCACAGGACAGGTATGAATTCTGGCTGCCTCATTGAACACATCGGCTGTCCTCGGTTCCTACCCCTCCAGGTCGACGAGATATGCCCTGCCCAGGACGACGACATCCCAGGTCCGTGGCTCAATGTACAGATGGGGTAAAACGAGAGGAGAGACTTATGGCGCATGTATAGTAATGATGGCCCTGACACGACATGGATGGACGAAGTAGAAGGGAGAAACGGCTGGTTTATAGGTAGATGATACGTAGGTGTCACACACCGCAACATGACGTCCATGTCAAACAATATTCGATATAATATTTCTGCATGAACACAATCCTGTCAGGGATCAATGCAGTGGTGGTCCAAAAAAGGTTAAGAAGTTGGGCTCGCATGAATCAGATTAGTGCGCCCGGGTCGTCATCCTCGAGTGAAACAAATGATGTATGGGTGGTCATTCGTATTCCTATAGCCGTCTCCTCCTTTACTGTGAACGAACTGACAAGCGAGAAACAAATTATATTCCAGACCCTACGTGTACAGGAGACTGGCATCGTTAAAGAAAGAAAGGATGCAAAAAAACTATCTCGATGACCTATGTTACCATATGCAACCAAATTCCGCGATAAGGCTCAAAATCCCGCAAAGTCAACAAAGAAACACAAGTTAGTACTGAATCGAAAGGGGCCTCCCCCCTTTTTGCCCCCGAATATTGGTTGGACGAGCAGCCCAGCCCTCTCTTTGTCCAAGCCCAACTTCAGGCTAACATTACGGCAAAGGTGGGGGGAAGAAAGTATGTACAAAAGACTGGCTGACACAGGCATCGCGTAATAGAAGGAAGTAAGTACGAAGGTAAGAAACAGTCAGGGGTAAAGTAAATAAAAGACGATCATCATCCACTTCTCAGCCTGCCGTGAGTGGTTTTGATGGGTGCAACAGACGGGGGTAATACCTAAATGCAAAGAATACTGACTCAAAAAAAAAAGAATGAAAAAGGAGGATCGAAATACAGACAAGTGCAACAAGGCATGAGAAAAAAAAAAGAAAAAAGAGAAAGAAGAACAACATGGTGAAAAGACTGGTGGCCCATCAATGGGTCCCGACATCTCGAACCCATGCTCTATCAGCCTCAAACTCACTGATACTTGCAGTCTGATTTGCGTAATGTTCACTATAGTGTTCGGGGGATACTCCGGGAGCTTGATAGAGATCCAGACACACATGGACCAGGAACCCGCGGGGAATTGCGTCAGCTTGAGGGGGGTCTAATTAAGGTCAGTTGTTGAATAGTCAAATGAAATGCGGGCGATGACTTGAGAGGCTCACAGTATACTGGTGCTGAGTTAGGTCCTTGCCATAAGTTGTGCGTCCACCACTGTTGTTCAAACACCCAACCAGGATAGCGTGGCGGACTGTGAAAGGCCATGAGACCAATTACGATGGAGATTTCTCCAGAAAGGCCTCGAGACAGCGTCTGTGGCTCTTTGTGGTTCCTGAACACCTTAGGTACCAAAGATGGCATCCATGATGGGTTCCTGCCAGCAACCCAGGGGTGCCCATACGATTCACCATTCGCTTGGGAAATGCCATTGTTGTGGTCGAAGTGTAGCATGTGCCAACAACGGGCCGAGTCTTCGACATAGGCGTTGGTCCCATGCTCGCCCACATTACGCATGTAGCTATTGTAAAGGGATATGTCTCCGTCGGCAATAATGAAGGGGAGACATGGTGAGCAGGCAAATATGCTGTGTGCCTTGTAGTGGAAAGCTTGACCCAAGAACTGGCCATGCTCATGCCTGTAGATTCCGCCAGGTTGGCCCTCGACCAACCTGCGCCACGCATACTCGGGGGCTTCGGATACGATTCCATCTCTGTACCGAAAGACAGGCGCTTCGTTGTTAAGTCGGTAACCATTTCTAGTCAACGGCGGCAAAGTATTGTCCCATTGATCCCTGGGGGCAGGCGAGTTGCCGTAGGAAACCTCGTATTCAATCACCGAGAACAGGAAGGACACAGGCTCGACTGAAAACTGAGAGTTGTAGGTTGCGGTCGAGCTTTTCTTTGACGATGACTTGTGCTTGGAATCTCTGCCGCTGCTTCTATGATGTCGTTCACCATAGCCCTCGCCATGCAAGCTGGTTGTGGACCTTGCGTGATGGCCCTGGAAAAAGTTAGCACTGTCTACGAAGCAATGATTGAGGCTAGTATACTCACGTGTGAAGTCATAGTCTCCGTAGGTTGATAGAAACCTGGGCTGGATCACCGAAGTTGAAGATCTCTGGGCCCCAAGATCTATCAGAAATGACAGAGATGAGCTCCATCTTAAACCCATTTTCAACCCCCCCAAACTTCGACGAGAAACCGATGGAAAAAACGCTAACGCAGCGATGATGCCCAACAACATCCATGGCCTGTATTTTTATGAAATTAGGCGGAGCCATAACATCATCATACCACTATGATGCGGAACAAGGCCAAGTGGCTTGCCTTTACCACACCTCAAGACACGTGAGACCGGGTATGACAATATCTCGCGGAAGCCGACGGAGGTCAATACCCAGTGCGGCTTCAGATGTGACCAGCTAAAGTTGTTGTCTCATAATACATTCCGGCCTTTTTCGAAGTCCATGGTTTTCATCTTCGGAGGTCTTGTGGTCAGGGAACTGCTTCATGGCTGCTCTCCAAGGCCATGGATGTGTTCATGCATGGTTGGTCAAAGAACTTCAAGCCCGGCAGCTGACACAGCTGGTGATCGGCTCTGGTAAGGGAAATCGTTGACTTTCACGAGCCATAGCTGACCGCATGAGTTGACAGAAGTCCACCAGCCCTAGGCTGGCACTTAATCGATTTGGTTGTGGTAACCCGATGTGCTATCATTGGAGCATCGTACAAAACTCTTCCACTTGACAACCAGGACCAATTTGATGGCCGTTTACCCTTCGAGAATACGTTTCTATATCCGAGTCAGCATCTGTGGCTGCATATGGAGGATCGCTACTCGCGAACACTGTCTGGCTCAAGATACCGACGCTCCATGCGAGCATCTGTGGGATGACTGACGGCTAGCAGAAGCACCAAAACACCAATCATTATGCCACTGGCAATAGTAATATGCTATGTAAGAAGATCAGTAAGTGCCAATCAGGAGGATATCATGGGAGAAGCAGGGAAACGCTGTGAAACATAGACGGAACCCAATGCCTTTTTTTCATGGATCTTACAAGACAGACACTGGGGACTTTTTGACGAAGGTATTGCTAAGAGAGAGATCATGATTTCCCGGTTTCGAGGTTCGTTCTTTGCAGATACATCTGCTTCTGGTGACTCGTGGTAAGTGGGAGATCGGGGTCTCGTCTCCATGCAAGACACCGCAACCCTGCAGATGCAGAGTCATAGGCGACTCCAGAAGCCCTTGACCGCCCCAACCATTCAACCGGTGAGTAGCTGAACAGACAATCTGTGTCTGTTGGTGCTCTCTTCCGAAACAATCACATTTCCATCACGGACGCAGCCGACAATCCCGCAGAAGGAATGCGACGGGGACGCACCTTCGACGATGATTCTTGTGAGACCAATGTCTGTGATCTGATTCATCGACAACTCTTCTGCAAGCTATCAAGCATCACTGTTCGCGGCAAGCTCGGCAACTTTGCCTGCTGAATACTTGCCGTGGGCATCCCAGCAGGTGTCATCCGGAAAGAGTGCGATCAATATCTTTTGTAAGACGAAGACCACATTCTGCAGCGATACTGCCAAGGTCTAGGCTTCCGCCCTACACTTTGTTGTGGTTCCCAAAAAGAAAGCTGACTGGAGAATGTATATAGGATTTGGCAAGTAACATGCGATATGACGATATGGAGAGGTGGCTCACATATATACCGTTTGATATGTCTCTTCAAATACATGACCGTATCGAATGTCCTTCCAGAATTCTCCTCATCCACTGTCACTTGTTGCACGTTTTGCGGGCGTCTGCAAGTAAGTGATCTTGCTTAACCGTTACTATCTCCATGCTCACTGTAGCATCTGTCTTGAAGAGACCTTTCAAAAACATAGGTAAGCTTCATACTGTGAAGCAGAAAGCCGCAAAAGGTAGAAACAAGCCAATGGTGGAAAAGGAGAACTGCTCCACTAGAAGCGAAGAACGTGTGGTTCATTTGTGTTACTGTGTTAAAGACCCGATGCCCAACATCAGATACCACACTTGCAAATGGACTGTCTGTATGGGATATGTTTGAACGACCAGAGTTGCATATGACGTCTCTGACTGTACTTGCGCACGGGAGACACAGATCTCGGAAGCCGCACCGCATCAGCACAGGAGTCTAGTTTGAGAGAGGAGGACAATAGAGGGACGATGGTCGAGGGCGGTTGTGAATCGTTGGGTGGGAAAGGGGTGTTTCCAAGCGTGTCTACCTATGAGAGGCTCCGAATCAGTATCTGTTGTGTAATGTTACGCAATTCTTGACAGGGCGTCAGACACAGATGTCTTAGACTTGTTCGTGAGACAGGCCTTTTCTTTTTGGTCACCTTGAATTAGGCGCGAGCCGCGATCAGCGTCAAGGTCTGACTTCGGGCTGCCACTCTGGCTTATCCGCCGCGTCGTAGCCTTCCGACTCCCGTGATTTATGGCGTGATCCAACTACATGTGGCGTCTGTAGACTGGCTGTATAACTTGGCCGAGACTTTGAGTATTGTTTCTTGGTTCTTGGGAGTTGAGGGCGGATGCCGGTTGCCGGATCAGGGTGTCCGTTGTCGTGTTCAATGGGTGCGTTTCCGGCCTTGAAGGAATGGGTTTGAACTTGAGAAGAGGCAGGGAGGTCAAGGCGCGTAGATTTGGGCGACAAAGAAGGCAGAGAAGAGACTAGGTAGTCAGTAATGAGATGCCGCAATCCCGAACATAGGGGCTTGCAAAGTCTATACCTGTCGTGATGGCGAGGTCGTGATACGCCGGCAAGAGAAAAAGAAAGGAAGAAACCTGGAAGACACGGGAGAAAAGCACAAGCATCTGGTACCTGCACAACCGAAGTGCAGAAGTGGGTGAGACCGACGTCGGCACCTTCCATTTGTACAGTCTTCGGCATGGTGGAAGGCATGTCTGCCAGCTCATACAGGGAGACATCATTGACAAAAAAAATCAAGAATATTGCCAATTCCAGCGCCGGAGCCTAAACCCGGGTCTCTGAGAATCTCACTGTGGAAGATGAATTGAAACCTACTCACTGCAGTATGCAAAACCTCTAGGTCTACACTACATGGGAGACTTGGTGGTGTTTGTTTAACGCAAAGCACGAAGTGGAAGTCTGTCCTCAGAGGACCCGGAGCATATTCATCCTATCTCCTAGCGGGTGCCTACGTCAGGCGGAATCCTTCAAGGGGCTGTGCCTGCCAGATTCTGTCCGGCAACCTCCCGTGACCATGACCGGCCGATGACCTGAATGGGTTGGGGACGAGATGCGGCAGACTCCCGTTCTGATGGAAGGCGCGGGGGAGGACGCCATTGTTGCGCAGAGTGGCCTTTGACGTGAAACTCCCGTCGGACCGACACCAAGATGAACCTCCAGGGCGAGTCTCATTCTCTCCACGATCAATAACCAGCATTACGCCGGCCTTTCAGACACTCCAAAGTTCCCTTCGAAGAGGGACTTTCGCAAATCAGTAAACACTGGACCTTTAGATTAGTATACCTCTAGACTACCTGCCATCACCTCTCATACCCCTCGGTTGAACAGCCAAAATGTCGCTCGATATCTTGAGCATCCAGACCCATTTCACCTTTGCCTCCTCCACATCACACTAAAACACCCAAGTGTGTTTTTCCCTACCACCTTCATCCTGCTACCTGTCCCCGTTCCCACTGCTAACATCAATCCGCTCTGCATCTTCCTTCACCTCGTGAGAGAGAGACGTAGGCCATAATCCGGTAGTGTCTCGCCAGATGAATGGCGTGGAAGATGATCATGCTTTTTGCAGCAAACAAAGGACATCCCCTTCATAAGATCGCCAACGCAGCCCCAAGCCTCAAGTCCATCCTTCCTCCCCGGTTTCTTCTCAATTTCCCTACCCCGTCGCCCGTCTCAATCATTTCCGAACCCTCTTCCCCCTCAGTCCCCGGACTTCTCTACTTTCCCTTCCTCAGGGAGTAGGCACATCCCAAGAAACCAACTCAATATGGAAGTTCAGATTCTGATCCGTCCTGAAAACTAGTGTCTGTAAAACTTCTTCGCCGCTCTTACTTTCTTTTCCTTTTTTCTTTTTTTTCTTTTTCCTTGTTCTCAACTCTCAGCCACGCTGGCTTTCAGCTCTTTGTTCCGGAAGCTTCTACACTAGAAAGGTTTTTCCCTTTGCCGGAAACCCCATTGAGGGATTCCACTCTGTAAAAGTAAAAGGCACCCGTAGACACTCCTACATTATGCGTACAAAAGAATCAAGCAAGTATTTCTTTACACTTCAAAAAACCCCTTCGTCGTCCCACTGTTCCCCAACATATACCTACTCACAAACGCCCTAAAGTTACTCACTGTCTAGTATCGCGCAACGGAATGTTAGCTTGAGTATAAAGAAGGGACGCAAATAGAGGATATCGTCGTATTCGAGTGATAATGTTGGTGCAAGTAACCTGGCAGTCGGTGGCTAGGAAATAGGGCTTCCGCAAGTGATGTGTTTTCTTTTAGGGAGGTCAACTTTGCACCATCGAACATCTAGAATCATTCCAGGCTTCCCGAACATATTTTCCGATGACAAACAAGTGACTTGTCCTGAAAAATATGTCATTGGATCATGGCGTTTGTTTCCAGGTTCTTCCTGAGGCGCAACCTCAAAACATATAGAATTCAAAGGTTGGAACCATGGATGAAGATTGTGCGAATGGCATGTTCAACCTCTAGACCAGGTGCATTCGGCAATGATGCGACAAATATCTCAGCGGCGGCGCGATGAGATAATTCGCCCCGAACTTTCGGCATGAGAAGTGAGCGAAGCTATGAATGGATAGAATGTCGTGATCATGGATCCAGACTTGATCCGACCGGGTGAAGGGTATAAGCCTATTACACCAAGGCAGCAGATACAAAGAGTAGAGGTGAGCGAAAACCATGCCGGCGCTGGATGATTTAGGTAGAGCTGGAAAGATCCTCCGGGCCGTTGCCCCATAAACCGAGATTCACTGGATTCATATGTGAGGCAGAACCATGTGTCGGGGCCTTGACAGAGGCCGGAGTCCGGAGTTCTTTCAGCGGTGGTTGTATAGGACGAGACGAAATTGGCTGCAAAAGATGGATGTACAAGGTAACTGCAAATGGTGGAGACAAAACTTTTACTCGCATTCGTAATTCATCAATATCTTCATTACTCGGTAGCTACCGATGGTATCTGCCATTTGCAAATACTATCGTGTGGGCTTCGTCTTACTGCCTCTTAATCCCAACGTGTTGGTCAACAAAATCGAGAACGGGCTGAATGGTCGTCTCCCATCCTGGGACATTGGGGCCCTACAATCAATCATCTTGTTAGTACTTGCCAGAAAGTGAAGCAGGTCTTGATCATTTCACCGTGTATTTTATGTCAAATACGTGCGGTTCACCCTCCTCGTATCTTTCAATGACAGGAACGTCTCTCTCTCTGAGCGTAGCGGCCATGTGATAGCTTTGCTGAATGGGCACAGACTCGTCGGCGCTACCGTGGAGGAAGGCGGTTGGTGGGTAAGGCCGCTGTTTGTCCTCCTGGAGAACCCTGAGAGAAGCCATAGACGTGATGAACTTGTCCAGTTCTGCCTTGTCAGGGAATCGCTCGCTGTGGAGGAAGGCCTTGTGAATGTCACCCGGAAGCGCCCTTACAGAGCGCCACTGGTGGGCTTCAGCCTGTAGCCGGAAACGCTTGTCGTACTTAATGTTGGCCGCCCAGCGCTTTTTAAGCTCTTCCTCGGAAAATAGTTCCTGCTCGTTCCAGCAGCAAGCATCTGTCAAGACGTTGTTCAGATCCCGATCGCTGATGAAGCGTTCTAGTTCTTCGTCGGTGAACTCTCCTTTCCAAGGCTCAGGTGTGCGGCCGGGCATGTTGACAAAGGGCGATATGTCTACAAGGCCGTAGACATCGACTATGACCCTTGGAGGAGGTGAAGTCAAGTGCAGGCCCATTAGAGTCACCAGGGTACCACCAGCGGATTCACCAACAAGGACATAGCGGTCGACGTCAACCTTGCCCTCGCCCAAGATGGACGGGAGATTCTTGCGGCACCATTCGACAGCCTCGATGCAGTCGGAAACTTGGTGATCGAGAGCGGCTTGGGGAGCAAGACGGTAGTTGTGAGAAACAAGGTGATAACCGCGCTTGCGGAAGCCGGGTGTCAGCCACGGAAGTGGGACGAAGTGGTGTCCGCCGAGGAACCCACCTCCATGGGTCCAGAACACAATCGGGGCTGGGTCTTGGACCACGTTCTCGGCCGGCCAGACACGGACTCCGAGCTCGACGCCGCTGGAGGATTTGAAGGTGTGGTCAGTATAGCCGGGTGGGGCATAGAAAAAGCCCTTCAGATCCTCATCGACCTTGTCGAAACTGAACTCGTCCTTCTTAATGTCTGTCATGTTGAGCACGCCGAGGCAAATGTCCAGTCGCAAGCTTCTGTGATAACGGGCGAATGATGATGGCGGAGGCTAGGGAAGTAGACGCCAATGTCGACGCTGTTATCTCGTCTGGTGCGGGGTCGTTCCTGATCTTGAAACTCGGGGATGGGATGGGAGTTGAGACTGACTTCCATTCGGCCGTGGCCGTGGTTGTTGGTTTGCGGCCCGAAGTCGCCAGTCTCGAACGAACGTGTTGGAGACGATGTTACTCGGTCTGGGCTTTCACTGGGGAAGCACAAATGGTCGTACGATTGGGAGGGGTGCCATTCACATGTTAGTGGCCTGCCCTCGAGCTAACGTGAACTCCGCCAACTATGGTGACACTCGGTTAGTTTGCCATCTAAACTCATCTCATTCACTGCCAAGACCCATGTCCAAATTGAAAAACCCGCAACTGAGCTCCTTCCTCGAAAGAGTACTTCCAACTTGTCCATCTTGCCCAATAGCACCTTCCTCTTAGGGTAGTGGTGTCGTGATCTGGGCTTCTTTACCCAGACTGCCGTCTCTCTAGCGTCCCCGTCACTCACTCTCACCTCGCAACTATCCACCGGCCTGCCAAACGAGCCACGAAAACTGCTTCCTGGACCCAGGATGGGGTGTCATAACACGAAGATGAGCGGCAGTAATTGGGATTCCGTTATTTACAGGACTCTTCTCTTGTCCAGAACCATATCCATCCAAACCGAAACCAAGTTCAGCAACGATTGAACAACGCAACCTTATCTACAATGGCCGAGTGCTTCATTTAAGCGAACAGGGTTAGGCAGGGGTCCCTCCCACATCCTCGGTACCAGGCACCACGACATTCGACGGCATCATGCCACGGGGTTCAGATGTCGTTCCCAGGACAGTCAGGGGTTGATTTACTCAACCCCTCCCTTCATTAAGTACCTCCCGATGCCACCGATACAGCTTATTTCGTACAGGCTTCTTACCAATACCCAATTTCAGAGAAAAAAAAAAGAAGATGGCCACCTTTTCAACGGCCCAAGACCTATTCATCCCCCTCGGCAAGGATGGCCAACGCATGTCGTACCGCCTCCTCGGCCCTTCGCCTTCCTCCTCCGGCAAGACCCCTCTCGTCATGCTCAATGGCTTCCGTTGCACTATGGACCAATGGGACCCGGCCCTGATCGACCCTCTCGCCGCCCAACGCCCCGTCATCCTCACAGACATCCCCGGCGTCGGCCGCTCCGAGGGCGCCGTTCCTCTATCCATCACTGAGTGGGCACAAAGCCTTGTCGACATGCTCATCGGTTTGGAGATTCCTCAAGTGGACGTCTTCGGGTACTCCCTGGGCGGATGCAATGCCCAGATGATGGCGCTGATTGCCGAAGAATATTCGGGAGGCAAAGTGAAGGTGAGGAGGTTGGTGTTGGCGGGGACTACACCTAGTGATGGGCCGGGGGTCAAGAGGTTTACGGATCAGGAGCTGCGGGCTTTCCAGGGGTTGGTGAAGGCCCAGACGGTGGAGCAGCAGAAGGAGGCGTTTATGAAGCGCTTCTTTGGACGGTGTTCGGAAAACTGCTGGGCAGAGGGGGAAAAGAGTTGGAAGAGGATTGCTGGTGCCAGGAAGGAGAGGATGGGGCACTCAGGGCAGGAAGCATCGAAGAGGCAGGGCCCTGCGTTTTATGGGTTCATGGGAGAGGGTAGTTTGGAGAAGCTGAAGGGGTTGAAGATCCCGGTGCTGATTGCCCATGGTGAGTTTTCTGTCTGAAAAAGTGTGTTGTGTGTTATGATGCTAATGTCTTGTTTGCACAGGGTCTCGCGACTTGATCTTCCCCATGGAAAACAGCTACCTGATGTACAAGACACTACCGAATGCTTATCTGCACTTATACCCCGACTCTGGACACGGGTTTTTGTACCAGTACGCGGATCACTTTTCGTCCTTGATCAACTTGTTTCTGGATGGCGAGCAGTCGGGTGGCACCTTTGTCCCCTGCAAGCTATAGTACAACGGTCACGAATATCACACACATTTCCTGATCAGTGCCCTCGGAGGAAACTGGGTTGATGGAGGACCCCGAAGTGCTTGCTTCATCATCTGCCAGCGATCCTTTTCGCATGGTACGCGGAATAAAAGAGCAAGCGAGTATGCTGTGTGACTATCTTTCCTTCGTCGCCACTGGATCCCCTATTCCCAACCTGAACCCAGCATCCGCAAATCTATGTTCCCAAAACTCCTTTCTCCCCCCTTACCAGCCCCTTGACAGCACCTATGTCATCATCCGAATCCACTTTCCATGTATTCTTCTCCTATCCTTCAATGTCCTTTGCCCTTTCATCTTTCAAGCTTTGCAAATACCACCGCAATCCGCACCACCATTCTCAGGATCGCAATCATCCCTAGGGTCGTCCACACAAGTCAGCCCCTTAGGGCACGAAGTGCCCAAAAATCCGCCGCAGACCAGCGGCTCGATGCAGACGCCGCTACAGTCGGCACCTCCCTTCTTCGGGTCGCAATCATCGCGCGGGTCGTCGACGCAGATCTGCTTCGCGTCGGCGCAAGGAATGGCGGCGAACCCACCGCAGAAGGCGCCGGCCTTGAAGCATGTACCCTTAATGGAAACTTGGCCGGGGAGGCATTTGTTGATCTCGGTGTAGGAGGAGGAATCCCTGGGGATGGCAGTGGCTGAAGAAGTGGCCAGGAGGGAGAGGAGTGTGGTCTTGAAGAGCATTTTGGTGTTGGCTTGTGTGGGTAATGTCTGTAAAGTGTGAGTCAATGAACCTTTTGGTTCGTGTTCGCCGTGTTTGGCCCACCTTGTCGATTGTTGGTTGTTGATTGTTGAAAGGGTTACCTGTGAAAACTGGTCTTGATTTTGAGTTATTATGTTTGATGTTGATGAGATGATGTGATCAAGCTTGGGACTCCAGCAATCTTTATACTGGAATGAAGATGAGGGAGTACTGACCTAAAAAACCGGTGTGGCTGCCCATTTTGACCTTTGGAGTAACAACTTTCGTTGTGTGACGAAGTTAATCGGCTGAACAAGGCTATGCGCTTACTCTTCCCGCCCTTTGCTTCCTCTGGTTCAACAGAGACACCGTTTTCTCACGTTCCTTGGCGTTTCATTTTATTTTCTTTTCGGTCAAAGCCAAGACGGAGGCCCAAAACAAAACCACATCAAGGGAAATCATCAAGTCGATCAACCATAATATTGTAAGTCGTTGTCCGAGAAGTCTGTGGCTTGCCGTGTAAGAATTGACTGACCGTAGGACGTCCCAGGCTACTTATTGGTCATGGATGGCCAACCGTCAGGTGGCTGAGGCTGTGTAACTCCTTTTTATCCATCCTGTTCCTGACATATTCCTGTTGTCAGATGCGCTCCACAGATGGGGATAAGCAATGAATGAACTTGTTTGGGCTGAGGCTGACTGACACTACGTTACAGGCGGTTGAGCTGCTTATCAGGTTCAAATCCGGGGAAATGATGGGATGGTTACGACGGTGTGCATCTTGACTTCTATAGCAAGATCTGTAGGTATAAGGTATGACATTCATCGACCGCTTGACAGACGATGAAACGACGAAAACGAGGCAAGCACATTCTAGAGCATGGAACGCACGGCTCCCCCATGGCATTAGACGGCGGGAGTCATGTGCCATGTGCAACTTACATGTACCTCGAAAGGAATTTTGCACATTCCATGGCTATCGCTGTCTGCTTCATGTAACATCAACTACTAATTCACCTTCAAAAAAGAAGCATAACAGGACACCTGAGATCTTGTGACACCAACATTGATGAATGTCCCGTTACTATTTCTGTCTTGTAATGTGTCCAGAAACCGTTTATGTCTAGCGCGGTTTGCAAGCCAAACCTCCATGTGTTAGAGATAATAGTTCATCCTTTAATTCTCCTCCCATCTCTTAGTCAATCGCTCATTTCTCCCTGCCGTGCCCTTCATTGTCTTCTTTCAATGTCGTGGTAGACCATTGGAAGAGTTAAGTTATTTTCCCCGTCTTACGCCCGCTCTCTCAAACGATTGGAAATTCTTGGCTTGAACAAGGGGTTTCGTTTTGCATGATTGTCGACATACGCTTTTGGAAGTCTCGGGTACTGTAGCTTCCACTTATGTTTTGTTTTATCATGCCAAGTAAGAGGAGGGGGGTGGGGAGGGACGGGTCATAGGAGGCATCGAATTCTGTGTAACCTGGAAGGGGGCAGCGCATCAGGCAGGACATTGTTCCTTCTTCGGGATCGAAAACAGGTGCCTCGAGAGTAACGTCGTAGCTGTTTCAAGAAGATGGAGAGTGCCTGTTCCCCTCTGATTAGAATTTATAGTAAAGTGAAGTGTTGAGGTGAGTCGGGGAGTAAGTACCTGAGTAAGAACTGACTCGTTTATTTCAGCACGTTTAACATACGCTCAGCTAATAGCTGATAGCTACCTACCTAAGTGGAAGGTACTATACAGCCAATTTCAATATTAATTCTGTTCTGCCCTCAACGAAGTTTGAACTTGAAAGTCTATCTGTTTGTTCGCCCAGTCCTCGATATACGAGGAAGATACGAGCCGGTCACGAACACTTGGATTTCTAAAGATACGAACTGCCTGCCAAAGCCCAATGAGTTCCATGATATATTTATTTATTCCTCGGTATTTACCTCTCTCTTGGCCTGGTTCTCATAAATTCTTTTCATCATTTTTGTAATTTCTAAATTGTTTGATTTGGAGAAGCTAAAGGGACCTGAACCAGGTTTGTTTCTCACTTCGAGTACATAGAGAGGGTATCTGCGTCGAACTGACGAAGCGGTGTGACGGGATGTTAAAGCTTGGAAGTGATGTGTTCTAATCGGTGGAAGTGCGTGCATGATTCGGAGAAGTGAGGTAAAATATGTTTGGGATTTGTGTTTAGAGGATCTTACGGAGGGAGGGGGGAGGGGTTTCTACAAGAGGTGCTCTAGGCTGTTCCGTGTCTTTTTCTGATACCCTTGTGCTCTGTTACAGCTTGGCCTTGCACGACTGAACGGCATGGAGAACTTGTGTTCGTTTTCTTCCATAAAGCGTTGTACTTTGGTCGAGGGCTGTCTGTGGTGTAGGAAATATCAGTTGAGTATTTGATTCACAAAAGACTAGTCACGACACAGAACAGCGATAAAGTTGTTTAAAATATTGATTATCGTCCAGCTAATTAGTTGGGTATGCTGAAAGAAGATGGGGGTATTCGAACTCGACAAGTCGTCGCTCATCAGTCATCCCTGACCAGAACCAAACGCCAGCCAGCAACAAGACTACCTATGAACAACTGCAAAAGAAAACATTATATGTCGTAGGACTCGTACTTGTTGATTATACCCGTTCATGACCAATGCATGAGCAAGGGCAACTTCGACTGCCTTCCTTCCGCCTCCCGATAACTCTCTCCTGTTTTCATCACAACACACCTTTTCGTTCAAGTCCACCAGGGAAACGAACTCCTTAAACCATTTGCTCACCCCTCACGCCATTATTGTGAAAGGGACCTCCAACGCCATTGCCAGTAACTGGCTTGCGGTTAATGGCTGGTCCACCACCATAACCACCATAGCCACCGTATCCACCACCAGCATAGCCATGCTTGTCATCAAACGGGAAGCCAGCACCGCTGGTGCCCCAGCCAACCTGCCTGGTGAAAGTAGCGCCGCCCAGCTCCATGTCGTCGCGGCTGCCAAAGGGGAACGGGTTGGACCTGTTGAGGGGGATATGGTTGTAGCGCCAATCCCAGATGCTCGCATACACCATGCGGTAGGCGCTGAAAGCCATGATGGTGCCGATAACCGCGCCAGCGAGGACGTCATACCAGTGGTGGAACTCATCAATGGTCAAGGCGCCGGCAATCAGGCACGCGCCGAGTACGGGGGCGTAGACGGCGGCGAGCTTCCAGAGCGCGGGGTGGTAGTTGGAGAAGACCTTGAGCTTGGCGTTGAGGTAGAGGGCCAAGAAGATGAATCCCGCGAAGGCAGCGGTGGAGTGACCACTGGGCATAGACTCGAGCGAATCATCAATCTCCTTCGGATCACCAGTGCAGATATCCTTGGTGTAGTAAATCTCGGCGAAACCTTGCGCCGAGTAGCCCTTTTCGGCAATCTGGGTGTTGGTAGCGCGAGTAATGTCGGGCTTGCAGACGGTCAGGAAGTGAGGGCGCAGGCCACCGATAAGCCACTTGATGAAGACCTGGAAGACGGCGGCGGTGATGAGACTGTACAAAAGACCCAAGACGCCGTTGTTGACGTCCCAAAAGGAGCGGATGCGGATCTGCATGCACAGGATGATGAAGATGGGAATGATGGAGGCCAGGAAGGCGGCGAGCCAGATGGGAATGATTTCCTTGCGCATCGGGTAGGCGAACTGGGGGTAGACGACTTCGCCGTCGGAAAACTGGACGGCAAAAGAACGGGAGGGGGCCGGGTGGGCGTAGTAGACCTGTATTGTGGCATCATGTTAGGATTTGAATGATGTAGGTGATGATAAGGTGAGGAGGGTTTGTGTGAAGAGACTTACGCCGAGACCGATGGCACCGAGGGCGGCCATGGTGAGAATGTCGAGCCAGGTGTACTTGAGCCACTGGCCAAAGGTGGGCCTGGTGGTCATGGTGTAGGGCTCGAAGCCATGGCGACGAGCGCGCTTCTCATTGCGAGTAGTGCCACTAGCAGCAACAGGCGGTGCGGGACCATCCGCGGCGCGGGGTTGACGGTTGAAGAAGCCCATCTTTGTGGTGTGGTTTCTCAGTTGTTGTCGGTGTTGTGGCTGTTTACTCGCGAGATATCTCCACTGGATCGGGTACCTGGTTGAGACTAGCCTGGCCCGTGGTGGCAGCCCTTGTTCCAGTTCAAGTTGTACAGGAGTTGAGTGTACAAGCTGTTGGATATTTCAAAACTGAAAAGTCAGAAGTGGTTGAGTGGTGAGCTGTGATGGTTTATAACAACAAACGGAACAGCAAAGAACCTGTGCGTTCAAGACACGGCATGTGTTTGTTGGTTTGACGTCATAATGGAAGATGGGATGGTTGTGTGCCAGTGAATGGTCAGGAAAGGCTGAACTCGTTTCCCGTCTGTACCAGGCAAGCGAGAGTGAATTGTGCTGTGCCCTTGCTCATCGTGTAAGTGGCCGCCCGTTGGACATTTCAGGCAAGTTATCTGCAGTGCTACCGCTTGCCCTAGTTATCCTGGCTGCCCGGTTGTGAGCAAGCAAGGTACGTAGGTTACCTGGACAGGCACGATGGCATGTACGTCGTTAGGCATGAAACTGGGAGACAAAATTCCGAGTCCCTTGACTTGGACCTGAACGGGACGTTGTCACAGGCTGAGGAAGAAAAAACCAAGGGAAGCTAAGACGGAACCCGGCAGCACGGCAAGTCATCAAGGGTTGCATTCATGGGTATTTTTTCTTGAATTTGACTTTTTGTTGTCTCATCATGAAGGGTCTCGACCAATTGGTCGTCATGTCTTGAGGTCAGACTGCCGGGCGATTGACATTGAGTGAACACTTCAACAGGGAAGAGCCTGTAATTACCGTTTAATCTTTCAGGGGATGTACTCCACCAGTGACATCACGCCCCACCACTCCACGCGGAGTTTAAGGTCCTGAATCTTGGCAGACTGGGCACCCGTCTCTCAAAGGCTGACCAATGAAAGGGCAGCAGGGCAATGACATCAAAGCACCCCAGGAGAGTGAAGCTCCGATAACCGATAAGTGATAAGATAGCAGCACCTCAGCTCAGCTAGGTCAACTGGAACCCCTCCTCGTCTTTGGCGGGGGAGAGCTTTCGTTAGTCCCGTCATGGGAAATAGTGGTCAACCAACCCCTCACCGCCGTCCGTCTTCGGCTGGAGATGAATAGCGTTGGCTGAAGACGACAACCACCACCACCACCACCACACCAATGCTACCTGCCATTCAGTACATATGCAGCCAGCAACAGTTCACAATCCAGTTCGAAAAACTAGGAATTGGTTTGGAGGGATTCAAATTGCGTATCTCTATCAGGTGTGTGTATCTGCTGTAAAAATTCCAAATGCTAACCCTCCCAATTGCTCTTATTGTACGAATGTTGAATCACCCAATCTCTGTAGCTGCTCTAGCGGAGAGAGAGAAGAGTGACCAATCCATGTTTCGTAAAAACCGCCCAGATGTAAGAACATGAAGAAAAATAAAGGAAAAGAGAAATGCCAAAAGGTGTATATCCCAAAATGACACACAAGTTGGAAAAAAAAGAGAAAACGAGATCGCTCCCACGCCATCGCTTCTAGGTATTAACAGCAGCAAAGCAAACATCATCAACAACAACATCAACAACAACAACCAAATCAACGACGACTCGAAACATGAGGCGCATGTCCCGAAGGATACCCATTCGGGTAGATGCCGACGTTGCTGATGCTGTCTTCGGGCGCTATGCTGTCGTCATCCAGCCAGTCGCGCTTGGCCGGCCCGCTGGTGAGATACGTCGGCGCAGTGCTAAAGGTGTCGCCGTCATGACGCTTCTGGTATGTTGCCGCGTAAGGGGCAGGTTGATATGTCGCGTGGTGGTGATTGTGGTTGTCACGGGAATGGCTCTCACGACGTTGCTGCTGCTGCTCTAGGCACTGACGGCATTCGCGGGACACGCTCACGCTGGGAAAGGTGTTAGTAGGCGGGACATGAGGATGGTAGGAAGCCGAACGAGGCAACTTTGGAGGAGTGATGGTGGTGGTGGTGGTATGTGTGTTTGCAGGAGGAAGAGCATGGCTTGTCCCCGAAACGTAGCGGATGCCCGAGCCAACAACAGCATCATGATGAGCAGTACCATGACCTCCGCCGCTACCGCTAACTCGTCTCTCAGAACCGGAAGCGAGCCGGTAACTGGAGCTGTTGTTGTTGTTGGCCGACAACGACCGGGGAAGGTGTGGTGGGCGTTGTGTAGTACAAGAACTTGAAGTAGAAACATGAACGATGCGATGTGTTGGGGATCGGGACCGAGGGGGTGTATTACATCTGTGCAGGGTACCGGCAGGGAGAGGTCCGAGGACCTTGCCGCCCTTGACAACCATCTGGATGCCCTCCTTGAGGAAAACGACACCGTCACCCTTGGTATCGCCGATGTAGTTCTCGCCGCTTCGCACGGATCCGTTCCAGAACTGGACGCTCTGGGCACCCTGGACCACGAACTCGCCAGCGTTGCCCTTGGACTCGAAGATCTGCTCGCCGGAGATGGTGGAGGCCGAGGCGAGGTCGGAAGCCCTCTTGGAGATCTCGGTCGAGCCGTTGACCCAGTAGGTTTGCTGTTATGGGCCGCATATGTCAGCTTCTGATGAGCTTGAAAGTATCAAAACATCCTCCAGGGGTTTACTTACGACGCTCTCACGCTGGCCAGACATGTTGGATGGTTGTGTTTGGTGATGGAAGGGTAGTTGATGTGGTGGTGGAGTTGTTGAGGTTGATGTGGAATCGAGCAGTGTCAACGTTGCTTGTTGTGTGTTTGGGATATCAAATACAACAACAGCTCCAAGGACCTGGGACTGCCAATCTATTTATCCAAACCCGACTCCAGTCTCTCCCAGCTTCCCAGCTCTTTCTTCATGCCCAAAAAAGCCACAGCTCCCAATCCACAATCATAGCCCCTCTCTGTCTCAAGCGTCTACGTACATAGTCGAGGTACATCCCGAATCCGTGGAGTTTCAACCGAGAAGGTGGGCCGGGAGTCTCTGTTGGCTACAGAATATTCCGACCGGCCAATGGAACGGGCCACCGTCCTCGCCATCAAAGATTGTACACCAACAGTGGCCAGGGCATGGCGCCTAAACGAGATGCCCAACATGGCAGGGTTCTAACAGGTCAGAAAGACTGACGTGGATGCGGCCTCACAGCTAACGATTTGCTCGGCATCGCTGGCGTGAGTCTGCGTCGTCCTCGCTCCAGCGTCCCTCACTGTCGTCCAGTGCCAGCCTGGCGGGTGGGTTCCCATCAGGAGGCTAGGGCTGTTTCGGGTAAGGGCTGCAGCAGAAGCCGCAGGCGACGAGACCGCTCGTGCCTCTCGCAGAGAGCTGTTGTTCTACGAGTCATTTGCTAAATGTCGGTCGTTGCAGCAGCGCCTCGAATCGGGTTCTCTGGGCCTCAAAAAGAGAGCACCTATCACTCGTCAGGCTGAAAGTGGCTGGACCACACTACGCTAGCATTTGCAAGGCACCGCTGGTTGGGTCCTACCCCCAAAAAAGAACACGACGGGGACTGGACTTTCGAAACAACCGCCGGCTCGGTTGTGATCAGTGGTGGTGCTGCCTTGCCATCCGCAACCCCATCATTGTCACAGTCGTATGCGCGGCAAGGCCTCATTGGTCTCTGTGGATGCCGACCCCCAGCCGGCAACAGCCCCTATTGGCTACCTATTTGCCCTCCTTCAGACTGGGGGCAAGCCATCAGCTAAAGATGTGTGGAGGGGTCGATTAGCGTGGTCCAGATCAAGACTTACGGGGTCTTCCCAAAGGGGGGCGCAAAGCAACTTGCATATCGAGATGGAGCACGTGGAACCACCCTATCGACGAACAAAAGGACGCAAATAGCGGTCTTGATCAAGGTCCTCGAGGACGATTCGCAAAGTTGAGAAACCAGGCACGCAAGAGATAGGAGATGGCGGCAACATGGGTAGACAAATGGCATGCAAATGGCAACAAAAATAGGGCCACTGTTTGATGGCCTCGATGGCGATTTGGACGAGGTTGCCTGATAGTCTGAACGATCTGCAGTTTCTCGACCCTGCGATCCTGCATAGCCCCTTCTATCCTTCACCACTGGACTGCACCGGAGTCTTCCCCAAGTTCTAGATCTTGCCTACCTAGTTTACGTGGCCGATATGTCTGGCCCTCTCGTGAGAACTACTGCCAGTGACTGCGGTAGGGCGGTAGGCGGAGCGCGAATTGGCCGTTGCCATCACAAATCACACTTGACGATTCACATATTCTCAGTTCGTTTCTGCTAACTCATAGGCTCTCGCGAGTCTACGAGGGGTCCATTCATCACCACAGCTAAAAGGTACACTTGTTTAGTTCCGTTGCTTCCGTCCCTGAATGGCTTTTAGCGAAGTGAGGTTTCCTGCAGAAAAGAAGCAACCAATGTGCACAACATATCGACGACCGCATTTACAAGGCCATCCATCATATGCAGGTGCAACCATGCATCGAGATGGAAAGACGGATTCCCCTTCAATTGTTGGTGGTGCCTTGCTGATGATGATGCCTTGAAAAAGTCCGAATTCCGAAAGGACAAGCCATTCTTGGCCTATCTTTTCTGGACCTCGACGTTGCCCTGACATTGCTGGGTCCACGTATGCAAGATATCTGTGCAGGCTGTGCTGACAGCTCTAGGAGCTCGTCCCACTACCCACGACTGGCAGAGTGGATTTGTGAGGCCTCAGCTTTGCTGGACCTCAAGATCTGACGAATGTCAACAATGGCTTGTCGTTGGAGGACAAGATGGGGACGCGTTGTTACCGGCAACCTGTGGTCCTGCGCAAGGCGGGGAAAGGGGGCTGACTGGCTTCAAGTGGAGAAGAAGGACTGTCAGACACAACAGCTTTGATATTGCATGGCAATACTACTCGAGTGGCAGGGCGATATGAGCTGTGTTATTGATGAGGTTTCGTATATATTTTTGATGGATCAGTTCAGCTAATGTCAGCGCAGGCCACAAACAATCATGTGATTTGTTTACATCGACAGTCTGACAAAGACGCTGTTTGGTATTCGTGCCGGGCTTTGAGAGATATGCGACTCCGAGAAGCGCCGTCGCCATTACGACCAGATACTCTGTTCTACCCCTTTCTCCGAACATCAAGCCATCAAACTTAACATCATGCCTTCCCTCACATATCCACTCACAACACCATCCCCATCATCATCACGACCACCCCATCAAATCCTACTCTGCCCTTTCATCCCCCCCTTCCCCCTCCCCGCCAAATTCCTCTCACTCCCCAACACCAACCCAACATGATTACTCACCACCACCAGCTCCCCCTTTTCATCCATCACCAGCACCTCCAAATCAAACCTCCCGCCCTTAACCTCCTTACTTGACACCCTCATCCTCAACCACTCCCACCCGCCGCTGCCGCCCTCTTCTTCCTTTCCCTTTTCCGGTGCAGCCTTCTTTTGCTCAATGTTCATCACCACCGTAGGATACCAATGCTTCGCATCATGTCTAAACGGCGCATCATTCTCCTCTTCTTTGCTCCTAGGGCGATAAGCCTCCACGACATACGGCCAGCAATCACTCACGTACCCCAGCGATGCATTGGTGAACTTTTCGCCTGACGATAACCGAATCCAGAGGTCGATGATGGATTTGCGAACCTGGCCCCGTCGCGGGATGTAGAAGTGGGTGTTTTGTAGAGCTCGGATGTAGCTGGATCCGGATCCGGATCCGGACCCAGGGGGTAGTAGAGAAGGGATGGCGGTCCAGTGGGGGTCGCGGTCTTGTTTGAGCAGAGAGAAATCGGGGTTTTGGGAGGGTGAGGGGACAAGGGGAGGGGGGAGGAGGGTGAATTGCGTGTTGAGGGAAAGACCGGTGAGGGAGGAGAGGTTGGTCATTACCAGGTAGGCGGTTACGCGTTTCTTGCCAAGGGTTCTTGTTGGGAGGAGGTCAGAGGTGGAGGTGTCGTCTTGGTGCAAATTGCCCTGGTACAAAGTGGCGTGTAGGGTGGTTAGTTGACGACCGGGTTTCACGTCCTCGATGAGGATGGCTGCGGGACCGACTTGGGTGCGGTTGAGGTACTCGAAGTGAGCGTTCATGACGTGCGGTTGGGGGTTGGAAGGGGAACGGGAGGAGCCGTGGAGGATAGCGGCTTGGAGAATGCATGATGCTACGTAGCCACCGTTGGGAACTGTCAAGTCGTTAGTGATGTTTTGGCCTGTTTGATGTGCGAAGATGAAGAGATAACCTACCGGCGCCGATGCAGAATGAGTCTACCAGGTTGGCTTGGTAGGTGTTGGCATCGAGCCTCTTGATCTCCGTTGCCTTGGCGAACGGGATTATATCTGTTGATGGTTTGTCTGAGGCCATTTTCGACACTTTGTTGCCAAGACTACTTGATATGGGACCTTGAATAAAAGAGTTCTGAAAGATTGCGTGTAGCACTTATACGGTGATAGTGTTGATGAATCCGGGGAACAGTTACCCCAACCCCCACTTTAGTGAGACTGTTTGAGCCTCGGTTGCCAAGTCGGCAGCTTTCCGTGTTGATCTCAAGGCAACTACGTTGAAGGAATGACAGGATTCCGAGTGAGTTCGCGATGTTCATCATTAACCAGATCTCCTCGACACTTTAATTGCGGTAAGAAAGGTGCAAAGGATTCCAAGAAAGGTGGAAAAAGAATGACAATACTCATGGTGAAATAAGTTACCAGAAATTACAAAAAGAGTGGACAATACCGGATTCGAACCGGTGACCTTTCACAAAGGCGCATCTATGGAATGCGAAGCGAAAATCATACCCCTAGACCAATTGCCCGTTCGTTATTAGGATCTCTAACTTGTGGCTCTATTAATGCTAGCTCAGGTCTGCTGCCCGCCCAGCAGCTCCCCACTTGCCTCGGCTCACGTTCACCTCGACATATCAAAACGTCGATAGCGACCTCTCAACTCCACGACGACCTCAAGCTTCCCCCCCCAAGCACAGAATCACATGCCAAAGATTGCAAGATGTTCCGAGGCGACATCTTTTCAAGTCTTGGCTGTTGGGAAACTCAACAAATTTCGAGGACTGCAACATCGGGCATCGCGGCGGCTCAAACTCCGTAGACCTTTGACCGCCGCCGACCGTTGCGACCGAGGACGAGACAAACGAAGAGATGAACACTTGTGAAAGACTGACAGACGTATAAAAGGGCTGAACGAATCCCAAAACAGACAATGTCCCGGTTGACGTGGAGACATCCGCTCCGCTTGCACGGGCTGGATCGCTGATCCTGCCATCAAATTCTCCCCAAACTGGACCAGGGGAACGACGTTGAAAAAGTCGAGAAACTCGAGCCAGGGTGGAAGATTTAGATATGATAGTTCCGATGCTTGTCTCTGATCGAGTGATGAGGGATCCGTTTTTCTCTCATTAACTTCAATTTCGTAACGACATCTGTTCTCCTTTCTCAGGCTTCTTCTTCACGCTTGTTCATGAAGTCATCACGTAGAACTACACACACCACCACCACCACCATGTCCGAACAAGTTCTCGTCGACGCCATCGTCGTCACCCACAACGAGAAACCATCTCCCTTGGGACCGGGCTTCAAGCGTCTCACAGAACAAATCTACCTCTCCGAAGAAGCTCCCCCTTCTCCTAGTACAAGTACAAGTACAGACCCAACCACCATCCTCCTCTACGGCTGGGGCGACGCCCGCCCCAAACACCTCGCCAAGTACGTCGACGGGTACCGCGCCCTCTTCCCCGCGGCCAAACTCGTTGTCGTCCTCTGCCCCATTCTGCGCTGCCTTTACCAGACCCTCGAAGCCCGTTCCAAGGCCATGACCCCCGTCATCTCCGCTTGCTTCGGTTCCTCTCGGGAGTCTGCTGCAGACCACAAGTCTTTGACCCAAAACAGAATCCTAGTACAAGTCATGTCCAACACAGGCGGCATGTACTTCGCCGCCACTTTGAACGCCCACCGCCAGCGATTCGGCCAATGCTTTCCTCATCACATGCTCGTCCTCGATTCCACGCCCGGAAGCACTTCCTTTTTGCAAAACGCCGGTCCATGGTCACGCGCCATGGCCCTCGGCGCATCAGGATACCTGCCCGGCTGCGTGCCGTTCATCGTCACGCAAGCGATGGCGTGCATGTTCCTGGCGGCGCTGCATGGGTTCGGGTGGTTGATTGGCGCGTCGAGCGCGGCGGCGTATAGTGTGGCGGCGGTGAACAACGAGGAGCTGTGTGCAAGGGAGGCGAGGAGGCTGTATGTGTACTCGAAGGAGGACGATATTATTTACTGGGAGGATATCGAAAGCCATGCGGCGCAGGCGAGGCAGAGGGGGTACCAGGTGGATATGGACATGTTTGAGGGGACGCCGCATGTGGGGCATATGAGGATGCATCCGGAGCAGTATTGGAGGGCGGTGGCGAAGACTTGGAGAGAGGCGGTTGGTGGAATATGAGGGGTGTTGCTGTTGTTTGGTGAAAGATGAGGGACGTGCCCGGTTGGGTTGGAAATCAACTCGGGGGGTAAGAAAGGGGGTAATGTGGTGGAAGGGCTTGGATTTGTGAAAACAAAAGAACAGTGGTTTAAAGGCGCTTTGGATACTAAAAGGCATACTACAGCATTAGAATTGGGATTGAATGGACAGATATTAGAAGGAAGCAGACGATAGAATAGCAGCGTGACGGCGAACCGGACTTAACGAACGAAACTCAGAGTCAAGTCCTCCTTCTATCATTTCTTCTCAGGGGTATCTCGGTTCATCTCACCCCTTCCTACTTGATCTTACGCTTCCGGTGGATGTTGAGTTGATTTTATCAAGCATGCCTAAGCCCACACGGACCACAGTAGAGCCAGCCATGAGTTTCGAATTTATACATCCCGAACTCTGCCGCCTAGTTTGTATTGTATCAAAGGCATATTTGGCACTTGCCATGCAAAGATTTGATTGACTGCCAGCCCTATGAAGAAATCAGACATAAGCGGACGAGCCGAGAGAGAATTGACAGACGGTTGCCGAAACAAACATCGAACGATAACAAACCAAAGAAATGGGACAAAACGATTATATATAAAAGCGTCAAGAAGGAACAACAACGTAAGACTAATCGCAGGATCGCCGAAATAAGTGCCACGCGGTTGAGGCGTTCACGGGGTTCAAATGCCTCTGGCCCTCACTCGTCGTCCTCATACCAAACAACGCTCACATTGAACATCGCCCCAAAAGCAGCATTTAGAAACGTCTCCGGGTCTCGCTGTCATGGTCATGATTAAGGTAGGTCGTAGATAATAATAAAAAAGTTCCAGGTCTGGCTTGCTATAATCATCCAACCGCGTGTCCCCAAGCCAAGTCAAGTTTCCCGTCATTTGTTGTGTGTTGTTACAGTATATACTCCAGACGCCAGAATGATGCAAGCTCTTTTGCTGCTGCTACTGCCATGGAAAAAGAATTGAACAAAATCGACGAACCAACGACGACGACGCATTAGCAAGAACTGAACCCATTAAAAGTCGATCGACCGACTGACACACCCCCCCCCTTTTTTTTCCCTTGAACCTTTTACCTCCTCCCACGTCCACCGCCACCTCCCATCAACCCGCTCATCTGTTTCATCATCGCATTCATGTCCATTCCACCCATACCACCACCACCGCCCATGCCGCCGAGCATTTTCATTAGACCGCCCATATCTTGGCCACCGCCGCCCATGCTCTGCAGACGCTTCTGCATGGCAGCCAGCTGTTGCGCCTTGTTACCACCTCCCATGGCGCTCTGGGCACGCTGCATGTTCTTCATGTTGCCGCCCATCTTCTTCGCCATGCCAGCCATCATGCGCTGCTGGGTAAGCAGGTCTTCGACCTCTCTGACCGTCGTGCCGGAACCCCTGGCAACACGCGTCATACGCGTCGGTTGGTCAATGAAGATCTTGCCGTCGCTGTCGAGCTCCTTGTCCGTCATGCTGTCGCAGATGTAGATCATGCGCTTGAGCTTGAGCGAGCCCTCCTCGTCGTCCATGTTCTGCATCATGTTGCTCATTCCTGGGATCATGCCAGCCATCTTGCTGAGGGGGCCCATCTTCATGATGTTCTGCAGCTGGTCACGTAGGTCGCGGATGGTGAAGATGCCCTCGGTGATGTGCTTGATGGTATCCTTTTGGTCGAGCTTGAGGGACTGGACGTGCTCGACGAGGCCAGCCATGTCGCCCATGCCGAGGAGTTTGCTGATGAAGTTGTTGGGTACGAAGCGCTCCAAGTCGAGCATGTGCTCACCAGTACCGATGAAGACGATGGGGGTGTGGGTGGCAGCGACGGCCGAGATGGCACCACCACCCGCGGCGTGGCCATCGGTCTTGGTGATGATAATGGCACCGAAGTCGGCAGCCTCCTTGAAGGCCTTGGCTTGGGCTTCGGCTTGTTGACCGATAGAGGCATCGAGCACCATGATGGTCTCGTCTGGCTTGACTGCCGTCTGAATGTCCATCATTTCCTGGAAGAGCGCCTCCTCTTGCCTGTGACGACCCGACGTATCGACGATGATGATCTCGAACTTTTCCTTCTTGAACTTGTCCACACCATCGCGCGCCACCACCACAGGGTCTGTTTCCGTCAAACTGCCGTAGTAGGGGATCTTGGCCTTGGTCGCGTTCTGCTTCAGCTGGTCGAAGGCACCGGCACGAAAGGTATCGGCGCAGACGAGACCGACGCGGAAACCGCGCGACTGGTAATGCCTGGCGAGCTTTGTACATGTCGTCGTCTTACCAGCACCCTGGAGACCGACAAACATGATAACGTTGGACTTGCCCTTCTTTGGCTTGAAGGGCTCGGCATGGGGGTCGACGAGACGGACGAGTTCATCGAAGACGGCTTTCTGGATCAATCGCTTCTTGTTGACGGCCGGTGGTAGTTCCTTGAAGTTGACTGTGGACTTGATCGATTTGCGCAGTTGACCGACGAGACGGACGTTGACATCGGCTTCGAGCAGGGCAGAGCAGATCTCCTTGAGCATGCCATCGAAGGCCTGTTGATGATAAAAGATGGTCAGCGATGTGGACTGCTTGACTGCTAGGGGTAGTGACGGTATCGGCCAGAAGTAGACGGGAAAAGACCAGACAACCGGATATCCAAGCTTACCTTCTCGTCGAGATTGGGGGCGCGTGTTAGGTCGCTGACGGCCGCATTGATGCGGCGACCTAGATCTTGCAAAACCATGGCTGTTGATTATGTGGCGGCTATGAAGCCGACTAGGGGTATAAAGGTTGTGTTGTTTCTAGGAAATCGCCGTCGCCGTCGTTGTGTTCGAAGACGTGGGTAGTGTCTGGTCAGAGGTCGTTCGGTTGTGGGTATTTGGTGGGTGGTGGTTGTTGCTCAGTCACAAGTGATGCGCTTCGGTCATCGGTCGGTGGCCACTCGGTGCTCTCTCTCTCTCTTGGTGGATCCCGTCGGGCATTGAAACGGACAACTTCCATGGACTGCAGTTGCTTGGCAAGCTCAGGACCGCCGCGCGGACGGGCATCGGGGCCCGGGGACGATTGGCGGGCGGATTATGGTGGGGCAGTTCGCCGCTCCCTAGGCCTGCCTGACCCTACGGGCGGTGAACAGAGCTTGGCGTTTGTTAAAGTTCTGGCCTTGGCGGTACCTGCCAGTTTCGAAACAGTTGCCCGACGGCTGCCAAAGCGTTATCTGTGTAAGTGATAAGCGATAAGCGACAACAGGCAACTGATCACCGAAGGGGTGACATACCTCTAACAACCCAGACTTACACGGTAGAAGGGAAGTACAGAAGACATGTCGGACAAAGAGAGGAAACATCGATATTCCCATCCCATGATACAAACGACCAAATAGTTGTTGATCCTATTACGAGCATCGTGTCTGTTCCACCGGGCCGCCATTTAGAACTCAAAGTCACAAGCGACACACAGCCAGACACTACCTCTAGAGAGACAGACCTCCATCTCAACTTGGCAACACCCTCGAACCAGGAAACCCCAAGAACACCTACCTCAACCCTCTCTTGTCTTGGCCCACAGTTGTTCTCTACAAGTATAAAAAAGCTTCTCTAGCATGGTAGGCATGAAATCGGGATGCACCGAGGTTCCTGCTGTGTGATCACGTTGTGTCTGAACACAAGCAGTTTATTAGGTAGGTATGATGCTGAGCTTCCTGCAGAATCGTGCTTGTTGCCAATTTACCATTAAACCGCCGAACTCGTCCTGATGAATAAAACCATTATTTTCAATCCACTGTCCAAAGAGAGAGATAGAGAGACGAGCGGGTGACCTTGCACGGAAGCTTCTCGTTGGATGATAAATCGTCACGAACTGAAACATTTTAATCTGTGCGGATACATCTGACCTAGGATCGCGGCCAACAGCATTATCGCTCTCGGGTTTCCGACGTTGATTTACTCAAGATGCTGCCGGGCGCAATGACTATAATGATTGGACGCGTGTGGGCAGCAGGTTACTAAAAGTGTGTCGTCTCGAACTTCGGGATCTCCGTTCCGAATCAATGCATTAACGGCATGCAGTGACACTCATTTTCTCTCCGTCTCTGTCTATCTGTCTGTTCTGTAGAAGTTCCTTCCAAGGTACATTTGATCGCTTCCAGTCCTTCCAATTCTTCCCTGACTCCCTCTGACCCTCGAACCCCTATACCATCAATCGGGATCAATAGGCGTCATTCTCGTGTCTGTTTGAATGCTTGTATTTTTTTCTAGACACAACATTGAAGGGAAATTCGTCTTAAATGGAACTGTGTTTTCATGTTTTTACGTTTAACCGATGGTGCATCCTACCCACCATGCCACCCTACCCATCCTTTCATCTATGGAGCGGCGCAGACGCGCAAGTAATTAGCCATCGTAACCACACACGTGGTAAGACACTCGGCGCCCGTCGAACATTGGTTCATCCGTCGGACTGGCGGACTGCTCATTGCAACCACTTTTTGCGGCAGATGCGACAGAACGCTGGTGCCGCTGACCTATCCTTCCTCTCGGGTCTGAAGTCATGGAAGGTAGGCTAGAAAAGCTGTAACACCATCTGCGAGACGCACGGCGCTACTTTATTTATCCAGGGCCCTGGAAGGCTTGGAAGCATATCCGCCCGTCAGGGTTTGGTGCGTGAGTGCTCTGTGCTCTGTGCTCTTGGACTTTGGTGCTATGTAGCACAGGCAACAACATCTTTTTCGTACGGGACAGGGCCACGCAGATCCCTTGTTGTGTTTCTGGTGTTTGTTGTGCGGCCTTTCTCATGTCTAAAGGTACAATGTTGATTCAGCAAAGGCACGGATATAAGCGTGGTATTCACTGCAACACACGTAATACCCCCCCCCCCCCCCCCCCCTGGTGGTTGGGATTTGTTGACGGGCAGCGAGCATGGGCAACAGCTTACATGGAACACAGGTACGACTGGAACGACCATGTAGTTGGTTTGCGAACCCAACATCGATCTCTTCTCGGCTCCGGATAGAAATTCAATCATAATCTCTGGCATTGTATTGACACCTACTCCCCAGCATCTGTCAAGTATGCAACCGGCCGGAGCAACCGGCCATTCGGAGTAAAGAATCTCGGTCCCAAGCATTGCTTTCCAAGACCGACAGCGACAATATGGGCATGCTGGTCTTGGAACACCTCGTTACATGTGTTGCACGAAGCCCTGAATGCTGCGTGAAACGGGATGGTCCGAAACATCTTGAGCAAGCCTGTCGTCCCAACAAGTCGAAATTGTGACGAACCCTTTTGTGTTTTGACTTGACCAGTTGATACAGAAAAGTAAGCTGTTTTGAAGGGTCTGGGTCAAGAGGTGTCACCTCAGCGCCTCACCCTGACTGGGTTATTTCAATCAAAGACAACCCCTCGCTTGTCTACGAAAAGCGGTTCTCACTCGATCAGAGAAGAGAAATGCCCTTGCAGCTCTCTGCCCTTGCGCAACATGCCATTATGCCACCGCCCGTCCGGATACGTCATGGCCGAGCCAAAGGGTAGAAGCAGAAGCACAATGCGGTCTCAGCTCAATGACAGCTGTTTCTTGGGTTTGACAATCTGTTTCGGCAAAGCGCCAAAATTCGATCGCTCTCACGGTCGTTATCTGCCCCTGTCAATTCTGTCAAAAGGCTTGAGAGAGATACCGGGGAAAGGGGTGCCATGCTGTCATGCCAGATTGACAGTTGAAGAAACAGAATGCGATAATACCGTGTCTCCAGTTCGATGCGATGCGCCATCCACTCAGACCTTTGAGACAGTTCGCAGATGTTGCGTGGCAAGATTGCCTAGATGTGATTATGTGAAGTCCGCTGCTCCGACCTTCAATGTGATGAGAAGCTTGGGGGTTGGGGAGCTTGGAGAATCTGGGGAAACCGGGCTTGCGAGCCTGAAAAAGAAAGACAACCCGGCAATGTTCTAATTACCATCACGTACGCCGCATGGGTACTTCCATCCTTTCATGCCATTCACTGAACTGCCGGCTCCCGCTAAAAGGCCATGGACTCAGCGTGGCAAGATATACACGCCGATGTGAAATGCAAACTCGCAGGGGCTGGCTCCGTTGGGTATCGTGCCATGATGAAGCCATCACGCCCTGACCGATGGGATTTCGGACGGGCGGATTGCGCTCGCTATCATAACCGGATCTCATCGTAGGCCAAGCCTGCCGTCATGTGGTCGAGTATCGTCTTGGTGAAATCATATAGGTTAACGCGCCATAATCCTGACGTGTCTGATATCTTGGGGGATGGCGGGGAAAGAAGGCTCCAACAAATCGCATCTGTCAAGGGGTCACCGCCACTGAGGAGGAACAACGGTCAACGAAGCGCCTACTGGTAGTACGCGCCAAGTCTGAGGCCGCGGTGACAATAGTGGCATCTTGGAGGGATGTGGGGAATTTCAAGCTCTTGGCTTCACACGGCAGTTCCCAAGTCTCTCAAGTTCCCCTTTGTTGCCCAAGAACCCCAAAAAGTCATCAGATGTCTTCCAAGTATTCCACTAATCCAGGTACGAAGGGGGGTGTAAGATTTTGTAAGACTTGCCTCTATGTGAAAGCCAAGGCGGTAGTGTGTTTTCTGAACAAGAAGAGGAGAAGCCTCCGATGGAGCGAAGCATGAACTGGAAGCTTGGCGTGGGTTGGAGTTCAGTTGGAGAGTTGGGTCAGACGATTGATCTAGACCTGACTAGGGCAAAACTACCTTGTAGAGAAACAGGCCAAGAGAATCCAGGATCTGAAGTGGTTCTTGAGGTGTGAATGATGAGTGGAAGCAGGCGCGAGAAGAGATCTGGATGCTGCCATGATCAAATAGATCAGGCAGCATCGGCTACATTGCTAGCCTCTCTAGTTGGGTCTGGGGTTTGAGGGTTCGTTCGGAGCACCTCGAGATGATGATCTGGGGAGACTGGAGTCGTCGATGGAGTTGAGATGGATTCAAATGGAGAGCAAGAGGAGGAGAATGGTGGCAGTTAAAGCTTTCCCTTGGCATGCTACATGATCATGGAGACGGGAAGAGCTACTAGGTAGTAATCCCTGTGATGGGAGGTACCTCTAGTTGGTGGAGTTGAGAAGCGACGGAACTGAAAGGGCCAAGGCGGGCGGGCGGGGGTTACAGTGCCCACTGTGTCCACTACCATAGGTGCCCTTGTAAAAGAGAAAATCCGGGGCAGTTTCCACCAGCGATGCAAATCCGGGGTAACTTTGACTGAACGTCGTCCCTTCTTTTGCAGCTGAGCTGAGGTGTCTTGAACTATTGGATCTCCAACCTCTTCTCATTGTTCACATGACTGGTGGAGGCTCTTGATTGTTCTCTTTTCCGTTTGCACAAGTTCCATACACACAACAAGTTTCTGTTTTGGTGTACTGCCGAGGCCTTCTTTCCCCGTATTGCTCATATTGCGTGATACACGTAATCAATGCTGCTTGTATGTACTTGTTCTACTTGTATTCGGACAACCGTCTCCAGGGAAATGATGGAAATCGGGCGACCTGCGTTGATCAGAAACTTGTGCCTCCCCGCGCAGACAGCTCGCCATTGATCCAAATGAATCCAACGGTACATCTAACCATCATGGCAACAATCATGGCAATTTCTGAATGACTGACTGCTTTGAGCGGCGTCTTCAGTCTTTCGCTCCCGGTAATCCACAACCACTTGGCGGACAGTGACTTCTCCTTTTTCGTCGCTTTTCGTTCAGCTCATCCTTGGTACGACAAAGTGGCGTTCTCCTGCTTTGCTCGATTTGGTCCTCAATCGACATCGTGATACCCAACCCAAGCATTCCCTTGGCCCGGGGTACGATACAAGGCTCTTGGACCAAGCACAAGAGAAGCAATGTTGGTCTCGTCGTCTATCGTCGTTTGCTTGCAAGATGGGGGACTAGGAGAGCCTCAGCAACAACATACCCCCAAGCACCATCATCGGCACTCAAGTTGACACCATCTCGGACAAGGTTTCCGACATCAGTTTCGCGAAAACCAAGCTTCAAATTTGTTTCGACAAAGACGTACTGCATGATGCATTCCCATACACCTCCCATTCATCCTTCCGCCCGAAAAGTTCATCCGGAAGGCCGTTTGTGGTCATCGCCACATGCGGGGGAAGATTCCTCAAGATTTGGGCGGCCTGGGCGTTCTGGGCATCGCGGGGCATCGTGAAATACCAAGCCCATTCCTGTCACTGCCACTCTGCAGGAGGGGGGGTCTGGGTAGGAGGAAGGCAGCGAGTGGGAGAGAGATGGACAACAGGACACGTCCCAGAGTTTTCCTCTTCGTTCACCACGGCTTCGATCCCATCCAATGGCATATCAGCCAAGACGGATTGAATATCAGATCCAGGTTGTGGGTATGCTGCCGAGCCCAAGCTACAAGTGGACGAGCCTGGCTGTGCCTTACTAAAAGGGTCGATATGCCGGTTGAGGAACAAAGAATGACGGTCACGATATGGTTAGAATGGGTGGTGGTAGATGGCTGCAAGAGGATGTGGTCTAGATGCGGTCCAGCTGCAAGCAGAAGTACACTCAAGGTTAGCCCGAGCGCAAGCCCAAGAATAAACGAGTCGAAATGAGTCTAACGAGCAAAAAGAAAGCTCCTCGATGCTACCCGAGCCCTGCAGCCAAGCCATCTTGGCGGCCCGCGGCTGGATAAGGTTGGGGGGATCAATCCAACCAAACAGTGTTGTCATTGACCTTTCCGTCTTCCCCAGGTCAACAAGTCTATTTTTCACCACTCAGGCCCAGCCAAAGGTTGTACCGTCCCCCCGGGCAGGATTGTCTACCACTCACAGGCCGTCTTACCTCATCCTTAAATGGCTGGATATTATCAACAATACTACTTTGTACCATTCGCTTCGTGATGGAAAGATGGACCATTCCATCCAGATGAGATCGGTGAGCCAAACACAAGTGCAGCTGGCTTATCAGAACAGAGTACGGTACAACTTGGGAAAGTTGCCCGGCGAAGCATGCATATGTGTTCGGCTTCAATCAACGTCCCGCTTCTCACCCCCTTTTTTTCACACTCCCAAAGTAATTACTTACTGACCCATGTGTGGCGAGCACGCATGTTGGATAGTGTACAGAACCGCTTCCGGAACGCTGCCGTTGACACTTCTCGGCAAAATGCACCTTGGTCACAAGTCGGTGTAAGTGACGGTAATCCGTACGCTGCTCTCCTCTGGTTCCTAGGAATCAAACCAGTTGCCAGAGTACGGTAACGCTTGTGTTTCCACAGATCAGAGACATGTTCCGCCTGCTGGTCTCAGCAGACTGAAACCACCCATGTTGACGTGAAAAGGAGCCAGGGGACCTGGTCCAGGCTACAAGTACAGGAAACCATGGGAAAGCCATGCGGCCAGGATCATCAAGTACTCGCCTACCCTACCTCACTGGCACTGGGTAATGTCTTGTCCACGCTTGATTACCATGTACATACATCAACTGCTTAGTGTAGCACCCATGCACTAGCTGCGACATGGTGTTCTGCTGTACCCCCCTTCAACCACTTACAAGTTACCCTCATACACCCCTTGTTCTTATTTTCCATGTGCTTGGGTATGAAAGACCGCCAACCCTTAGGTTTGTCTTTTCGGACTATAAGGACCAGAGCATCCTCATCATGGCCCCTTTCTTTGCGTGTCCTCTTTTCTCTCCAGGGAATCGGCGGCCCCTTCCATTCAGTTATCTCCAGACGATTGGCACCTTCGCACCAACCCAACCGTCCTTCACTTCAACACCTATCTGCACCTCATAAGTAGATCGGACATTCTTACAGTCATCACCCACCATGGCTGCCGACCATGACGCACCCGTACGGGACGTCCCGACTACTGAGAACTCCAGCGTCAACAACGAGAAGGCCGTTCATCCCGAGTACACTGAGGACGTCGCTCTGGAAAGTGCCGGCTGGGATGAGCAAAGAACCAAGAAGCTACTTCGCAAGATCGATAGCAGGCTACTCCCCTTCCTTGCCTTGTTATACCTTCTATCCTTCCTCGACCGTACAAATATCGGCAATGCCAAGCTCGAGCTCCTTACGCAGGACTTGAAGCTCACCGGCCTCAAGTACAACGATGCGTTGGGTATCTTCTTCCCCTTCTACGTCCTCGCCGAGGTCCCCTCCAATATGGCCATGAAGCGTTTCCGCCCGTCCATTTGGATCCCATCCATTATGATTGCGTGGGGTGTTTGCTGCACCCTTATGGGCGTTGTCCAAAATTACCATGGCTTGATGGCAGTGCGGTCTTGCTTGGGTCTTGCTGAGGGAGGTCTCTTTCCTGGTATCACCTACTAGTACGTATCTCCCTTTTGCTTGTCGTTATATCGCAGTTACTTACAGTATTCAAGCATTACAATGTGGTACAGACGTCACGAGTGCGGTTTCCGCATGGCCATTTTCTTCTCCGCTGCTACCGCCGCCGGTGCTTTCGGTGGTCTTCTGGCTCGCGGTATACTGGAGATGAAGGGTGTCGGTGGCTACAATGGATGGCGCTGGCTCTTCATCTTGGAGGGTATCTTGACTTTTATTATCGGTATGTTAACCCGTCCTGCCTTTTTATGCGGTGCGCTTTCTAATAATTTCTCCCAGCCGTCATTGCCTTCTTCGCCATGTACGACTACCCTCAGACCGCCAAATTCCTCAAGCCTGAGGAGCGTGAAGAGATCGCCGCCCGTCTCAAGCGCGATCGTTCTTCCCTTGCCGATGAGTTCGACATCAAGTATTTCTTTGCAGCCCTCAAGGACTGGAAGATCTGGGTCCACATGTTCATCACCATTGGCGTTTACACTGGCTTGTACTCATACTCGCTTTTCGTACCTACCATCATCAACAGCATCGGTACCTTTAGCCCCGAGCAGAGTCAGCTTTTGACTGTCCCGCCTTACGTGGTAGCCTGCCTTTTCTGCATCGGTGCCGGCTGGTATGCCGATAAACTCAAGCAGCGTGGTATCTTTATGCTGTTCTTCATGGGCATGGCGTACGTATCTCCCCATCTTCATGTTTGCAACACTTGCTAACGACTGAGCAGTATCATTGGCTTGATCATGTTGATGGCTACCAGGACGCCCGCTGTCCGTTACCTCGGCTGCTTCTTCCTCGCTTCGGGTATCTACCCCAACGTTCCCCAGGGTGTCGCATGGAACGGCAACAACATTGGTGGCTCGCTCAAGCGCGGTGTTGGCATTGCCATGCACGTCGGTTTCGGAAACCTGGGCGGTGTCATCTCGTCGTACCTCTTCCTCGCCAAGCAGTCTCCCCACTACTACCAGGGTTTTGGCACCCTTCTCGGCTGCCAGGTCATGGCTTTTGTCCTGTCGGCCTTTATGACCATCTACCTCAGGCGCGAGAACGCTCGCCGGGACCGCGAGTACAAGCCCCCAAGCGAGTACACTGAGGAGGAAAGGATTGCGGAGCGCGAGAAGGGTGATAATGCCACCTTTTTCCGGTACACTGTATAGATGGAGTGCTGTGTGGACTTTTTTTTTTTTTTTTTTTTTTTTTACTGTTTACGACTGGTTCTGGTCAGAATGGGAGGTATGATGTAACGGGTCACGGAATGGACGGATTACATGAACATATGATATGGGATTGACGACTCGGTGATTTTGAGGTCGTCTGTACCATGCCCTGTACATGTCAATATACCCACGGATAGAATCATGGGCGGCGGCAAATGTATCATGATTGTTATGGATGGAAAACCTGAGATCTTCTCTCGGATAGATCAAAACTACTTGGATATATACCACTACCTATACTTAGCTACCTACTATACAATGCGAAGCGCGTTCCCCCTTTGCTTGGTCAATGTGAGTACATGCTCATTCCAAAGGAACGTGTCATATAGGAGTCCAAAGAAAGTTTGAAGGGTTCTAGAACTAGTCCCAGGACATCAATGATTGTTATCCCGCAAGGTACCTCTCCATACGCGCACGCCAATGCTCGGAGCACAGTTTGCAGTCTGGGAGTACGTCACTCCGATCGCGAACCGTACCTACACGTTCGTGCAGTGGCTGGACATTAGGTATGTTCGCCATCTTGCTGTGTTAAGTCCAGGAAGTTCCAGTCTCAAGACATAGAAACCTGACCCCCTCCCCAGTAGGTAGGATCGATGATGTTGAGTTCTGGGTGTTCAAGCTGTTAAGACTTTTTGTCATGTGCTGCTGCTGTGGTTCCGTGGTTCTGCGACATGACATGCAGCCAGGCACCGAAATCGAAATTGATGTTGGTACCCGTTGCGGGGTGGGCCGTGCGGGCATGATGATTTGAGGTTGTACCTACCTACTTACGGAGAGGAAAGAGCGTGATGTGAGCTTCCACTTGGGCTGCTGTGGTCATGGGACTTGCCAAATGGTATACCTATGTGGGATGAGCAGTGCAATATTGAGAGGATAGCGACAGCGACTTGAAGACTCTCGTCAGTTGAAACTCAAAAGAACCTAGAAACTGAAGTTAGCGGTTTAGTAATATCCGCAACACTTGCTCACCTTATAATTAGATGAACCTGACCGCGGTTAACACTCGTTGCTAACGAACCAAAGTATGCCGGGCACCTAATCTATCTACCCTCTATACCTTAGCTATCATATCCGAGACCACCCCGACTAAATTTCAGGATGGGAAAGGTTACGATATTGCCGTTGGATGCTGAGATGCATCTATTAATTCAACAATTATCGGCTAGAACGTAGATACGCAGAGGTATATATAATAGTTTCCTAGCCAAGGCTTCGCGATTATCAGACAGGCATATAACAAGACAGCAACCGTACCGAAACACCATGGTGAGCGGTTTTGTCCCCGATAGAATTATTGGGGTCTAATTTGCCTACCGACAAAAAGGTTACAAGAATGGACAGACCACGATATGGTTAGTACGTTAGACCTTGATATACTGATGTTACGCATCCAAGCATCTTGATTAGACCTTTGAACCTAATTTCAGGGTATTTCCAAGATTATAGAGTGCCTCAAAGACGCCAGTTAATGTGTTTTCAATTTCTCCTAATCCCTGCCATATCAACATCATGATGCCATGTAAACCCAGGTCTCGAAGCGTACCTAGACGCACACATTGAAACAAATGTCTCTTTGCCGGAACAGCAACAACAGCCAGGCCGCACGCCCTGCCGCGAGGACTGCATGACTTTTTACCGAACTCCTCCCTGCCGCCTGCCCCCCTTCGTACAGCTATGTGATGGGGAGCTGATCTGGAATTCGCAGAATGGGTGCACATCTCCTAGGTAGGTACCTACCTGACAGTGGCATTGGAAAACTCGACTGTCTCCATCCCACAGAATGCCTAGAGCGCAGGGATCATATTCCTCTCGTCCCTAGCTCTCTCACAAAAGCGCACCTCCTTCCATTTGTATTCTCTAACATCCATCTTCTTCGAGGTAGAAATCATGGCCTGTCTGGAGGGTTCGTCTAGGAATTTGGAGATCATATTGTAGATTTCCTGGGGCAATTTGCCCGAAGTTGAAGGTCATAGAAGCGGAGCGTGCGTCGGCCATGGTACCAGTAGCTGGATGGTTGGAAGGGATCAAGAAGTGGCAACAGAGATGAGAGAGGGAAAAGAACCCTCACTTATGTTGGTCAGGTAGGCACCTAGATACATACTAAAGCGATCCGTTTGTGAATCGACCAAACGCCGAGTTAAGCGGGCATCGTACCTTTACACTCTTGTCCCGAGTGAAAGTATTCTGAAAAACTTTTCACCTCTGTCAAGTCAGAGAGGTCTTGATCTTTCCGCTTTACGGACCGGAGACAGAGCCGTGTCGGGTAGAGCGCACGGCGAGGGATGCTGTTCCATTCGAGGTACCTCCAAGGCAGAACTGCCAGCAAAACGATACATTTCGTCTCAAAACTTTCCTCCACTGGGTCTTGTGTTTGACTCTTATTCACGAACTAAAGCAAAAGTTTCATGTGGTGGAATGTGGTGGAAATCGAAAGCTTCGTCCCATTTCCTCTAGCTGTACACTGGGTATCTTTATGGCCATGGATTATACACCGCCTGCCTGCAAAGTCACAAGTATATAAGTAGGTAACGAGACCCTCTTCTCTTCTTATCTCATTGCTCATCTTCCTCTCTCCCAACCATTCGCAACATCACATTCACCAGCGTCTCGCGGCGGCTTCAACAAATTCTGGATCAAGCAATACACCTGACTTCATTCATCCACAATCAAATCGACCCACGTCAGCTACCTTGAGGTAGGTCGTTGCAAAGAGGTATCACTGTAAATTTGAATCCCCCATTTCCTCCAGTCGGGGCCTCATCAAATTCTGATACGAGTCTGAAATACAGGTTAGAGGTACCTTCAATCACCACCCAATTTTGCAATACCTACCTGGGTATCTTGGAGTACACAACCGATCTACTGCTCTCATTTGGATCATTCACGACATCATGGCATCCATACCTCCATCGGACAACGACGTTCGCAGGGCGTCCAACACACCCCCGGAGGTGGTTACATCCTCGCCGACGTCACTAAACCTCCTCAACACCTTGATGATGAATTTGTCGATTTTCATGTCGACGAAAGACGTACGGAGTTTGTACGCGATGGACCATGCATTGCGGAAGCTGGGGCAGGTTAGACCAGAGGGTACCTCTATCTTGCAAGACAACGATATGGTGTCGGAGGCCATCGATCATGTTGAGCTCCTTTTTGCCTCTGGACAGGCGCTGGATGATGCAGAGTTGGGAGATGTGACCAAAGCATGCCAGGTAGGTCTCAATTATTTCCCGTTTTTTTTTTTTTTTTTTTTTTCCTTTTTCCTTTCGCTAACTGGATATACCTCCCTACCGCAGATGCTCTGGCCTTCCGACGCCAAAACTCTCACGCAGGAGCGTATTACATGGATGTATAGGAGCATGCAGCAGGGTACTTTGGCAGGCAAGCCAGCCTTGTTGGCGAATCGTTTCCAGGATTTCATCGTCTATTGCTGCGGGTGGTTAGAAGGACTGAGCCAGCCTCCTCAGCCGGACTCAGAAACATCGAGCTGCATCATCCGAGCCGCATACCGCTTTGCCCGGCGGGGTCCTGCAAAAGACCGTCCGGAAATTCCGGTTATCAACACGGCCAACCCCATTATGCCATTCGCCCAATATATTGCTTCTACGATCGGAGACTTGGAAGACTTCCGTGACGAGATCCAGGGCCAGCTGGACATTGACAAACAAGAATACGGCGGATCGTTCGTGGCCCTCAGAGCAGCAGAGTGCGGGGATTACATGGAAAAATGTTACGAAATGTTGGCGTCGACCACAGATCACGATGAGGCCAAGGCGGCCGCAGAGGATTTGGGATATCTGTTCAAGATTCAATCACAACTCCAGCAGCACGAGATCTTGAGAAGATTGGAGGATACGATTCGCCGCCACAAACATTTTTGGGAAATGCTCAAGGCCAACGAGCTCGAGTTTGACTCGGACGAGCATGATACGGAAGTTGCGGAAGAAGGATGTGTTGAGGGTGAAGGGCAGCAGCAAAGTGGAGGTGATGAAGCAGTGGAAGATGCAGTCGGCAGCACTTCCTAAGAGCCACCCACCCCTGCTGCCTACCTACTGGATCGACTTCAATTCCCATTGTCGCGGAAGGTCCACAACGGGCCGGAGGATGGTTACAGTCCATGGGGATGATAGTAACAACAGGCCACTACTTCACTTCAATTGAAACCTTGAAGACACCCTGGGTTGTTTTCATAGGTACTTTTTCACTTTCAACATGGCCGCCGAAACGGGCCACTTTCTTCTTTCCCTTTCCTTGGACGAGTCTGGACTTGGTGGATGATTCATTACCTAGCGACGTACGTCCAGCATTCTGAGTTATGCACCTGAGAACCTGGAACAAAAGGAGCACGAGTAAGGCCTCTAGTTAGGAATGGCGGTAGGAAGCGGGCAGGGCTGAGCAAAGGTTGTTGTGGTTAGACATGCTGATTATGCCCAACGAAGATGTGAATAGCAGAGATGGGAGATGCCTTAACCGTTAGGAGGGGATTAATATTATTGCTAGCATCCACGAGCGAATCTGGGAAATAGGGCACGAGCTGGACTTGTATGAAGGTCAGGGCCTCTATGTTGTCGGCCGGCGCATCGCGCAATATAAAAATATGTATTGTTTTTTGCCGTGGCTATTTCTCTAGTGGTACCTCTAGCTTTTATAGTTTTCCATCTAATATATACAGTCCAGTACTAGTTTATTTGTTAGCTCGAGGCCTTGTGTCAACTTTCCTATACGTTTTTATAGCTAACTAATACGTAATCTTATTTTAAAAATGCAATTTCTAATATCTAAAATACCATCTTTAATCCTACTAATACCTTTTATTATTCATACTAGCCATTTCGATTTATCGTACTAAGGTTTGGGACTATTTGGAATAGATTTCGTTAAGTATATATAGTATAAAGTATAATACTGTACCTCTACTTATAATAGTATACTAAGCTAATATACAAACTAGTATTAGATTATATATAGCGTATAGTAACCTAAGTCGTTCGTGGGTTTAAATAAAGAGGTTTAATTAAATAAAGTCCCCTAAGACCTACAAATACCATTAAGGTTGAGAAAATAAAGAAAGTAAAGTTTAAACTAGTAGTTATTAACTTTATCCTAGAAGTGACGTTATATAGTTATACTGTGAGCTTTATATATTTATCCAATTAATATAAGCCTACGTTAATATACATAGTACCTTGAAATTTTTTAGTGTTACTACTTAGATAGTAATATATAGGCTTGGTTTAAAAGGTATTAATTCAATAACAAGTATTAATCACTTTGGCGGAAAGGTTAACGTGTTAAAGGTTTTAATTATTTTATCTATAACGATAATACGGGATATATCGCATATATAAATAGAATTAATTAACTAGAGTAGACTAAGTATAACTACAACCATACCTACCTCCGATAGAAGCACAAGTGTGCCTAGGCACGTGCCAAGGCACGTACCGGCTCGCCCGGTCGTTAAACCTATAGGTCACCCTGCGGACTAGTAATAAAATAAGGGAATTCCTATAAAGGGATTCCTGTGCGGGGCGGCCTTCGGCCAGGCCTTTCTCCCTCTATTATCTTCTTCTTTAATATTATAGTATATATTAGTATTATAATATTTGAAGATACCCGTATTACCCTATTAAATAGTAATTATAATTAAACGTTTAATAATTATCGCGAGTAATACTCCTCGTACCTATCTTTTAGTAAGTTCGTTAACCTCTATTATTACGAATTTACTAATTTGATTGTAAGATCGATTATTGTAAGACGCCGACCCCGCGATTACACTTTTCTAAACTTTCGATTACTTATTATTAAAATAATATTAAAGCTTTCTTTAAGAATGCGATTATTCGTTGTAAAGATAGTATTGCGCGCTTCCTATTCTATAATATTGTATTTGCATCGATTCGTATCGAACGAATATATTAGAACCCTTATACTATTCTAATCTGAGTTTCTTTAATCCTCGATACGAAGGGTAACCTACAATTATTTTATTGAAAGATAATTATTACTTTCTCCCCTCCCCGCTAATTTCAATAGTTGCTTATTGCAAAATAGTATTAACGAAATTAAATACCCTCCTATTTATTTCTTCTATTATTACCCTAATCCTATTACCTTCTAATATTATAATTATAAATAAATAACCTTATATTAACCTTTTTAATAATTATTAAGTATTATAACTAATAAAGACCCTCCGGAGTAAATAATTTTATATTGTTCGCCCTATAAATTATTAGTACTATTAATATACAATATTAATCGTTTAAATAGTTAATCCTCAACTTTACTTTAATTTCGCAATAATTCTACCCCGGTTCGTAATATTACTTAGGTTTAGGCCGGTCCTTTAAATACTACCGGTCCTATTGGAAACTAACTTAAGTAAGGTATTATTAATAATATTATTTCTTTAATAATTAGTGCTTTATTGCCTAGTAAATTTCGATAATCTTTAATAATCGATCCGCCGGAGAATTTCGTCTTGTATAAAACCTTGTTTTAAAAGCGTAGATCTTAGTGTAATAACCGCGATATTATAATCGCCGGTTAAAAAGACGAGTTTGGAAATAATAATTCCTATAGCGGTATCCTTAATTGTATAATTAATAAGAAATTCTAGAAGTATTTTAATAATATAAATATAATAATTAAAAGTATTAATAAAAATATAAGGTAATTTAAAATTAAAATATATGAATAATTTATAATTTATATTAGAGATGCCCGCGCCTAAGGTGATTGTATTAACGAATTCGCTATTATTATCGCTAGGTTTAAATTCAATATTTTATCCAATTATAAGGAAGTTATAAGGGTTATTGCATTACTATTTCTCGGAAAAACCAACCCTCCTCCCCTCGATAAAGGAAAAGGTAAAGTTATTAGAATACCGGAGTATTTCCCCGATACTTAGTCGGACGAATTTAATATTACTATTATTTATCGCCTTATTACTAACTTTAATAGTTTTTCGGCTAGTAATAACGCCGTTTTTAAATATGCTACTTATAGTAAATTAACTATTAAAAACTTTACTAAAAATTAGGAAGTTTAATATATTAAAATTCCCTTTTACTTGCGTACTAACCTAAAGATCCGTTAATATATACCTATACTTCGTAGTTTTAATTATTATAACCTTATATTATTAGACGGTAATCCGTTAGCCCGTCCGTATACCCGCCTGCGTAATAACCTTCGTATTACTAAAGTAGTAAATAATAACGAGGAATTTACTAAATAAAATTTTATAAATTAAATCAATAGGTTGCGCGATTGTGATAATAGCTTTCGTCGGATATTTAAAAAATAAATTGCTATATATATAAAATATATATAGGAAATATATGATTTTTAAGTAAGGAATACTTACGCTATAGTTTACCCGGAGCTGTCCTGCGATGAAATTAGTAAGGCTATTTTAGAATACGCTATTTAAAATAATATTAGTAAGGCTAGTAAAGCCTCCCCTATTATTATAAAACCTATTACTATTAAGAAGGTTAGAGGTAGTAATAATCTATTAATTACCCCTAATATCTATCTTATTATAGTTGCTCTAAGTAACTTTAACGATAATAGAAATAATATTGAAAATAAGAATAATAAGGGTAAGAAATTAGATTTTCCCTTTAAGTATTTTAATATATATAACCCTTATTAAATCCTTATTACCTACTAAATTTATAATAATTCTAATAATAAGCCTAAATTTAAATAAAACGATATCGGAACTTTTAACCCTTTTACTAATAACCCTAACGATATAGGAATAGTAGAGAATAGTAGTAATATTATTTATACTAATACTATTATATTTACTAACCACCTTAATACTTTATTAGAAGATAATTGCGCTAGATCTATCGAAAAATAGCTTATTCGTATATAGCCCACCTTCCTATAGGGCGTAGCTTATATATAATAGTATAATTAATTGGACTCCGCTAAGAAATAGTATTATTATAAGTTTTTAGGTAATTTAATTAAAGCTTTAGTAAAGAGATTTATATCCGATTCGGTTACTATAATAAGGAAATTCAATAAAGGAAGGTTAACCCTTTATAATATTTATAAGAATAAGAATATAGTTTCGATGTATGTTTTAAAATAATTATATTTTGCTTAGGCTATAGGAATCTTTTCTAAGAATGGTAATAATTAGTATAGTATTATAGTACAAATTTAGAACAGTATGTATATCAATATTAAGACTGTACTACGCGCCCCCCTATCTTTTAATAATATTGAAAATTATTTTAAAGAAATTGAAAAGACTAAAGCTATTTTACTTATTGTTACTAGAGATAAATATTATTCCTTAAATTCTTCCGGTACCGACGGATATTTATATAGAGAATTAAATTGTAATTAAAATTAAATTTATAGTCGAAGTTCTAGCCGATAGCGGAATAGTGATTGCAATTATAGCTGTAACTGTAGTAATAATTACGGCCGTAATTATAATAATAGTAATTATACCCCCGATTATTATTATTATTAGTCTTATACACGCTAACTATATACATAGTCCGCCTAGTAGGCACGCGGTGCTGCTTCGCTCGTAGTCGGTAGGAAAAACCGTACCGTAATAGCCGGGTAAAAACCCTCCGCTTCGCTATCGTAACGGCGCCGTATTAACTCCGTACCTTCCCGATTTCCTTCCTTTCAGTATAACCTCACCGTTATAACCGAAGCTATAAACTTATATTATATACGTAGCCAACCCGGCTCCGGCCTGTAGCCGTCCCTCCTTCGTCTTCCTACTATAGTTTCTCTATAGTTAACGGTCTTTTATCCCATCTTTCCTTAATTACATCATCCCAGGCCGCCCAAATATTTCCATAAAGGAAACCTCGACCCGGCTCTCTCCTTCCTTCCCTTCTTTCTTCCTTACACCACGCCACCGCCTTCGCCGCGTTATATCCATATCCCAACCGAGTCCGCCGCCGCCACTCGCCCGCACCCAACCCGAACTAGTGCCGCCACTACTTCACGATGCCGCGCAAGAAACCTGACG